AGCGGGAAGCTATGGCTGCGAGACTAGACGATGCTTTCCAGAACTGCCGAGAACGAAAGGGTTTATGCGTGGAGAGGAAACCTTGCGGTGCGTGGAATACTACAAGTAAATCAACTCCTTCGAACGTCTCCTCGAGGATTGAAGAAGATGAAGCAGTACTAGATCCTACTTTTGCAAGCGATAATCTGTCGCAGCGGAAGATTAGCACATGTAGTCGCAAAATCGGTTCGCCACACGAAGATCACTCGTCCGTGATGGAGACGGGGCATGAAGAGGGCATCTTTCAAGCAGGTCGAAATGCGTATCGAGTGTATAAGCTTCCTCATCCAGAAGGTTTTTTACCAGGATTTTATCCAAAGCTCTTGGTGGAGGAATTGAAGGAAGAGGAGCGAGATCAGCTTGCGCATGAGCCATTTCTTTTCACATCAAGAGCCGCGACGCCGCGTGTTATTTCTCCACTACCCGAATTCAGAGGAAGACAACTGCTGCTAGAAAGTCCTGGCCATGGAGTAGAGCTACAACTAGATCATCAGGCGGAGACTGGTGAACAACAAGTAGAAGAAGTAGAGGAAGATATTGAGATAGGTGATGATGATTTTCTCGATGATTTTTTTGAGACTGGTGGTGGTGCTGAAGATGATCTCCTTGCAGATAATGGCCCCAAGAACAACTACGCTCATCCGCGTGCTTCTTCGAGCACTGGTAAGCACATCAATGATCAAGAGATCAAGCCTGCGTCTAGTCGACGTCGTGGCGATGATAGAGGTGAACGTAAAGCGAGGTGTATGGTGCCGCGACTTGGAGTAATTCTAGAGAATGATCATGAACGCGAAGCAGTAGACGCGGGGATTGCAGGAGTCATCTCACCGCGTGGAGGAACGCAACCGACTCGTCCATCGGTCGCAGTCGTGAAGGCACAACCGCATCGCCGTGCAGAAGTTGAATTGGATCTGCAGATGGACTCTGGTGTGAGAGTAGCATCTTCTTCTTCGTCGCGAAGAAGAAAACAGGGAAGAACTAGCCTTGGTTTGGAAGAGCACACTGCCTCCGCCATCCCACTGGAAGAGCGGCGCGAGAAGAATAGAACGAAAACAGAAAAAGGATCTAGTGGCATAGAGCGTCGAGTGAAAATCAGTGAATACTGGCGGACGCATCCGGTAATGCGTTCGAAGCACGGGGAAGGTTTATTTATTAATACCCCTGAGGAAAGGAGCGAAAGCATGGTGTGTGCGCAGATCATTTGTGGCGAAATGCGGAAGCTGCTTGACAATCTGCGTGATGAATGGTGCACGAATCGGAGTACGGGAAAGGGATTCAACGCTCATCACATTCACTTCAACATCGCTTGCGATCGGGGGGCGCTGTTGGCAGCGTTTTATGTAATCGCTTGGATGAGGGAGCAAAATAAGTACTACTGCGGTGCGAAGATACCGATTTACATCAGTCTCACGGTGTCGTGGTGTAGGCTCCACGCATATGCGACAGCATTAAAAGAATCCATCGAGAGGCTAATACAATATACTGGATTGTATTCAAATCTGAGAAGAGCAGAGGAGCATATGAGACTATGGAGCGGCGCCATTCGGAACCGATTGTATAACTACCATACTCATACTTTTTTCGTTAACATAATCATAAACTACTAGTCCACAACCACTGTAGTCAGACCAACCTCAATCACAGTCGTTGATCATGATGCTGAGGCACTAATATCATGTTCGTGCATTTTGTGAGATGTATTGGGTTTTATCAAAGAGTCATCAAGCAAAAGTAGGAAGGTGAAGCTGTGGCTATCTTTAGGAAGGTATCATAGTGGATTTTTCACAATACGTCATCCAGATTCCAGTGCCTCCGAGATGCTTTGACGAGCTTGCGTAGCAGAAACTGGACGCGTGCGACTACAGAAAATGAAGAAACTGCAGCGAAACTAAACGCGTTTGCGCGTGAGTCTAACGATGTGCATGATTTTCACAATTTCTATGGGACGCCATTTGCTGGACAGAATGTGCCTTTAGTGCCACGAAATGTCGAGGGAGAGCGCCACTTCGTTCGGCTGGGTACCTGAAAAATAAAGGATAGTTGTTATTTATCACGACTTTTGAGTAGAAACTTATTTCTGTGTTCAGACTTTCCTAGCGGATCCTGCATTTTTGTGAGAATTCGTCTTATCACACAGGTAGCGGGTTCTGAGAGAACAATGACTACTCTTACTAGGGCATGAAGTGAAGATAGTGCTTCATATGAGGACTGTGGAGAAGATCTTCTTACTAATTTGATTTTGTTCGTTACCTTCACCTTTGTTCAGGTCTCCTTCATGCGCACGAGAAGTATGGCTCAGCGCAGATGCGCCAGTCGTTGACGTGTTACGTGCGTCAGGTATATGGATCGTCTGCTTCGTGGGCAAGCCTGGCTTTCAACAGGTGGATGCAGGTGATTCGTTTCTTCTGCTCGGTGGCAAGTGCTGGCTTCTTGCGCGTACCAGTGCTGGAGTCAAATGCTGAATATCATGTAGGCCGTGGCGAGATGGCCATATTTCGCGAAGTAGATGTGAGGCGTCTTGAAGTTCTTAGTGTCCTCGGTGGTATCGTCAGCAAGGCGAGTGGGAAGTTGCAGAGTTATGCTTACATGGCAAAAACCACAACCATCGCTGCAGTAAACGCTTTTGATGAGGGTTTGAAGATGTCGGTATCGCGATTGCGGTATCGCATTGCTTCGGATCTTAGTACCGTCTGTGGTTCAGGCTTGAGCTTGCCCCTTGATGTTTTTCGACGGTTCAGAGAGGGCGTGGCTGTCTCGATTACTGCACTTGGAGGAACGATCTTTCGCAAACGCGCTTTCGACAGCATGGAGCAGATTGTTGCTTCGTTCGAGGTATCCGAGAGTGAGGAGCTCTGGGTAATGGATTACTTGGCTGCGGGTGATCCATTAGAACTTTCCACGCGGAGGGAGGCACAACAGCATGATCTTGTCACGCTCTATGGTAGTGCGAGCGACAGCAAAGCGGGAACTCTATCGGGCATTCTTCTGTACGAGACGCTTCGTCGGATCTTCGAAGAGTTTGATGATGGGAAAAGCAGTATCAACCGAGCAGGTATCCAAGAATGCGTTCGACACATGCGCGGCCTAGTGCAGATGCACCAGGTCTGGAAGGACACAACCATTGAGGTGGAGTGTTGGTTTCGGCGGCCTAAAGCGCAACAAAGGCGCCTGAGGACCGGCAGGTGGAAGAACGTGGAGAATGTCAGTGCAGCAGCGCAGGCATCTGCTTGGAGCTGCGACTATAACGGTGTGACGAAGGCTATCAACAACTTCACTCGCAGCACTGATTTGTACTACGCAGAGATCATGAAACGTAGGCGCAGATTCGCGGGGATCGACATTTGGAAGGCGGAGGATCCTAACATATCGAAGTTCAAGTGCGGTGTGAAAGGCGGATACGACGCTTGGTATGCTCTTTCTCCTGAAAAGCAAGCAGATTATGACGAACAAGCCAAGGAGATGAAGATGTGGCACGGTCTGCGGAAAAATACTCACTTTCTCCGAGAAATGGCGAACAACATGTTCGCTCGAGAGCCGGCTTTGAGCGCTGAGTTGGACGTGCGCAACCGATTAGATGAGATCAAAGCGAGAATGCAGTTTCTGGCGTCCACCAACGTTTACAAACGCTACCTGACTGGGTGGAGGCACACGAGAGCTGCTGCTGCAGTGCTTTGCTCTCCACAGGCTTTCTTCGTGTTCGACGCAGAGCTTTACCCTACACTACATGAAAGTGAAAAGCTGTGGGCGAACTTCGTGTCGGTTGCGGATTTGCTAAGCCAAGGGATCGGCATCATCCAAGATTTTAAAGCCGGAGTCCTACGAAAACGAAAAGCGGAGCTTGTGGAAAAATCGAAAGAAGCTGTACTACAAGCAGAGAACGGGTCAAACTCTTATCAGGAAGTTGGCGCAGAGGTTCTTACAAAAGCAGCAGCACAGCAAGCGAAGAGTAAAGCAGCACCAAAAAAGAAGTCGAAGAAGCAACAAAAAACGGAGAAGGCGATCGTGGAGAGGGAGATGCCAGTAGACTTGGTTGCGCCATGTGATAGTGAAGATGATGATACTCGTCTTGAATCTGACGAAATGATGGAACGTATGATCATTGCTTCCGAGGGCTTTCTGACGAATTCTTCAACTTCAGGAGCTGTGCGTCGTCATATTATGGGGAAACTTCTAACAGATCCGCAGCGGCTACTACTAGTTGCAGTTGATCGGTCAGGGGAAATTTCGCGGCGTGCGCAAAGCGACATGATCGCTTTGGAGGCTGATGCAACATGGAAAGCGAGGAAAGAAGCGATGAGGGAGTCGGTAAATGACAGTCCACTCATTCGAGTTGAGTTCAACGCCACGACAGAGTTTTACTTTGTCTCTTGGTCACTTCTACGTCCTGATCGCGTCTGCCTACTCCCTCTGGCGCCACTTATCTTGGGAGACGTTCCCGCAGCTGCTAGCACTGAAAACGCTGAAGATACATCTCCACTTGCCAAGAAAGGCAAAGGTAAAAGAGGTGGAGGAGGAGCAAAGGCAGCTGCTAAGGCTGGAGGAAAGAAAAAAGCAAAGGCAGCATCGAAGCCCGTGAAGCAGAGCGTCAATCTCCTCGGGATTGAAGATAACGCAAGCGCAACGGCGTCGATCCATCCAGCATCTCTAGTCTCAGCATCAGGTAGGACAGCAAGCACAATCGACGATGATGAAGTAGTCTTCACCTTCGATCTCAATACACTTCAATCCGATCGGTGGATATGCGGCAAGGAGGTGGGTGTCCAGGATTCAAGTCATCTGGGATTTTTCTCAGTGCAGATGCGTCTCCACGACAGTATAGTTCAAGCGCGTGCAGAGCACAGAATTTTTCCAGCCTCAGAATCTCCTCGTCGAAAGATTCCTCGCAAGAAGGCCGTCAAGAGTAGTTCGTCTTCCCATCTTGATAGTTCTGGTGATGTACAACTCCTGGATGATGAACTACATGGACGACCGTTTCCCGGCATGGATCCGATTGGTGCTGCTGCAGATGAGAAAACAAATTCTGGGCTCTACATGGTTTTCAACGATCTTCGAAGAATTATTCCAGCGAAGCGGCACCGAGCTTTCAAAGGTCTAACTGCTAAACAAATCCTCAAGACGCGCCAAGACTTCTTTAGTATTACTAGAACTAGACCTGGACGCGACCCGTCCTTGTACTCCGGGGAAGCAGATGCCCTAGATGTTCACTCAGAAACTCGCGATGACGATCAGGAGGAGGCAGGTGGCGCAGCAGGAAACGAAGTCCGTGAAGATATGACGGAAGAGCAGCGGGTGAATCTGCTCCGAGAGCAAGACCGGTTTCTGCAGTCGCTCGCTAATCCAGTGCATCAGTCGTGGATTGTCAAGGATGGAACATGGGGTGGCGTTTATAAAGAAGCTCTCTGGTTACAACAGGGAAGGACATCAGATAGACTTGTAGCGACAGTTCGATCTACCACTGACAAGGAAGGAGCTCACTTCAACTTTTGCGTCCGCGGATCCCGGGACTTTCGGGCGCGTCGAGTGCAGCGGTTATGCGACGTTTTTCGGGTTCAGCGTTCTTCTGGTCGGTTCCAACGCCGCATCGCTGGAACAAACGTGCGGGTAACGGGGTACTTCTTTTCATGTATAGTGTAGAGTTTTCTGATTCACTTTGATAGTAAAGGAAGATGAGAAATTAGGCGTGAAAGTTTAGGAGATGCACAAGATAGAAGATCGCATCGTAGAACGCTGGCAGCGCAAGACCTCGCGATCTTCGTTCCCTAATTTCCTTCGCATCTCCTCTACAAAAATCCTTTTAGTGTCATATCTTGAGCTCATTCTTTCTCACCTTCAGGTATTTAATGGACGTATTCATAATTCGTGCGCGATTTCTGCTTAGCAGATTCAACGTGGATGGTGACTACAATCATTCACAGACGGACAAAGACAAGATTACAGAGGATTTTAAAAGGCTGATCAAGCCCGTCTACGATATCTATGCTCGAGAAGCGACGGCGAAAGAGATCGAAGAGGGTAAGCGTGTCACGGAGCTAAGAGACGAGGACTTCCCGTACATCGCGCTAGAATCTAACTTCTTGCTGGAGCCGGCTAGCTATGAAGTACAACTACAGGTGGAAGAAGAGGGAGCAGATGAAGACTTCCATGAGCAAGAACATGATGTCGAAGAAAGCGAGGATGAGAATGAAGAAGCAAACATTACTGGGTAATAGATTTGAGAGATTCGAAAACACAAGATTTGGAAAAGTATCACTTTCATCAGCAAAAGTAAGTTCAAGGAGCAGAAGAGTTGTCGCACGGGTAACGGATATAATTTAGAATGCATTTTTTCAACGCAGCGTCTATCTCTACATTGATTTAGAGCCTTCCTGATTATCAGATAAACTATACGGAACTTCAGTAGAAATATAGAACTACAACCAGCAACTTACCTTCTAGGTAGCTTCTCTCAGTCTGGATAGAATTAATATCGAGCACTGCCCTCCAGCTTGAGAACAGCAGCAACTTATCATGTATGACAGCAGCAGAAGCAGTTCGGTAGCTGCGTCCTCTTCACTTATGAGGGAATTGATGACATTTTTAACATTCTGCAGTGCAATAATTCATCGCCGTGCTACTATTCTCTGTCTCGCTTGAAGAGATATCATTTCTTGATAAATCTTTCTGCTCCATTTAGAGGACCAAAATATCACTCGTGTTCGTCTGGTAAGGTTTTGCGCAGAGAAGCTTTTCTTTTCATATTTCGTGAAACGCAACATAATGCAAGGCGAGTATCGAGATTCGTTGCACCATGAAAAGTCTTCAGATGTAGTCAACGAGGAAGAGGTGGCGGATGTGTGATTGATGTCATCAGGCGAGAGCGCTCATCTTCGTGCTCGAAGCGTGTCTTATTCCTGCCATTGGCGTCGTCGTTCGATTAAATCTCCTTTCATAGAAGAGCTACAAAACAGAATCTTTGGGTTTGTTTTCTTCGACAGAAAGGCGCTCGCTATTTTGGTTCGAGACGTCAACGAAGCATGCGAAAAATGATAATCAACGTCCTGCTCCTTGTGTATCTATGAGCCACACAGGCGTACTTTTACTAGGATGTTGCGACTTGCCTAGGTGGAGGTAGCTGCGACTGCTGTAAAAAGGTTCAAACTTTTTGTTGCTTCTTCTCGCGCGCTTGTTGTCTGATCGTGGTCACCATCATAGGCTCGCACCACTCCCACTCTGAATCTCATAGGGAGGAAAGACGTCTCAACTCACGATTCAAGGTCCAAATATATGAGTATCATGACATCGGAAGCCTATCTTTCTATTGTGTCTCTTCTCAACCTTTCCAAGTGCAGGCTCGAATAATCGCACCGAGAGGATGTACTATTACATCGACCAGATACGTTCTCAAATTACTGAAGTTTTCCATTTGATTCACAAAGTAAGCACAGATCTCCTCTCGTTTATGAGCGTTCAGAATAATAGAGCAGACGCCATTCAGCACGAGCTTCGCCTTCTCAGAAGGGACATCAACGTTTTACGACAGCAGGTCGCTCCTCCGGAGCTGCCCGGAGAACATCCAGAGCTCGACTATCTCTTGTACCGGGATCTGATCGATCTCGAGGATCCTGATCCACTACCAGTGCCTGTACCAGACGAGTACGACGTGATACGAGAGGGATACCAACCATCATCGCCCGCATTGAGCGCATACAGTGCAGGAAGTTGAAGCACTTCGAACACTTCGCTCTGATTGTTCTGACGTGTGGGGGTGGGCCTTAAGCGTCGGCAGCTCGTCTCTCGGTGATTTATCTGCGAGCCCGCTTCTTGTCGCGCCCCTCGTTCCTTGGCAGTGGAACAGTTTCCCGCGGCCTTTGTTTCTTGGCGGTGGAACAGTTTGCCGCGGCCTTTGCTTCTTGGCGGTGGAGCAGTTTGTCGCGGCTTTTGTCTCTTGGTTGTGGCGCCGTTTGTCGCGGCCTTTGCTTTTCGGCTGTGGAGCAGTTTGTCGCGGTCTTTGTTTCGCGGCTGTGGAGTAGTTTATCGCGGGACTTGTTTCGTGGCTGTGGAGCAGTTTGTCGCGGCTTTTGCTTATGGGCTGCGGGGCCTTTTGTCGCCGCCTCTGCTTCTCCGCGGTGGGCCAGTTTGTCGCAGCTGGGCCAGTTTCTCCCGGCCATCTTTGGGGGGCTGTGGAACAGTTTTTCGCGGCCTCTGCTTCTCGGCTGTGCGGCAGTTTGCTGCGGCTCTGGCTTCTTGGCTGTGGAGCAGTTTGCCGCGGCTTTTGTTTCTTGATTTTCGAGCAGTTTGCTGCAGCCTTTGCTTCTTGGCTGTGGGAAAGTTTTGCGGGGCCTTTGCGTCGTGACTCTGGGGAAGTTTTTCGCGGCCTTTGCTTCTTGGCTGCGGGGCAGTTTGTCGCGGCCTGTGCTTCTCACCTGTGGAGCAGTTTGCCGCGGCCTTTGCGGCTGTCGGGCAGTTTGTCGCGGCTTTTGTTTTTTGATAGTGGAGCAGTTTGCTGGGGTCTTTGCTTCTTGGCTGTGGGGCAGTTTGTCGCTGCCTTTGTTTCATGGCTATGGAACAGCTTCCCGCGGCTTTTGCTTATTGCTTGTCGGGCAGTTTGTCGCGGCCTCTGCTTCTCGTCTGTGGAACAGTTTTTCGCGGCTTTTGTTTCGAGGCTGTGGAACAGTCTGCCGCGGCTCTTCGCTTCTTGGCTGTGGCGCAGTTTGTCGCGGCCCTTGCTTCGTGGCTGTGAGCCGTTTGTTGCGGGTGCTGCTTCTTGGTTGTGGAACGGTTTGGCGTGGGCTTTGCGTGGAGGCTCTGGAGCAGTTTGGTGTGGCTTTTGCTTGTTCTTGGCTGTGGGAAAGTTTTTCGCGGGCTTTGCTTCTTGGCTGTGGAACAGCCTCTGCTTCTTGGTTGCGCGAGAGTTTTCTGGGATTTGTGTGATGACACTGGCGAGAGGGTCCGCAACGATTTAGCAGCGTGCCGCCGTCGCGTCGGCGTCGGCGGTCGTGGCTGGTGTACTTAGGTGAAACGCTGGGAAGGACAGGCGACGTCCGCCAGACTGCTCCCGAATTGCCTCGAAAAGACCCGCGCCCGCAGTCTCAAACTGTCCCCGCTCGGTCTCGTCGCTTCAAAGCTTCCAGAAGGAGCGGGAAGTGGAAAGAACCCGCCCCGTCTATGGTGTTGGGCGTCGGGCAGTTTGTCGTGGCTCTCTCAGTTTGGTGGAACACTTTATCGCCCAGCGTCGGGAAATTGTTCCAGGCCGCTGGGATCGTCTCGGGAGCAGTTTCTTGGGACTCGTGGAACAGTTTATCTAGGACGCATGTGAAGCAGAAAGAGGCGACGGAAGTTCGTGAGCTGTGTCAAAAGGACCAAAATAGCCACTGGAGAAACTGCTCCACCCCGGTACCAGAGGCGTGGAGCAGTTTTCTAAAGGTGCAAAATTGACAAAGTGCTCCACCAAAATGGGACAAAACTAGAAAAGCTTGGGAATTTTTGAAAAAAAGCAGCGAGCTGGCACACTGTTCCAGGCCGGAGTCGTCGGCAGTGGAACAATCTATCAGCGCCGCTGGGACAGTTTTCCAGCTCCTCCAGAATTTTGGGAAAATTTTAGAAAGATTTACGGAAAAAATTACGGGAGACGCGCGAAAAGTCGGACCATTTTTGTGGGCACTTTTTGAGGACGCGCGCGTCGTCTTATGGGGGGAAAAATTCGAAGGAAAAAAAAGTGCACAATTTTTGAAGCTCTTCGCGCAAAATTTTTCGAACATTTGGTGGACGTTTTCGGATGGTCGTGGAACAGATTTTCAAAATCGTCAGAATTGAGCCGCTTCGCGGCTGTGGTGCCGGGCTGGAACAGCTTTTCAGAGAGCTTTTCAACGGCAAACTTTCGGAGTTTTCTGCTTTTTTCGTCGTGCCGTGATTTACATGGAACGGCAGGCAGCCCAAGGCCCAGAAGTCATGAGGCCGGGCGTGGAACAGTTTGTCGACGCTGGTTAGCAAACTGATCCACCAAGGTCCAAAAGCCGCGGCAAACTGTTCCCCCCCCGGGACCATAGACGAGCGGGCTCCTTTTGGATGGTTTCTGAAAGCTCTACGGCAATGAGGTCGGGCGGGGACAGTTTATCAGGGTGCTTTTTTTTGGTGGGCCAGTTTGTCAGCTTTGCCAAACTGCTCCACGGCTGTGCTATCGGGGTGGGGCAGTTTTTCAGCGCTGTAGCTTTTTTTGGTTTTTTAAGTCTTGCGGAGTTCTTCTTTGTTCGTTCTTCTTGGTGTTTTTCGAGTCACATGGTCATGGTGTGCCTTGCCCTCGTTCGTAATGGGGTGCGACAAACTGTTCCACAGCCATGAATCACGGGCGGCGGCAACTTCCTCCACAACCAATAGGCAAGGGCTGGGGCAAACTGCTCCACAGGCAAGAAGCAAAGGCCGCGCCAAACTGTTCCACAGCCAAGAAACAAGTGCCGCGCCAAACTGTTCCATTGCCAAGAAACCAAGGCCGCGGCAAACTGTTCCATCGTCAAGACGCAAAGGCTGCGGGAAACTGCTGGAACCAAGGAAGAAGGGCGGCGTCAAGGTGTTTCGCAGATAATTCCTTAACCAAGTGACGAGGTGGCGGATTGCCCACTGATCTCTGAGCTCCAGCCAGGCGGTCCTAGTAAAAGTAAAAGGGATGCCTACCATGGAGGAAGGGGCGGGTCTTCCTCTGTCGTCCCTTGGTGGCCAGCAGCGTCAGCAGGTCCAACTCGGGAGGCAAGGGGCTACAGCTTGGCAGCCATCTTCTCCACCAGCTGTAGTAGCAGAAGTAGGCTCCGATGAAAATGCAGGGAGGTTGGAGTCTGTATGTGGTGGCCTTGCAGGAGCTGCAGATCATGTTCTTGGTGGCGTCGATAGTAGTTCTTCGAAGCCTTCGAGCGTTCTCGCTTTGTCTTCTTCTTCGCCTGCGTCTTCTATTTCAACTGCTGATCGCGTTGCGGATGTGATGAACGCGAATTCTCATGGTCTTGATCTTCAACAGGGAACAACCAAATCTCATCAGCATCTCGTAATCGACAAGTTGAATAAGAAGAAAGGAGGTGGGGCTACCTCAGTAGTAGGAAGTAGAACAGGAGCTACTGCGACTACAAATGTAACAAAGGGAGATCGCCGTGATGTCTTCGAGTCTGGTTGTGCAGGTGCTGCTCTTGCTGCTGCTGCTGGAATTGAGGCTATGGCAATGAAGGGGCAGGTGAACCAGGTGTCGGGTGTCATTGGAGAACTTTACAAGCATCCAGTTCCATCGTCGGTGGCAGCTGCGGCTCCTACTACTCTTTCTCAGGATGTGACGCTTCGAGAATGCAGGAGTCTCTTCGCGAAAAGTGGAAGAAGCTTACCTCCGAGCAAATCTACTAAAAAAGGGGGTGGCCAAGCCCAAGGGTCATACTATCAGCATTATCATTCCGTTGGGGATCGTATGATGCAGCAACCACTTCAGCAACAACAGCAGCAGCTGCATCCACCTTCTGGTCTCACAGTAGCGCCTTTGAACAAGTTGCACCTGGTGTCGCGCCACAGTTCCGCACCGTCTCCACGAGGGTCATCGAGTTCTTTCATGCAGCCTAGTCTTAGTCAGCATCCATCTGGTCTGATTCAAGACCGTGAGCAACATGGTATGGACGCGCATCAGAAACTATTCCCAGCGCTTGGCGCGAGCAGCTCGTCTTCAGTTGGTGTATCTTCTTCCTCGTATCATCAGCAACCGTATCAGCACCCGCAGCATGTGTGTCGCCAGTTGTTTTCACACGATGGCACACAAAGAGCAATAGGTGGACCATCTTCAACATCTCATCGAGCAGGGAGTACTCACTTGCTGCGTCCGCCGAAACAGCAAAGCATGATGCAAATGCCATCCTCCTCGCCTATTGGTACCACAAAAGTATGGGCGTATCCGCATCCTGTAGTGGGTTTTAACATCCGCGAAATTGGCAAGCCAGCTCATCCGTCACACCTACTCCCGCGGTCAGGGAAAAACCTTCAGGTGCGCTTTATGGAATTTGTTTTTATCCATGATGTTGCTGATTGTTATGATACTTGTTTATTATCATTGCATCAAGAAATTTAGTTTTAATGTGTTTCGTGTTTTTTATATTCATGAGAAATATGAATCTAAATTTTTTGTTTCAATTTTTTCATCCAGTAATAAGAAAAATTACATTAGTAACTTTATAGTATCCTGGTTAGATGATGGATTTTCAACATATCAGTCACAACTGTACTCTGATGAAGATATAGCAAGCGTTTCTTTTTCATTCTTGTTTGCTATGCATGTATGTAAATTGTCATGCTACCATGTAACTCATTACAGGTGAATCGCAAACCGGGCGAGGAACTTCCAGAATATCTTGTCGAAGGCTATCCTTCAAATTTGGACTTCTTCAACGTTGGAACAACGCGCGGATTGCTATCTGACGAAGCGCACTACCGAATGTATCGTCGAGAACTGCAGCTCTTCGACGCCAACGGGAATCCAGTACCTGCTCAGGGTGCCGATCTCACTGCTGTCAATTCCGGTATTAGTTTTTCTCCGATGCATGAACAAGATATAGGCACAGGAGGAGCAGCAGTGCATGCTTCTAAAATTGAACCTCCACCATCACGAGTCGAAGCTTCCGGTGATCAACATTCTGCATCTGCTGCAGCTGAAGCGCGTCCCTCTTCGAAAAAACGGCAACAGCAACAGGCTGTAGAACTGCAGCTGCCTTCTGATTCTCTTGGAGTGATTGATGAGCCTGCGGATGAAGGCGCAGTCAACGAGCTAGAGTTGGACTCGCCTCTACTATCCAAATACGAAGGAAAAGCGAACCAAGGAAACTCTTCCAAGAATATAGCGGCCATCGATGATCAAAATCAAGTAGAGTCTGTTACTGGTGGATTTTCTGCTGATACTTTTGAAAACGAAGAGGAGCGAGCATTTTGGCAGCAGGGTTTTGGTTCTGATGCAGATGGTTACGACACACAGAAATGGGTTAACAATTTGCATCACCCCGAGTGCGTAAAGACTCGCAACGAGCGAGATGAACAATCACTACAACAAAATAGATCATTGCAACAGTCGAACCTGAAGAGCACGACTGAAGAGCACAAGTCGTCGTCTCGTTTGGCATCCTCTTCTTTTTCTGCTGTCAAGGTGGTAAGTGCAAGTGCTTCTTCTCATGCTAAATGTACTCCGCTAGATCAACAAGGCTCAGGAATTACGGGTGCCAGCAGTGGAACTGAGCACCACATGGAGAAGCAGCCAGCAGATGCTGCTGTAAATGAAATCCATCATAGCTCCAATCATGAAGCGCTGCTTGGTAAAATTGATGTGGATGAGCCACACCAGGAGCAGCAGAATCAGTCGAGTCTGCAGCTACCAGCTCGCGCTGGGCAGATGACATCGAGCAAGCTCGTGTCGTCAGTAGCTGGAAGTAAATACTACTCGTCACGTGGCATTTTCGATCAACGAAAGCGGTTGACGGAGCGCATTGATGAGATATCAGCAGATCCACCGGCAGCATTGAGTCCCACGTACTTTGTGCATCACCTAGGCACCTCTGCTGCCTTGCATGGCTTTAGTCCTAAAAAACACAACATGATCAAAGGACTCCCAGAAACCAGAACTCCTAACTTTGGTAGAGATCTGATGAGTGAAGATTCTCAGGCATGCCTCCGTGGGACGTATCTCGCCAATGGAACTTCCGACTACACTCGACAAGGGCGGAATGAGTTGGTGAGCATGGATTTGGATTCCAGTTGCAATGCGAGCCCTCAGGAACGCACGCGTTTCTTCTCGCCGAACCTGCTGAACAGCCGTGGCTTCAATTCACCTTCGGTTGCAGGACCTGCTCACACTAGTCCCGGCAGTCCCGTCCGTGCTCGGAAGCCGAAGAAGATGCAGGCTCTTTGTCACAACGATCTCGTAGCTGCGACGACGTGTCCTGGTGGGTCGTACATTAAAGAGGATCGCAAACTGCGCCAACCATGTGGCCGTCTAGCAGGTGAGCCATTACATCTCATGGGCTTACCGTACGATGCGCACGAGTTAACACGTGACACCGCGGCACTAATCGTGAAAGACATGAGGAATCGCGGCATCAGCTTTCCGCAGATGACGTCGGAAGTGACGCCACTCAGACAACACGGCAATGGCGGACCAGTAGTAGACTTGGAGAATTGCCAGACTCCCGCAGGCAACTTCGTCATGAACAACTATGGTTGGTTGGTCGGGCCGAATGCGCCGGGAGAAGCGTACTCCTTCCGTCAGTACGGAGTCTTCATGCCTATCGAGTTCGTTACGAGAGTTGACCTGACGTGTGACGACGCTAATCGAAGGGGATCGCGATACTTCAGTCAAGAATTCGACCAAGTGGCGTCAGGTCTCGGTGAACCGCTCAACCCTGCAGAATTACGTATGAATGCAGCACTCTCAGCACAAATGAGCCACACGTACACTGTGCCGGAGTGGTCTACGGGACGTTATTTCGCATCGCCGTGGGCACTTGCGAGAGAAAACGTTGAGGTGAGTTCTTCGGATGAGGAGCCGGATGATACAGATAGAGCCTTTGCAGAACAATATGCTCAGGACGTTCGATCCGACGAAGATGAGCAGCAACAAGATCGGCGTAGGAAACATACTGGAGCAGGAGAGCTTGGTCGAGCCAGCTCCTCAATGAAGAAGAGTAGTCTTAAAGGAAAAAGTCCTGCATCATCAAAATCGAAGCCAGGAAGCGCGAGGAAATCAGAAGCACTAGACCCCTCGAAGTCGGGAAAAGAGGGTGCGGCCACTGCATCAAAACAACCGGAAAGAAAGGCTGATGAAAAGGAGAAAGGAGACCACAAGGTGGCTGCCCCCTCTTCCATTTCTTCTTCTGCAGCTGAGGTCAAGAAAAATAGTACATCTACGAGCAAGAAGCAGAAGCAAGCTCACGGAGATGAGAATGTGGCTGAAAATAAAGATGAGACTGGTACAACTACAATGGAGAAAGATGGAAATGCTTCTCCTGCAGCATCACAACATGGTAACAAAAAACCATCTCCCAAAGCAAAATCGAAAGCAGTTGATGTGGAGAAAGAGGAAGTTTCTGGTACAAAGAAGGCTGAAGACCTGACCTTCGTTCCCGTAGCCGCGAATTTGTCGTTGCCACAGTCTCTCGTCACTCTTCGCGACTACCTACTCAAGGAGAATCCCGCGGTCTTAGATGCATCCATGTCACCGACCAGGAAGCAGATGCAAGACGAAATACAGAAATGCCAAGGACTTCGTGATGGAGCACGCTTGGCTATCAATAAAGTTCGCTTCGACGCAAATGCTAAAAATGCGAGCGACGCAGAACTCACAAGGCGCAAAGAGCTGGACAAACTCATCGATCTGTACAAAAATTATGTTGATCCAAAGTACGTTGTCAGTGCTCGCGCATCTGCGAGTTTGAGCAGTATGCTAATCAGGAAGGAGTAGCAGCAGAGTTGTTGTATATGTCTTGCTAACCGCTCTGCAGCGAGTACTTCCACTTCTAAGATGAATGCGAATGCCGATCACCTCGAATAGTACTCATATCTATCAGACTCAGACTTACTGTAGCCTATTAGCTCCAGTGTGAGTCCAGTATTCAATATTTATTATTCATACTTATTTCTATTAAGGATCAAAGCAACGGCTTTCTTTTCTAAGTCACGCGCAGCAAATGGTTACGCAGACGCCTCGCGGGTGGCAAGCCCAAAGTAGATCGAGAAACTGGAGATGAAGAAATCGATTGTCCTCTTGATGAAGCATTTGTTGAAGCAGATGATAGCTGTGAAGACACTGCTTTGGAACAGCAAGGCAAGCTGCCACCAATGAAGAGACAACGCACCATGGCTAAAGCGAGTGCTGCGAAAGCTAAAGCCAAAAACAAGCCAGGGCCTAAGAAGACCGCTATGAAGACTGCAAGTAGTGAAGGAAACAAGTCATCTTCTTCGTCGTCCTCGTCGTCAGGAGCAGCACCAAACGACAGTAGCAGCAGTACCACGATGAAGAGCGCTTCAACATCTACGATGAAGAGCGCTGCAATGAAGAAGAGTATTAACATTGGGAAGCTGCAGGCTCAGCGGAAGCGAGCTGAGAAAGCAGTAATGAAATCAGCAATGAAAACGGTAATGAAGAAAAAATGATGATCGACAACTACGCCTACAAAATGCACTCCTCTATTGACTAGAAGTCTCGTCCAGGACTAGTATTTGCTGCTGACGACGGCGCCCTGGTGCAGCTTGGTACTACATTTACAATAGCAAGCTGCAGTTTGGCTTTGGTGCCATCAAGAATCTACATGATCTTGATATCCCGCGTTAATCATTAAGTCCAGCATTAATGTTCTCCTTCTCACTTTCCCTCGATGTGTACCTATTTCCATCATATGCCTCGCTCTTGATCATCGCGCCTGTTCTCATACTGAAGTCTAGTAGCATCCAGCATGGATTTTCAACATAATGTCATCTATGATGTACTACTACTCGACAAGGTTTCTGGTTGTATTCTGTTTGTTCAGATTTGTTTCTTTCCATCGTCTCTCCTTCAGATCCTGCAGCTTCTTATCCGTTCTGCCGACGAAAGTAAGGTATATTCCTTGCGGCGTGACCTTCCAACATTCATGAATTGTTATGGTACAACGGATTGGCTTGAGACTTTTTTGATGAAGCTAGTAGAAGAAGAAGGGGAGCTTGTAGCAGATTGTCGAGCTGAACGAATTGTAAGAATATCTATGACTGATGGCGGTCCGCGTTTTGGGAGAAAAGAGTTTGTAAGATTACCAACAACGCACTAGGTGTAGGTGGATCTTCTGATTAAGCGCTTCCACCACTCTCGCCTGTAATGGCACAAACTGATGGATCCTCTGGATTCAAGAGGACGAGCGCTCGTTTAATTTTCACGTAGCTAGAATGCAAAAACTATACTTCTCGTTCGTTCCTCGAAGATCTTGATACTAACTATTAATGCTACAACAGGTGCAATATGATTGGTTCATCATCGTTCATCTTTCATATTCCGTCAATTCGAAACTTGTTCTTCTTGTGCTCTCTTGTTTCTTCAAATAGTTTCTAATGAAGTGAACACCTATTGCAATATTTATTACGAATTCCCTCCTCCACCCCTTCATTAGAGGACGTCATCCGATGAGAACCACGCAAAATGCTGTCACTCAATATTGATTATTTAATCAAGTTAGTACCGGGAAGCACAAACTGCGACGAGTGTGGAAGTAGTTCTTATTCTAGGATAACCTGCGTGCAGCCACATCCTCTGTTCTTATAATTTACTCGTCATGATGATTTAAAACCTTCTTTTTGCTTTCATATCTGGTGCTAAGATTATACGTAAACTCTTTACCCCTTTCAATTATTGAATAAAATCATGACGGCTCGGTCAGCCCGCTGTCTCTTCTTACAAAGTTTGAAATGAATGCACATAATCAATAGAAAGCCGAATTATGAACCTTTGCTGTACTCCATTAAAATCATGTCCTGCTCTCCACATAAAAGAATCTGAAATATTGAATGCGCCCGGGAGTTCTACAAGAGCAACCTGGTCAACTTGAGACATGATAGAAGACGAAGCTACCATAAGCTCCATCCACATTTCATGAACGTAATGCATGGTGAGGGCCCGCTGCCTTGCTCGTAGTGAATTCATCCGGTAGCACGTATGGAAGCCTAATGGACGCTGTGACGAGAGAAGGTCGAGAAATGGTTCATCCCGTACACGTCATACACAGCATCTACGCGCGGGGTTCAGTGCTTCTAATAATTATAGGCAAAGCCTCCTTCCATCTCGAACGCGAACTACTATACCATACGACGAAGGAGAACTCTTACTAGCTATGCGACCAGTCACAAACTTCCGGAAATACTATATACGTTATGCTTTTATATCAGTTATTCCTCTCTCCGACGCTCAACATGCAAACTCATTAAGCATGAGAGTCGCCTCAATCTTTTCACAATTAAGTGTGATTTTAAAAGTTCCGAAGACCCCGCGTCAGTGTGTTATAGGGTACTAATATTTTCTAAAATCGTGCATTCATCGTTAAGCTTCGTTCTGTAGTGCTCTGTCTCGCTGAGTTATATGCGGCACTTACTTCATTGCAATTCCTGGCTTGCGTATTAGTTTTTCCATTTCTTCTTGGCATTTTCGTCGTCCCTTATCATACAAGAATCATATAAAGAATGGTCCTCTGCGTCCACATCGCCACGAGCGATTCCTCGACGATGTTCGCCGCACGGTGCAAATGACTACTCACGACTGAGTCATGCTTGAAGCGGCCACCATGGAAAGTATTCAGCAAGCATGGAGGACTCACGAAGTAGAAGTAGACACTTAATTATTTCAGTGATCAGCTATTCAAATTTTCAAAAAATACATTTCCATTCTCTGTCTCCGAGGTATTCGGAAGATTTCGCAAATTCGAAAACTGATTACTCCAGCCTACTTTTATATTAGTTTTCAGATAACGACGAAAATCAACAACTTTCAGGGCGATCAGACCCTAGAAGTGCTGTCTCCTTCATCACACCCGGGCGACCCGAATACTGATGAAAGTAGAGGCCTACTTCGTCTGATTCCGCAAAATTCGAGCAGCAGCGTGTCAGAATCAGAGCGTTCCCAACGAGCTGCTCCCAGCGGTGCTCGTACTCATGTTGATACTTTAATCGTGTGCCCCTTCTTTTAAATAGAAATAGCAGCTAAGCTTGTTTGGTGTTAAAGCTTCCTCTGCATAAGTGATGTGGGACCAACAGAACATCCTCCTCGATGCCATTTCCATATAATTGCATGTGCCAAAAGTGGACATCATTTCTTCTTAACTGTTTTCCAGGTCTCTCGTCCTGAAGCACGCAATATGAAGACCACGAGGACTGCGACTGTGCAGTAGATACACCAGACGAAGGCAAACTGCAGCAGGAAAAGCTATCTAAGTCTGATACTTCGCAATGGTAATGGTTATATAATGCGTTGAAGTATCCCGCATCCGCAATTGTTGCGATTGCAGCGAATATCATGCTGCGTGTGTATTGCCGCGCATTCGGTAGCAATAGGTGGACGCAGGAAACCTCTTCGGCTGTGGATCGCACATGTCCAGGGAAAAACTGTGACGCAACGACCACGACAAGGAGTCCTTCACCCCATCAATCAACAAACGAAACGGATATCTGCTTCTCGGCTATGAGAACGTGCCGCGCAACCTCACAACTGAGGAGACGGGAAGCGCTTCTTCTTGCTGGTGTTAGACGTGAACACCTTGAGCTGCAGTCAGAGGAGTAAGAACAACGATGTCCCAGCATCATCCTCTTCTACTAGTATCAAGACAAGTACAACAAAGTGCCACTTCTTCTACTGATCGGCTTCTTGCTTCCCTTGCAAAGTGGCGACATCGGCGTCAAGGATCCTCTATTTCTCGTGCTGCTAGCACTTCGCCAGGCAGTCCGCGTTCATCAATATCTACAAAGGAACAGCAGCCGCGTGGTCCTGTTTCCTGGTGCCTGCAGAGGAGGAGGAGTCGTCTTGTAGCCTTTCTTGCCTCTGTTCCTGATTTGAGAAAAGAGCATTCTACTCATCCTTCAATGAAGATTATATATGTTTTCATGTAATGCTTTGCCAAGTGATCGTAGGGCTGTTTTACTGAAAAAATTTTGATGCTCATACATGACGCGAACAATTTCTGATACTACATGTCCACGATGAAAACCTTCTACAACAAGAAAACCAGAATGGAAACAAGAAGCTTCAGCAATCCTTCGAGGTCATACACAAATAGGCAAAGCATGACGCTGGGGAGCACTCCTCACTAGATATCGCCACAGCTCGACATGATGACAATAAAGGCCAGCTCATTATTTGCTACCGGAAGTCTGCAACGATTGCTGAGAGTGTTCTTCTACGGTCGTGGCTGAGCTATCGCGTTGCTGAGGAAAGCGTAGCTCTTTGCTCTGATTGAGAATTGACGCATGCATCGAAAAGACGGGGTTGATTCTATTGAACGAGTGAAAAATCGCGGCGCTGGGAATGTAATCAGTGACTCGTTCCTGAGTTACCAACTCTCCTCTGAAGTTGATGCTCGTCTTTCTTGCTCTTAAATGACTAAAGACGAACTCAAGAAGTTCTACGAAAGTGCTTCTAATATCATCAAGGCTGATCAGCACGCATCTACTTCTCCTTTTTATTCATATTTTTGCTGTTGTTGTTGTTGTTGTTGTTGAAGAATTCAAAAATCATCTGCACGTCGTTTTCTTCCTCTAGGTTTTTTTTTATAGTACAGTTTTACAGCTGAGTCTCAGATGAGCACTAGTACTACTCACCCGTTGACAACGTGTTCTGCTGGACAAGTATTCTTCCATTTCATCTTCCGCATAGTGATGACTTAACTGGAAGCTCTTGCTTCTCGTTCTTCTCTGGAGTTGACTTTTTTTTACAAAGTTGGAAGTTGTAGATTTGACTTAGAGTTATCTTATATGCATCGACGTCTGATAGTATGATGTTGTGATAGTATGATGATTGATATTATACATCATAGAGACCCCCGGGGAGGTGGATCGATTCACAAGTGCCGCGCCTGTGGTTACTGAACTCTTCTTAGTGGTGCTTCGCTCATAACTCAATCTCAATTGGAACCTCTTACTCCTCATAGGAAAACTGCTTCACAAAAACGAGATCGAAAATACGTACCAGCTGGCACACGCTCACAAGAGTATCTACATCCTACAGCCCATCTTCGTGTTGCATAGTCGAACAATAAAAGCATCAAAATGGCGGACAAATCTCCTAAGAAGAAGGAGAAGCCGACAATGACGATGGGGGACGCGGCAGCGATCTCGCGAAAGTGCGGCATTCCCCATTCGCCTCTCTTCTTCGATGACTACAAGAAATTTTGGGAATCCGGAGTACGCGCTCACTTTTTCAGAACAATTCTCCTTTTTATTATTTTCGTCTATTTTTATGCATCTGGATGTAGTTTGTGTGTTATGGTTGTGGGCGTAAAGACTGAAAAAGTTACTGAGTAAGAGTTTAGTTGTGATTTTTGTGATTTTTAATCATCGATATTAAAACTCAATACACCTCAGGTCTATTCCTCTCATATCACATCTCTATCAGTATTACCGCGCGGACACCGCTGCTCTCGAGCTCTTGTTTGGGAACAAAGATTTGAACAAATTCTATCAAAACAAGTCGCTGATCAAAGACCGTATCACTTTCGATTATTTTCTTAGATTTCAACAGTAGACTTTTACTCAGCACACGACTACAAGAATCCATCTTTTTGCTATTCTTTCAGACAATTTTTTACGAACTCCTCGCGTTTTTAATGAAAGGATAGAACTTGTATGTTGGAAGAATTTCTGTGGACATGGACTCTCGTTCTCGTAAGGTTAGAAAACATTCTGTCCTCGTTCCATCCTATCAAAGTCACAGCTCGCGCGCCCTCATGTATTTTATACACCCAGAGCGGATGCAGTATACCAATATTTGCGACAACGCCGATGACTGGGTCAAGCGTTATGGCTGGCATTTTTCTTTCTAACTAAAAGTCTGTGAAAATTTAGCCTGTGTTGAAAACCAATGTAGTACGGACCCACTGCAAAAACCCAAGTGCTTTCCTACTTCATGTAGTACTACCACAGGAAGTAGCTCCCCATGAAAGATAGGAATTAAATAAACTACATTCAGTCCTCAACTGGGCGTGGACTCGCCAGGGGTGCGCGCTCTGCTTACATGCATTGCGCCGCCGTCATTCAACCTATGAAAAGTTCTAATATAAGGTCGCTGCAAGAGTGGTTCCGACGTATGGAAAGAAGACACAGCTAAATCCGACGTCTTACGACGAAGAATGCTGGGAGACTTTGCTGGTATATATATATATGCAGCGTTCGCCTCTGTGTTTATTACCTATGTGTTTTCTGATATGCTGTTGCTTTTTTTGCTGGTTGAGTAGCATGCTGTATTGAAGGAAACATGTAGCTCTTGCAAGTTTGACCCAACTCTTCATACCATCAATTTTTTCTTCCATATCAGGAACAAGCCAGAACCCGACTGCCGTGTATCACCACTGGAGGCTGTGCGAACACCTGTGTCCGAGAACTGAAGCAATTATTCACGGTTTGCGGAGGACGTGGATCAGATCTGCACAACCCGCATAAATTTGCGTTTTTTGGATCGACGGCCGTAACCGTGTTTGGCCGATGTGTGGAAATCAAGGCATACGAACAAGCATACAAAAACAACCCTACCGTACAAAATGAACCGTGGCGACAGCTGAAAGAGGTACTACACATATTCTCTCGGCTGGCCATGTAGCTCATCTTTAGATGTAGCGTGTGCGTCTGTAGTGATCTTTGCTATGCCCTCTTCCGAGGAAGTTCATCCAGTCTATCCTTACCAGATCCCGACCTCGTCTTCTACTCTTGTTGAAGCTTTTATTTAGTGAGAATATATAAACAGAAGATGGCTTAGAATCGTGGTGTGTACTAGATGTGAGACGTTTTCTCACTATTTAACGAAACTACAGCTTCGCCCTCTCATCCTCCTCAGTTCCTCCCTGAAAACACCCTCACACACCCATCATCACGCACATCTTCCTCACATCTGACACACGCAGTACTTTGAACTGGAACGCGACGGGTTAATTCCGATGGCGGATTCACTACAAGAGTGGGCAGGTTGGCTGGCTTCTTGTCAATCGCAGCGAGACGCTTATCTCCTTTTCGCGAAAATGACAAACACAAAGCAGATTGTCACCTTGGAGACTGACAAAGAGAGGATGTTGCAGTTTCCTCTGACTCGAAAACAAGCAAAGCAGCAGCTGCAGCGGCTGTTGTCGTTGCAAAACGAGTTGAACGAAAACGAGATTCTCATCCCGCAGAAACTTATTCAACGAGCCGGAGGAGATAAGGCAATGATGAAGCTGAACAACAACACAACCAAGCAGAGCAAGAGACCTGCCGCACCTGGGTCGCCAGGTGCGCCGCTGCCGAAAACGTTCCATTTTTTTACTTATCACCTCCTTGTATATTTCAAGCTGTAGCTTTTTCATGACATTGCTATGACTTGTTGTTGCTGTACATGAACGCTGATAGTACACATCTACGCGAGACTCTTCTTTCTACTACATGTTGTTGAGCAAGTGCGTCGACTCTTGTGCAATTCTCTGAATCCATTAAGAGTGTGAATGTCCTTTGATGAACTCACTACCACTGCAGGGCCCGATCCGATAACGCCTCCGAAGCCACATATCAAACCAGTACGTTCGATAGTGGTCGCGCCACCCACTTAGAGGCCAGGGAAGCGTATAGTGGACTTTTTCGCAGTGAAAATCCGACACCGAGCGCATTCCACGCCGCCGGAACCGACGCTGATTCTACGGCTGCTGGCACAGGCGCGACGAATCAACAAACAAGTGCTTCAGCTTCTTCTAGTAACGTGAACAACAACAACAACAACAACAAGAACAACTACTCGTTTAACACGCCTGCGCCAAATAGGTTGAATTTCAATAGTAAGGAGAGCATGATTTCTGCTGTTATACCGCTTGTTGCTGCGGATTCTTGTTTCCTTTTATCTCCGAATGTCAATGAAAATGACGGCATCTCGGGTGGAGAGGAGGAAGGGCTGACTCTCAGCATCGATAGTAAACAAAAGAAGAAAGGAATTCGTAAGGACGATCTTCTTCTGGGGAAGCTCTCCAAGAACGTCACTGCATCTAACAGCAAGAAAGACGAGCAGCAACAAGCAGCGCAGAAATCTTCTCCTACTTCTAATTTTGCAGCAGATGACGAACCGGCGTCATCTCGAGTAGTACGACCAGGAGCAGCGTCCTCTTCATCTACTTCTTCAGCAGTACCAGGATCAGCATCGTCATCTTCCAATCAAGTTCCTCCTGCTCCATTTCTCTCTTCTGCAGAAAAGACGACCACGACCGCTGCTGCTCCTGTTGCGCAAGAGACTACCACTACCACAACGACTCTGCTTGGAGGTGGAGATGAAGCCGCTTCTGCTCCAGTACCCATGGATGTTGATCAAGATCCTGCACAGAATGCTCCTCCTGCAGCAGCGGCGCCTGACCTAGATAACGCTGTGGTGCGCCCATTGGATCTGCCGAGCCAAGTTCTCCGCCCTCCGGAGAATGACATCGCAGCCGATGAGGACGATGATAATGCGGACACTGATGCTCAGGAGTAATTAGCTCCTTGCTTGCATTGTTAAAAAGTATCAATGTGGTTGTCGATAACTCAATGCATTTGAATTCGTAACGCACGCAAAAACGCACACTAGGATCTATAAGACTCAGCACCTCTGTTACGGCCTTATAAATGACAACTACAGGGTGCTCGAAGTCACGTTTGTCGCGCCTCATGGTATGAACCTCAGGCGTTTGGTGTGGATCAAGGAGGATCTTAATCCAGAAGGAGGAGAGAGGAAAGGAGAGAAAATGTCGTTAGCAGATCTGCCAGACGCGGAAAAGAGTATCACAGACGCGGACCTCAGCTGGATCCAGAAAGAAGACAAACATGGTTCAGAACACGCGAAGTTGTTTCGCCGATTGGAGAAGGTATAGATAATCTACTTGATAGCTTCGCTGCGAGGATGAGTTTTAGTTTCTTTTTGAAATTATATGGATGATTCAATCACTTGCAAATGGTGTCTGGCTGCACTGCAGCGGAGAGTCCAGGTGGAAAAGGGCCAGCATGATACTGCTGGCACACCGTCTTGCCCGTTGTTAAATTTTTCACTCATTTGTTTCCACGTATAAAAATCAACTCGATGCACTTTTGTATTCTGCATCAAGGCAGAAACTGACCCATACCCTTCATCCTTGTCATCATTCGTCATACTCTCGACTTCATCTATCAGATCGTCTATCTTACGATGGCAGACGCAGAGGATTTTGATGCGAGTTGCGCGCTGGCGTTTCACTACCAAACCAAGGCAGCGTGCCCGGGGTGGATCAAAGCGAGAGCAGAGCTGAATGAGCTAGTCATTTGGCTCGGTGTTGAGTTCTCCAAGTGCAGCATGCGTGCTTTCTTCGCGGACAGAAACGAAGCAATGAAGCGAAGCATACAGGCAACCGACTCTGGAAAAGAGTTCCTTCTTTATGGCTCGAGCATTCGGCTGACGAATTGAATAGCTCCACCCTCATCTTGCGTTCCCTCTAATTCCTGTTGATGCTACTACTGAAAATCTTTCTTGGAGGAGCTTATCTACTTTTTAATGGGACAACTTGCCATAGGCGCTGTGTTCTTAAAGAATCGGAACGAGCTATCATTTTGTGCTTTCCTTAGTAACCTCTGAAGTATTCCATTGCGTAGGCACTACGCTACGACTTTCCAGTAGTACCCGCTTCCTTCTTGCACTAGCTTAATCCCCATAGAAATGACACCTAGTAGTATCTTCTTTCATACCTTCGCCGCTCTCGATTACGAGCGCCCCTACCTACGACACCGAACGGATCCCATTGTGTATTGCGCGACGAGCGGAACACTGCAGGACTTCTTTGAGTTATGGCAGGTCGTCACAACTGATTGAATAACTAGCGCTAGTCTACAGAATCGGGGCTGCGAAGTCGGAACTGTCGACGAGTTGCGGCAGCGATGTGGAGGGGTATTAGGGTTGGGAGGGCGGCACTATCTGAAGTCGTGGGACTCGTGCTGATCAACAGCTACGGACGTAGGCGGAACGCTCTCGCCTCTATTGTGCCAGCAGCGCACTCGCGTGGCCCTCGTTCCTTGGTTGTGGAACAGTTTGGCGGCGCCTTTGTTTCTTGGCTGTGGAAAAGTTTGCCGCGGCTTTTGTTTCTTGGCTGTGGAGCAGTTTTTCGCGGCCTTTGCTTCGTGGCTGTGGAACAGTTTGTCGCGGCCTTTGCTTCTCGGCTGTGGAACAGTTTTGCGCGGCCTTTGATTCTCGGCCGTGGGGCACTTTTTCGCGGCCCTTGCTTTGTGGTTGTGGCGCAGTTTGCCGCGGCCTTTGCTTCTTGGCTGTGGGGCAGTCTGTCGCGGCCTTTGCTTCTCGGCGGTGGGGCAGTTTGTCGCGGCCTTTGTTTCGCGGCTGTGGAACAGTTTTTCGCGGCCTTTGCTTCTTGGCTGTGGAACAGTTTGTCGCGGCTTTTCCTTCTCGGTTGTGGTTGTGGAACAGTTCTCCGCGCCCTTTGGTTCTCTGCTGTGGGGCAGTTTGTCGCGGCTTGTGCTTGGTGACTGGGGGCCTGTTTGTCGTGGTCTTCGCTTCTTGGCGGTGGAGCAGTTACGCGCGGCCCTTGCTTGAAGCTGAAGCTTCGTGGCTGTGGAACAGTTTGTCGCGGCCTTTGCTGCGTGGCTGTGGGGTAGTTTGTCGCGGCTTTTGCTTCTCGAATGGGATCAGTTTGCTGAGGCCTTTGCTTCTCGGCTGTGGAACAGTTTTTCGCGGCTTTTCTTTGGCGGCAGTGGAGCGCGCTGCTTGTCGTGGCCTTTGCTTCTTGGCTGTGGAGCAGTTTGCCGCGGCCCTTGTTTGGTGGCCGTGGAGACGCTTGCGGTGGTCTTTGTTTCTTGGCTGTGGAACAGTTTTGCGCTGCCTTTGTTCTTTCTTCGTCGTGGAGCAGTTTGTCGCGGCTTTCGTTTCTTGGCTCTGGCGCAGGTTGTTGCGGCATTTGCTTCGTGGCTGTGGGGCAGTTTTTCGCGGCCTTTGCTTCTTGGCGGTGGCGCAGTTTCTCGCGGCCTTGGTTCCATCGCTGTGGAACAGTTTTTCGCGTCTTTTGTTCTTTGGCTGTGGAACAGTTTTGCGCGGCTTATTTGCCACGCGCAGGCGCAGGCGCAGGCGCCTCGGGTGGCAGCCTCTGGCAGGGCTTTCGACGTGTGGAACCCGGTGGCGAAGTTTGCTTTGGTGCGCCTTTGATAGTCGCAGAGGGAACGCAGCGCGTTGACTCAATTGCAAAGATGCCGCTGCCCACTGGTGAGGGCCTCCGCAATGATCTGAAAGCAAGCTGGTGGCGTGTCTGAGTCTGGTGACGTAAGTGCGGCAGCGAGAGGAGCGCTTGGGCTAAAGCTTTCGGAGAATTCGCAGTTCTCGTTCTTGGTCGCAAACTACGCCGGTGCCCGATGCCGGTCGCTGTCGCAAAAGCGAGAAAATGCAGAAGGAGAGGCCGCTTGTCTGGAAAGGTAAGAAGTACGAGACTACTGGAGGGCTGACGCGTTGCGACCTGGTGAAGAACAACGACAGCAGCGGGAAAGGCTTCGGGGCGGCCCTTGAGTATGTGGGCGCGCGGAAGCAACTCCAACCAATGGCGTGGGTTGTTTAGTCTTGGCGTGCGTACGCGGGAACTGAGTAAGAGCAGAGGCGACAGCAAAAGCAAGCGAAGTGGTTGCGCAACGAACCCGAGCGGCGGCGAGAGGCTTGCGCCGTGCTCTCTTCATAGGCTTCGGGCTCTCTGTATCTTGTGGGCTTTCTTATCGGCAGCCGCTGCGCACGGACACGCTGGCGCCGCGTGCCCATCGCGCTGCCCCCGCCTCTCGCTTTGTTCCGCTAGAAGTATTGAAGTGTCTCTCCTTGCGCCTGCCCATGCATGCGCCGCCTCCTTTTTCCAGCTGAGCTGCAGGCGGTCTTCCTCTGTTTTTCGCGTCCGTCATGCATCTTCTGGCGCGTGGGTCGGGGGTGATGGGCGTCGCGCGTTTTGAGAAATATTATCTATTACTTTATCCACCTCTAAAAATGATTGTGGGACGATTTACCCAAAGTTCTGGCGTTTGCAGCGCAGCTGAGAAGGTCGCCGATAAAGTAGCAGAAAACGCGGACAAGTTGGGAATTACGTCCGGTCTAGCATTGCATCAGTATTGCCTACAGGAGGCACAGTCTGCATTGCCGAAAGGTGTGGTGGCGAACCCTTTAGCTGTGTACACGATGACGCTGAAAGCGTTTAAACGAGGACTATGAAAATTATAACTACTTGATTATTTTGTACGAAGTCTATCACTTTGACGCATCTCCTGAAATTCACAAGAAAGCGCTACTCTTTTTTGCCTCACTTGTTGCTACTCGTGATTAATTTCCCAAGTTGTTTCTTGTTTCAATTCAAAAACGAGGTAGTACTCAATTCCAAACTTTCTCTTGCGATGGACCCTCTTGAATCCCTCTAAGTCAGCTTGTGGCGAAGCTTTTCGATGTTAATGGAAAACCATTGAACAACAAGATCATGGATTTGTTTAATGGATCGAAAATCCGCATTCAAGACGCTGCTACGAGTACTACGCGCCTTCAGCACGATGCTCCCAGCGTGACGAAGTATCTATGCTCCATTGCGACACTGATGAGCAACTACGTGCTTTTCATAGACACCGTGCTCCGATTGCCGACGAATGCTCAAAGACAAAACATAATCCGACAGGTACTATTTTACTCTCTGGTCTAGCTTTTTTTTCGAAACTCAAACTGTTCAATGGTAGAGAAGGCTATCGCCCTCTGCTCACGGTCCGTTTTGCCTCGCGTCAATTTTATAGTTGCAGCCATTCCCAATTCCATGAAGACACGCGCGTATCGATGAGTCCACCTCACTTACCTAGTATATCGGTTCGCAGCTTAGTCCATTTTCTTCAATGCATTGCAATCCAGATCACAAAAAACTCTATTCTCCAGGCAAGTTCGAATCTGCTGCTGCAGTTATGAAAAAGTGTGGAAAAGTATTCAAGAATAGAGCAACTCAGCTTCAACTCGCTGAAGTCGATACTCACTGGGATCGAGTAAATTCCTGTAGTTTTTTTTTTCTGAAGCTTTGCTGCTCCATCATCTACAACTCTTTCCCCTCTTGAATATAGGATTAGGAAGTCTCTCGCATTATGAGTTCGTTAAACAATAATCTTCATCCCCTTCCCACTTTCATCATCTCCGCTCGCCATCGCAAGAAAACAATTTTTGGAGAACCCCGACCGCGATTTGCAAAAGATGAAGGATTTCAACAGACTCGCGCAATCGATCACAACGAAACTGTTTGAGGCTATCTTTGAGCCCGTTCTTATCGAGCAGCTGAATACGCTCATGGACGAGCAGAAGACGATGAAGGACGCTGAGATCGCCCTCAACCATTATGTAGTTTTGAAATAAGTATGATAATTAATTTTTTTTTGATCTATTTCAACAAGATCATTCGTGGACTCTGCCTAGAAGTAGACGACACTCTCGATCTTAGTGTATAGCTTACTTTCAAGAGTACTAGAAGCAAGACGATGAGTTTCAATTTTGCGGGTTTGTTTCCACTTTGTTTCAAAACCCTTCTTCTAACCTCAGCTCCATTTAAAGCAGTTTACGGTGATGAAGGATGCTTGCGACGAATCTCTGAGGGAGATAATGCTGAACAAATACACATCGAAAGATGTGCAGGTCATGAGCCCAGCAGGTGGAAGCAAGTCAGGAGGAGTAACTGGCATGGGTGCTGGTGTATGCAAGCATGTGACACGAGCTCCGGAAAGCGATTCGTCTGGCGACGAAGGTCAATGAGGCAACTAGAAGGAGAATCAAGATGATAGAAGAGGTGCTTTCGTCTCTTCTGATTCAGATGGGCAAATATTTCTGAGATGTTATCATTATTTCGTAATCGTATGGGTGTTATCATTATCTCTATGGTGAGCTACCTACTCCCCGAGATGGCCAACAAAATGCATGAGTTTTCTTCTTTTGAAGTTTCTTCTTCATATATTCGTAAAGTAACAATACAATTTCACTGCCTATTGCAATTGTTGGAGTTTCTCTTTTTTGATGTGCTGAATCGTCTTCCATTATGATAGTCTTAGTCAGCTGCTGCCACAAGATTGCTTCAGCAAGTATGTCGCGAAGTATATTGGAGAATATAGATAACAACGTATGTGCCGCACATAGCTAACTGGTTAAGACAAGAGGACGGATTCACTTACTGCCACGCTTATCTCTGAAGATGAACAACACACGACACCACTACGACACTGAACGTTTGAAGAAGTAATCTCCCATCAATGTATCGAGAGTAGATGCAGTCTCGCTGTCTTCATCCAGGCAGTTGCTTATAGCTATAGCGCGACCCAATTACTTCAAACTATTAAAAATATGAATTGAAAAAAGTTTACGCTTTGTGCGAGTTTAGTTCTTACCTGTTCTTAGAAAAGATGAACTGCGGCCCGCTGCAAAAATTATCTTGGTAGGATCCTTAGAAGCCAGCTCATATCATTGACATGGCAGCGTGGTGTGCTCTTCTTGTTTTTTATCCTTTTTCAAAAGCAATAACAAGCATTAGTTTAGACGTAAACAAGAAGTAGACGAAGCCCCCCATATTAGTACTTCAGTGTTTATCTTATTTCTAACATCAAGCATCACGACGACGTACCATCATGGTTCTTGTAGTATTAGTTCTTCTGCGTATGCTGTTGATGCTGGTGTCCTGTGATTCCGAAAGCAGGACTATCTTCTTACACCCTTTACGTATGAATTTCATCATGATGAAGATTCTGGTGTTGGTGATTTCTATTGATATGCCTCAAATCTAAATCAGAAACGTGCTTAGCCACATGAAATCTTTCCCTGGAGACTCCACTCTACTGACTTCATTCAGAATCTTCTACTTCTCCCTCGACAACAAATAGGTACAACTTCTACTCCCACGTTGGAGGAGCCGGTGGCGGCCAGATCGTCGAAGGTGGTGTTCATTCTAAGCGAGCTATTAGAAAATGAAGTTGCGAAAGTCATAGTATCGCGAGCGACCCTGACAAAGAGCAGAGAAGTTATTATCGTGAGGGCGGCAGCTGTTGAGTTCCGAGTTATTGAGATTCGTCGCTTCTGGGAGAAGAAAACAAAATCTGAATGAAGGCCTTTTCAATGAAGTGCAAAATAAATATCAAAGAGAAAAAAGGTAATAGGCGAGGATATCTAGTTTTCATGAGTAAGCTCGTGCGTTACAGACCCAGCCCCTCCTCTGTTGAGATACTATGTTCTGTATTATTCGATGAAGTTCAAAAAAAATCCATTTAATATCTATCCCAAAAAATGATCAGACTATCACTCTGAAGAATTTGAATAAAATAAATAAGAAATCTTGACTTGGTTGTGGGGATGCAGATACGCGTCAGAAGATCTATGCTTCACTTGTTCTTGTTCTTGACTTCTTGAAAAATTTGGTTTCCAGATGGATTTTCATAAATCACAGGGTCACTTCAAAACTTCCTGGCGACCACGCTTCTTGTTCTTGTGATCAATTCTAGCAGTAGTTTCTTCGACAAAAGCATCGATGTGGTTCATCTTCAGCTCCTCACTTCCTTGCTTATAAAAGTTGTGATCTCTTCTGAACAATTTCAAGCGTCGTCTTTCGTCGCTTCTACTTGTGGCCGTTTTTCTTTGTGATTCCGTGACCAAGAAGAATCAGCATCTTAAGCTCCTCTCATATTCTTATCGATGGGAAGGCGTCTTCCTGTTGCTCCTTCAAGACCATCCAGTTCTTAAAAAATATTTATTAGAATCATTATCATGAACCGGAAAATATCCCAGTCAGGGCTTGATGTTTGTACTCGGATAAGTATATACCTCCTTCTTCATTTTCTTCGTGGAAGTCTATAGTTTCGGCTCAGCAGAATGATAATAAAGATTAATTGATTTAGTACTCGTTGAGCATCTAACGTCTTATCTTCTTGTCCCTCGTCAGTCTGTCTCTCTCTCCGTAGCAGTAGGCCGACTGGAAGTAAATAACTTTTCAACAACTTCCGAATTTCTCACAAGCTCGGAAGACTTCAGTTCTCTCATGAAAAGCATTTGATTCAAAAACCTTAACATGTCGCTCTTTTTTTATCTGTTGCCAATCTTATGGAAGGACGCTGTCGCGAGATGCCTATCATGCTTCCGCTTTCTTTGCATCTGATAAAAAACGCGAATACTAAGAACTCTTGCCTACTGTAATTTTTGTACTCGTTTCTAATGGTGATTATGCATTCGACGAGTCCGACAGCATGCAAATGAAATACGTTGAAGCCAAAGGCTTTGCTGCAGAGGAACTATTGAACACCTCCACAGATATCAAGCACTGCCTCGCATGCAGCTGCAAAACTTTCGAACAAAGAGCACGCAAGTGGAATACGAATGGCCAACGGATTTGAACATCACGATCTAACAAGATTTTTCTTATATTAAATTGTATTCGTGTTTCAACAATAAGGCTAGGCGCCGTCAGCTTTTATAATCACCTGGGGGAGTCCCTGCCACCGGAAAAAATGATAGGGTGTGGTCCAACGAGGACGTGTTTTGATCTTCATATCTTCAATGTGTGCTACGGATGGAGCTGCAACGAGGATCCAGACAGTAAAACAAAGATCCTACAAGGCATGAATGATCATCCAGATGGAACCGATGGATCACAAAATAAGTAGCGTCTCAAATCACACAAAAAAGATCCACTGAACAAGACAATTCTCTACAAAGATCTGAAGCGTTTTGTCGTGCGTCAAATGGAAGTTCTCCCCTAAATGGTTCCCTAATTTTCCCTAAAATTCGTATGTGGGTTTAAGCGTGTCCGTTTGTTTCTAACTCTTCCCTCACCTTCTAATACTGTAGACAATTCGACTAAAGTTGTGCGTCCTCCCATACAACCTTAACCGCCCTTTTTCTCCAATACTGCTTCTCCAGCGCCCTCCCATCCCTACTGGCGGACACCGACTTCACTGTACGGCGAACACTGCTCGTTTGGTATTCAAGAGCAAGGAAACGGCGGGTTACAAGAAGGACGGTCGCGTCTACATGCAGGCTGACGGCGAATTCTTCATTTGCCGATATCCTAAGTTATGGCTGTACTACCACTAGAGTAGAGATGATAAGCACTTTCTTTACGCTTGCCCTCATCCTAAGCTCAGAAGGAAACCATCTTCCTTACTACAAGCGGGGCTCCTCTGAACATGAACAAGAGCTGCTCTACTATAGACTTCATCTCATTTTCATGCAAACTCTGCATAGAAGGAAACCATCTTCCTGATCTTGTTCGTCTCCCCTTTCCTCTTCTAACCAGCCATATCACGATCCGTCATTTGGCCAGCATACGCGTTTTGGACAACAGGCAGACACCCTTCACCAAGTCTGCGTCTCAGGGTTGAAGACATTTTCTAGTATGTCACTTTACGACATGCTCTTCACCCTCAAGCTGCTACAACATGATCAAGGACAATCATCTTGGACTACTGTTAATATGTTATACCTTCATAGTATGTATAGGAGGTCGTGGGTGAGTGACTTTGTACCTCTACTTGAGTAGCTCATCATGTAACAATGCTAATCTACTTCTACTAACTACTTAACAAGTACTTCTTTTGTTGCTGTTGCAGGAGTTGTTCAGATTCAATTCACTCTTCATTTATGATAGTTGTTCTTCTCTGACGTTTTTTGCTCAAAAATTCCTATTCACGACTGTTCGTAGTTGTCTAAGTAACTGTCTGCGAAATTGTTCCACCACGTGTCCGGCAGCAGTCACGCGCTATCAAGCAAGTTTGGATATCATCATGTACAGGCTGTATATTAACGAATCGAACGAGAACATTACTCAGTATCTATTTTGAGTTGTAACCGGGAGAACCTATTTTGATTCATCGGGGTTCGCAAACAGTTGGTTTCAACATGCGACAACGAGGCCTCAACATTTAATACAGTTGTTTTCAGCTGTCGCCCTAGAACGTCGACGTGACTTTCTTCTTGGACGTTTTTATCTGATGTCGGAACACCATCCTGTTTTCCAGGTGTCTGTGAGCGTTTTGCCCTTGGAAAGAATAACACGTGTTCATCTGCTACTGCTTGCTTCTTGGAAAAGAATAACTACACCTTTTCCTGCTACTGCTTCTTGGGAAAGAATAACACCTTTTCCTGCTACTGCTTGCTTCTTGGGAAAGAATAACACCTTCTCCTGCTACTGCTTCTTGGGAAAGAATAACACCTTCTCCTGCTACTGCTTCTTGGAAAAGAATAACACCTTCTCCTGCTACTGCTTCTTGGAAAAGAATAACACCTTCTCCTGCTACTGCTTCTTGGAAAAGATTAACACCTTTTCCTGCTACTGCTTCTTGGGAAAGAATAACACCTTTTCCTCATGGACAGGGAGTACTTCACACTTCACAACCTTGTGGTGTGGCAGACGACAAAGTAGGCGCCCTTGTGCTTGTGTGGCTTGGGCATGATGTTGTAGTTCTGACGACGCTGACGCACCAGATTGATTATAAAAATATAGCATGATGTTGATGGTGCGAGTAAGATCTGAGCACACGACGACCGCTAATCTCATTATTATTTCTTAGTAGATCACTATTTCTATTGCAATTTTTGCACAATCACAAAGATGACCGGATCGATGATCTCCTGCTTGCTCTTGTACGAAAGTAATGTATGAAAACAAGCAAAGAAGTACCTGCTAGATCGCCTAGCTACGACGAAGCGCGGGAGCATATAACCCCTTGGCTTCTTTGTTCAATTTTTAAACAATCGCATCCCGGTTTCCTTCCTTCTTTTTCGGTCATCTGTTTTCTTTTTCGGTTCTTTGTTAAAGAAACAAACAAGTGAAAAACAAAGAAGAGTGTTCGGGGATTTTTAATAGTATTTAAATAGAGTATTGATCTCGACTGCGATATGAAAACAAGCAAAGAAGTACCTTTACTATTAACTAGATCCCCTAGCATAATGATGACGTCACCACTCGAGGAACAAAGATGAAGAAATGTTGACCCAAAAAAGATTCCAACGAGATCTGACATTGTTCAGATCTATCGTTATCGGCCTCCTGTCCGTGGCCTTGACCTACGGGCCGTTCTCCTCGCTCGGAGTCGGACGAGCAGCTCCATCACAACTACCTCAACCTGTGCCTCTAGTAGCCCTCTCCGGTTGTGAGAACGACCAAAGATGGCGCACCTTCTTAGCGCTCGCGAGAGAAGTCCTGCTGGGTCGTGGCCAGGAGGACTTCTCAGAAGATCTAGGACTCGGAGAAGTTGTCTACGGAGAAAAAGCCACTCTTCTTCGCGAGTTGTCTATGGAGTTGACCCAGGAGTTTGTCCAACGACTGAGTACAACGTATGAAGGGAATCCACGTGGCTTTTCGAAGCAACTTCTAGAGGACTTGCATAAAGGGAAAGCTGTGGTGCTCGTAGGGCGTGGGCGTGGAGGCGAAGAACGCAAGAATGTTGACGAAGAAAATTTACCTGTCGTGGAGACGAATGCAACTACTTCTACTTCTAGTTCTAGTTCTATCATTAACGAAGACACAGGTCTTCGACGTTTTGATGTCCAATTCCAAGTCCCTAGTGGAGAATGTTTCCTCGGCTACCCTGTTGCTGCGGTCTTTTACGCATGGCATTGGCTCAAGGATGTTCAAGCGGAACAAGCCGAAGAAAGTAAGACTAGTAGTAAAGAGGTGGACCAACTACGCGTCGTCATCGACCAACACCGACAAGATGAAGAAGAAGAGATCCAAGGAGCTAAACACCGCGCAATCCGTGAGCATGTCTTTCAGATTCTACAAGCGGCGAATAAGGTTTTGAGTCAAGACGATTTTGATTTGCTGGACGAGACGGGGATGCCAGTATCGAGTTGGGATATCCAACAAGTGCTGTGGGACATCGAACACGGTGGGAGGGCAGTAGAACCACGCAACAGGTGGAGAGCACTCAACCTATCAATTAGTGCTGCTGGTAGGAAAGCGAACAGGAAGGATGATAAAAATGATCTTCTTCTGGGACGTGCGAAGCTCCTTGATGATGAGTTGACACCGTCACGACAATTGGAGGCAAGAAGTTTACGGTTCTACAATCACAATCAATGCACACCGGAATTGCAGAGTGGAATCAACACTTCTGGTTCCGGTTCTAGGAGTTCTTGTGGGCAACGAAACGCCATCCTAGACGACGGAGGCTTCTCTTGCTTCCTACGTCGTGGCCTTATCCCCAATACTGGAGTACACCTCCTGCATCGAAGATCGGGAGTCGTGCAAGAAGAACAGCACAAGAAACAGGAGTGGTCTATACCTAGTATTGCTGCTGGACACGACAACAAGCGGAGCAAGCCATCCACGACAGTCCTATGGCTATCCAGTCATTTTGCTCCGTTCTACGATGCCTTATTCGTGCTAGAGAAGTCCTTCCCAGATTGGACAGTGCATAAACATGGACTGCTGTCGTATCACAAACGCTATTTCCCGGAATATCAGACGGATGATAATTAAGATTAGAAGTAGTCAGTCACTATCTTTATCTTACTTCTGGAAAATGACAATAATAATATGTGGTCTATGAAAATCATGATTGGCTGTTCCTGTTTCACCTTACGAGCCGTCAAGGCGCAAGTAAAAATTCGTCAAGGGATAAAACTACTACCAAGTCATTAAGACAGTACTGTAAGTAGACAACTACCAAGTTATTCAACCAACATGGATAGTGATTGATTGTTGCCGTTAAGGTCCAGCTTTGTACGATATTTTGGGACAAATACACGATCCAGAGACTTTGAGGACCAACGTAAAGATGCATGAAGACTTTGAAGGACTGGAGACTGCGTTTTTAGAATGGGTGCAGGAGAAATTTGGAGATGATTATGAGTCTGGAAGTCTACAGTACACTACTCATGTGTACTAGCTTGTCCTGCTGTAATATCTACAGGCCTCGTACTAGATCTCCTGCCCAGTGAAAAGCCTTCACTGACGCAGCGTGGACGGTTGCTTTGAAATTTTCCTCTTGCATATATGCTACAGATTTGGTGATGTTTTTTCTTTTCCAAGATCTGAAGTTCCAACTTCTAACCGTTCCTCGACATTGCTCTATGTGACCATCCTGTGATTTGGTGTCGGTTCTTTACGCAGCTAATCCTCGATGAGACCAAGAGTTTGAGACACGTAGTAGGTGGTTACGATCAGCCTCATCTCTATGCGGTGCCAGAAAGTCGACACGAGTGGTGGACACAAGAGCTTCGCATGCTTGCAGCAAGGGGCGACCATACTTTTGTGGGGTATACGGCTTTCGGGTCCGTGCAATTCCAGTACTCTCTGGGGAAACTGATTCCATACCAAAAGGCGATGGCATTGCGGTTAGGAGCGAACTTTACAACGAGTACGGAAGATCAAGATCCTAGAGCAGGGCCAGGGGTGAGCGGTGGCGCATCTTCTTATCGGGGACCAGGTGCTTGGAATCCGTATATTGAAGGACAATTTGTAAGGAGCGACAATCTCCGCATACTAGAAATGGGTAGCAGAAGTGGTTTCAGCAATGGACTGTCAATTTTGCTTCGAAGGGTCTTGAGCGCTAGTGGGAAAATAGATGTCTCGGCTTTCATTGGAGTGGTTTTGACGGATCCAGAAACTGGTGAAGAGGTTGCCGATAAAGGGATAGAGTGGTTGCGGAAAGAAGAGAGGAGACTTGATTATGTCACGTCAAGGAAGTCGTGAAGAAGAATCGAGGAAATAAAATCCTCAAAAATGACCTCTTGCCAGGCACATCAATCAATCAGTCAATCAATCAAATGCTTTAATGAGTACTCGATCAGACACCAACATGCCGAACAATACTTACATTTTGGGCATCATGATAATCATCATGATCATCATGTTCATGATCATCATCATCATGATCATCGTCATCATGATAATCATCATCATCATCATCATCATCGTCATCATCATCGTCATCATCATCGTCATCATCATCGTCGTCATGTTGTACTACAACTTATGTTCTTGTATGCAGCATCAGCAAAGTGAGAACCTAGTTCATCTCGCACTCGTACTGATTCGCTCTCTCTAATCCAAACAAGCCTCTCCGTCACCACCGACTCGCGCAGAGAAGCTTTCCCTCCAAGCCCAGTACTTCGACTTGGTTATCCTGTGGCCCTACGACATTTTTAACCTCAAACTAGCCGAATACTACGCGTTGCGCATGCCGATTTTCGTCCATGCAGAATTGTGGCGGTACACAAGACGCGGCTCACACCCTCTCTTGCGTGATGACACTCAACCGGAAAGGCTGGAGAGATGGAATAGGATAAGAAATTTCGGAAAGACTGGAAATAGAAGTTGTGGTGGTGGAGCGGGGGAAACCTTGCCTGGCAGTGTTTTGTTTGAGGTAGGTCAAGACGCTGACGGACAGGTCGACGCTCACGCCTGTAGCCCTAAGGGAACCTCGTCTTCTAGAAGCACTATGGACGACATTCTCGACTTCGAACTCCATTACGCACGCTCCGAGGACGAACCCGAATATCTTTTTTCGCCCCTAGAAACGAAGGGCCGCTTTCAATTAGATCATTGGGCAGGATTCTACTACGGGAGACTGTCAGAGTTCGCTCTGCGACCACACATCCAGTATTTCAGATCGGTTTCGCACCTCTTGGAGATCACGTTGGATCTGCAGGAGGAAAAAGAACTTCTAGATGTGGACGTAGATTCCTCTGCTCGTAGAAATACAAGGTCTCCAACCCTCGTAGAACTCTCGAAGCGTATGGATGTTTGGTACAGGGAGACCAGTAGGGACAGCGTCAAATTTTGGGAACGTCTATTTCAGACGATTTGAAAGCATGGAGATTAATTTGGGAACGTCTATTTGACACGGTTGATGATGGCTTTCGCTTGGATTATGCGATTTAGAAGATACAGGGGACCACTAAAAAAATGGTCCAGAAGGTGAATAGATACTTCCTACTTGTTACGAAACTTACGAATACGGCCATACCTTAGGCATGATCGAATAAGTACCAATTCACAGACTTATAATATATATACTCATCGCGGCCGCGATCGCAGACTTGACTACAGACGCACGAAATGGTAAAGTTGTATTCATCAAATTCAAAGATTGTGTTCCACTCTATCATGAATGGCTTTGGCCGTTCGAGTCTGAGCCTTTTTATTCCCAAAAGAGGAACCGTTTTTACAGCTGCTGCGCTCGTGTTCTTTTCGAGAGAAATGCGCACGCAAATGCTCAGCATTTCAAGAACGCGGGGCGCGTTTTCTTTTGTCCGTTAACACGGAAATGGCTTGCTGATGCTTATGGTTCTGCTGTGGTGTTTAGCTGAATCGAGAAGGTTCCTGCGTTCCCCTTCGCCCCTCAAATAGCCAACGTCAGTGAAGTACTTTCATCATGCGACAACCAGAAGAAGCTTCTTTAATCACGCAGACGCAACCACGATCTCCCTCTTTTCTTCATCTTCTACTTTTCGTTTTCTTTATTAGCTACGATCACCAGACGCGGGTACTTCACATCTCTGAAAATGCTCCCTCTTTTGTCCCCTGCTTGGCTCTTTCCGACCGCCGTTCTTTTCTTGGGAACAGTCGGGCCTGCTGTGACTTGGCTAGCAAGTCCTTCACTGGTAGAGGCACACTCATCCACTGGTAGATTGCCTGAGATTTCTTTGGCTCATGTAGTACCCATCTCTGATATTATCTCTTACTCTTCTTCAGCTTCTTCGACGGGGGACACTCCTCCAAGCAACGGAGGTCATCCTCCTGTACGTGATACTAGTCCACTTTCATCAACAACTACTAGCAGTGCCACTGCCTCAAGCTCAACTAGTACAACTCCTAGTAGTACAACAAGCTCTACTACGTCTACGTCCTCTGCGTCCCACAAAAACGACGTCCAAAGGTCGTATCTCCCGGACCACATCCGCGTTAGAACGACGGAGGACTTCCGCAAAACACTAGTAGCTGCCATGGGTGAAGACGCCAACCCATTTTTCTTACACAGAACAATTATATCTTTCAGCTGTTTTCAGGTATTTGCAAACAGCTGAAAGGTGTTCCAAAAGATGGGTTGCTGGTACCTTTAAGCCAGACTTGGCCAGCTTTCTACCGGTGTATTTAACTAGGTTTTTGAAGAGCAATGTTTGTGGAGTGCGATTCAATCACGCCTTTGCGTTGTATACGGAAGTACGACGATTGGCTATGGAGTCGAAGGAGATCGATATGGTTTTGGAAAGTGGGTTTAATTTATGAATGACACGACAGTGTTCTTGGAGGAGAGTGGCTTTATTTATCGATCTCTATGGATTTGTGGATCAGTTTAGAGAAACACCTGCCACCTGTTAGTTTTGGTTAGCCATCGAACATCGTAATTGGCTTCCTGACTCCCGTAGCTATATTCATTGTTCTCTCCTCTTGTTTCTAAACCTACAAGGCGGCAGCACCTACTATCTTCGACAGGCAGTGGGCCAGTCGCCTAAGGGTGAGATAAACCCTAGGCACATCATCTCCATGGACCCTCTGGAGGAGCCTATTTGTGATGGAGATAAAAGAAGATTCCTTTTCGACAGCGATGACCACACGTATCTCCTTGGCCGTTCTCAAGGGTTTATCGACGTTACTGAACTAGATTGCGAACAAGGGAGCGGAAGGGCGCAAGTGAGTTATGAGCGATTTCTAACGCATCTTCTTCATCCTGTTCGACTTTAAGCTCTAAATATCTGCGATTTCTACTAAAGCATCTTCTTCATCCTGTTCGACTTTATTAAGCTCCATTTGTTATGAGCGATTTCTAACGCATCTCCCACCTCGGCCTCGCTTTCTACTTAGGCAGATTGGCGAATAGATTCACAACTACATCAACAAGTTCTATTTCTACTATTTCAAATCGTCTCGACCACTTTTCTCATCTAACCCGCAGACCCAAAAGAGGACGAGGGCAGGCCGACCGAGGACAGGGATCCGGACCTTTATTGGATACGACCAGTATACGAGGAGCAATTCAACATCTTCGACTTCGCTATGTCTTCCGCGCCGAGCACGAGCGATCTGCGAAGGAGGTTAAGGCTTCTTTCGATCCATCTAGTGAGATGGCATCCTAGGGAGGCTTTTCGAGGGGAAAGAGGGCGTCCCGGGATGATCTTAAGGATGGATTAGGGTGGCCGCTAAAGAGGAGAGCAAAGTATCCACCAATGAACCCAGAGAGGACGTTGGTTTTCCTCGACGATCACGTGAGTCCTCTCCTCCGCCTCGCTGCTCTTCGTGCACGTGGGTTCCGCAGATTCATTCTAGACGACAACTACCCATCTGGATCTGGTTGGTCATGGGGTGAAAGCTTGCTCAGCTTGCGCAACATCCTAGAGGCGAACAATACCGAGTCCAGTAGTTCGCCGGAAAAGCGTTGGCTCCACGACAGCCTGATAGAGTATTCGGTTTTTCCACCTCTCTTTCACCTGCCGTCATTACTGCATAACACTTCCGAAACGACAGCATTGAAGTTCGGTTTTCAACGTCATTTCTCCACAAAATTTGGCGGATGCTTTCCGCCACCTGGGGTTAGACCACTCAGGCCTGCGCCAGCGCTACTCGATGCTGTTAAGGACTCGCATTTTTATATAATAGGTACTACCAGGGAGGGCGTGGGAGGCCCCCCCCTGTAGCTGGAGCGGTAGTGGCGTCGGCGCGCCCTTTTTTCCGCGGTGGTGACGTGTAAGGGTTTTCGGGGGCGAAGGCCTCAAAATGCGGGCCTGAGTCCCCTGGCGGCTCTCCGCGTCTAATGCACAGGCGCCCCGACGGGGGGTTGAGGACCAAAGGCGAGGAGGAGTGGGGGCAAGGCGTGCCCGCCCTGGTTCTGTCGGATACATGCAGCAAGGCGAAAGGGGTCAAGCCATGCCACCTGCTGCCCTCGGAGGCCATCCACCTCCAAAGAAGCTCCCCCAGCCAGTGAGGAGCACGCAACACGGCAAGGGGGTCAAGCCTTGCCACCTCTGCCGCCTTCGGAGGCCTTCCACTCCCGGCCGGCGGTGCTTGAACGGCCTCTGGGGTTTGGCTCTTGTCGGGTACACGCAAGGAGCCGCGAACGCGCGAAGGGGGGCGTTTGGAGGCCTTCTCGCCTGGCAGTCCCTCGAGGAAAAGGGCCCGGGGCTGGAGGCCTTGCCCCTCTGTATGACGACAAAGTCTATCATCTCTGTCCGAGTGAATGAGAAAAGTACCCTGCTCGCCCATAACGAGAACGAGAACCGAAAAGGTTAAGAGTAAGAAGGTGGAGAGACTTGAGAAATAGGAGCGTGCCCAAATTATATGGCGCGACTCCAATCAGTGAACTCCTACAATGATACCACTGAAGTCATAGACTGACCAACCTAAACGTGTGCAGGGCCGGCCTTTGAGTCAAGTGATAGAGTAACCACATAGCTACAACCTTCCCGGGGTAATTTGCGAAGTATTTAGTGTTCTCCTTATACCGCAGAGATGACGAGACTCCTTCACCCTCAAAGACTTAGATCGGGAGGGCCTTCACTTCAGCCCTGAGCCCTGGCAATGCTCACCACCTACAAAAGCGTGCAGATGCTGCTTCTCTGACCCTCACATCATTCTCTATCCACTCTTCTTGAGGAGTCGAAACTCAAGAAAGGACTACAGCCACAAGGTCGATTTGAAAGCAGCTGCAGGTAGTAGGAATCATAGGGACCACTACCATCTCCACCTCCACCTCCACGTCGACCCTCCTCTAATTCTCACCGCGAGGGAGACATGGCCATTCTCTCGCTGTTGCATCAGGAGATGGATTTGGATTTTGCCAAAGTTCAGACTGATCCAGACGCTTATAAGGAGCTTTTCTCCTATTGTTGGATCACTTATTTGGAACTGAAGTAATCAAATGGAGCAATCAACATATCCTTAATCCTATTGTTGGGTCACTTATTTGGTTCAGGACTGTGAATCAATCTGATAAATTTCTAGGTCTTCTCGTTCTCGATCAAATAAGGGCTTGAGAATGACGCCAAGTCTGTAGGCAAGTCTCAAACAAGCCCAATAGAGTAAATGGGGAATATCTGCAACTCTTCAACGTCGATATCTATTCGCAATTGTGCAACCACCAATAACGAAAAGCAATTTATGCTTCTTTTGTTCAACTCTTTTTTTACTTACGTTTTTTGCCAGCAAGACAGAATATTCAAGAAGCAGTCTGCTGTCGTGGAACAAGATCGCAGGAGCTGTTACATTCCGATGTCACATTCTTGCCTGTGTGGGACAAGTAAGTAAACAGAGGCATCAGGAGACGTAGTTGTTAATCCTGTGCAGGAGGCGCGAGAGAGAGAGAGAGAGAGCCACACAGCCATAGATCGAGGGGGTGATGTGCATGATGTGATTGTGTTTGTGATCAAATAGTGGACTAGTTAGGACTTTGGCGTTTATTGTGTTAGTTTATAGTCCTCAGATGCAACAAGAGAATGAGAGACCGTTGAATCATTACAATATCTCAATGATGTATGATGGACCTGCTAGAAGCTGTGTGTCTGTAAGAACGGGGCGCAGCTAAATTCGACTCTTATACCCTTGTGGCTGTGCGCGGACGTCGGAGGTACGCTGCGACGAACATGTTGGTCATTTACGTGGTGCTTCGGTGGATGCTTGCAGTATTTTGGCTAGAAGTGACAGAAACTGCAGGCCGCCAGTCCAGAAATCAACAAGACAAAGAGCAAAAAAGTAGCAGAAGTAACATCTCCGTCTTCCATCCTTTCCCACTCTACTTCGACAGCCCTGATGCGTTCTTTTCACTAAACCTTCGACTCTCTACTGTGGATGAAATCTCTCAAGACACTGCAGAGTACGAGGAGCATGACCACTCTATCGCAGCAAGAATTGGCCTGCGCAAAGAGCGTGAGGAGAGGTTTCGGAATCTCCGGCTCGCTTCTTTACAGAATGATAATCCGATTCAAAATGAAATAGAAAACACACAGGAACGCACCACATCACGCAGCAGCAGCAGCAGTGGCACACCGAGTAGTGCAGGAAATGCTAGAAGCATAACTTCTGGAACATCAAGATCTACTTCTTCTATATCAAGTGTCACTACAACTTCGGAAAGGGAAAGGCGAATTCCTTTCAACACGATCATTGCTACCTTTACAAATCTAAAGGCCAACTCCCGCAGTGCTAGGAAGCGACGGAGTGCCAATGTCCAAGGCAGTATCGCGTTGCTAGAGACGAGTCCTTACGTCATCGTCAACGTGTTTGATCACGATAGGCATATCAAGGGAGACAGACATTATTTTCCGATCCACAAACATCAAGATTTTCGAACGTTTTTAGAGAAGTGGAAAGACTACCAGAACAAGAGGCAGGTCGTGGTGAAGAGTTGTAATATTAAGTCTAGGTAGTTAAAGGTGCTTTTCTTGTTACCGTTTGTTATGGCTCCTCTCCTAAGTGGGACGGCCATAACAAACGGGATGAACGAACACCGAAAGCCTACCTCTAATAGTAGTAGAAATAGTATTGGAGCTGGTCGCCCTCGCGAAGAACTACAACATGTAGTTGAGGAGATCAACCTCGAAGATCAGCTTGAAGATCAGGATGAAGGCGCCGCTACCCGCGATCATCTTGAAGATATTTTCGTTCTTTTTCTGGACGCATGGGATGTCGCTTTCGCAAGTTGTCCAGTCTTGCCACATGCAGAATTATTCCTAAAACCCAAAGAAAGCCGGTTCGTTCTCAGTGTTCAAACTAGTCTCTGGCCAACAGTGATGACGCCGACTCTACAACACCCGATTAGTGGATTTTGGCGGGAAAATGTGCGAAATCCTTTGACAATACCGCAGGATGGCTTTCCTACGGCAGAGGAAGTGGCCGAAGAGTTATGAACTGGATATAGATGACTCTCTTTGGCGCGGCCTAAATTGTGAAGAAGACTTTGAAGATATTATTTCCATCTACTAGAATCTGAATCTCTTGAAGAGGGTTCGACGTACTAATATTTTTTTTTCAGAAATTCTTCTTGTGCATGCTTGCACGACCACAAAGCCTAGAATTTTCCTGCCTACCAGTACTCTTTTCTTGTTCAGAGATTAGATATGAGAAGTTATGCCAAAATTCTAATCACTGCCCACCGAGCTGGAGTCTACGTTCTACCTATGCAGCACCGGACTGACAACACGGAAGATGACGGCATACCTCAGCATCCTGATACAAACAGATTTGCCAACGCCGGTTGCTGGGGTGGCAGTGTTGGAGAGGTGCTCAAAAGTTTACACAGGCATCTGGAGCCGGATTATGTGCGAGAGAAGACTAAACACCTACGATCTGATGAAAGCAGGCGACCAGGAGGATCTGACGAAAGCATAGGCGCTAGTGACAAAAAAGCCAAGGCTTAAGGCTTACTTCTAGACATTCATCTTGTATTTGCCAGGGTTCTTTCGTCAGGGAAGGGTTTCGTCAGGGAAGGGTTTATTTGTCAGGGAAAATGACTACCAAGATGCTCTTCAGGATGAATATCGGTGAGGTCTAAGAAGCCTTTGACACGAATGAGCAACTTAGATTGCAGCTATATGCAAATGAAAGGTGGTTTCAGATCATGAAGACGAAGGATAGTACAAACACCAGTCTGGAACAGCAACTTCAGGTCCAGGACCATGGGAACCAGACAAAAAATAGTTGGTTTTTCCTAGATACTGCAAGTGATCTTTGTCTGAACTACTACGCGTACGCAAGCACAGGTGGAGCACGAGCGGAGTTTGCTGATGTGGCTACGATGCTGAGGGAAGTCATGGCGCCTACTGCTCCTACAGCCATAGAGGTCATCAAAAAAGATCCAGGCAGCGGCCTACCCGAGTACTACGATTATTCTCCTGCAATATCTGGTTTGCGTGGTGTGCGTGTCACGAACGATGGCCGTCTCTACTCGCAAGAATTTCGAAATATTCCCTGTTTCTTCCACGCGCCGCAACATGATGGGAAAACATTGGCCAGATTAGTGGCTGCGGCCATGACAGCACGACTACCGGACGATAGAAGAAGTTTTTCTACACAGGCTGCGGCTGTGGCAGCACAACCAGCATCGGATAGAAGTTCTTCCACAGAGCTAGAAACAGGAGCTCTTCTGGTTCCCCACTATCATTTTGAAGGTACGCAGATTGATCAGCGATTTGGTCACACTCAGGATGTCGTGATGAGCCTACCATCTGGGAGAGAAATTTTGGAAGAAAAACAGGAAAGTGGAGAAGTACTAAGAAAAGAAGTCCTCTCCGAAAGTACCAGAACAAATAGTGAATTAAGGCCATCCTCAACGTCATCCTTGGCCCATTTTTCAAGGAGAAAAAGGGACCAGGGAGGTTCTCGGGGATGCGAGCGCGGTAGCTCTAAGTGAAGGACGAGCTGTAGCGGGAGTAGTCGAGGAAACTTCGAGTCGTGCTCATCAAGAAGCGGACGCATCACCAGCACTAACAAGAATTCTCCACGTTTTCACCGAAGATTCTCCATCAGATATTGCGGCTTCGTTCAATTTCGTGGTCCGTAAGGACTGTGGGTTTTCGTCGGACATGACGGCGCGGGTTGAAGTAGTACATTTGAGAGAAGACGGCACCGCTCTATACTATGAACAAGCGGACACCACGCTTGTGGAGGAGGTCAAAATTTAGGGAAGATTAGGGGAAATCATGGCTCCCTAATTTTCCCTAAAATTCGTATGTGGCATTAAGCGTGTCCGTTTGTTTCTAACTATATGCTAACAAAGAACAGGAAGAGGAGGGCCTCTACCTCGCGACTGGAATCGAAGGTGAACAGGTCAGAATACCGGTTAAGTGGACAGAAGTTGAGTCGCCGGTAGGCTCCTCTGTGACTGGGCCTACGGTGAATTCAAAGGATGAAGAGCTAGTTGATCATCAAGATACAGACATTGAAGCAGCCGCAGCTGGCAGCTTGCTATATCCAGTAAGAACGCTCGGCAATATATGAAAGAAAAAAGTGCACTCACAGCACTCAGAAAAAGTGGCTATTTTCCCACTTAAAGTTAAATCCTAGCCAAGTTCTTGAGAAGTGTGAGTGCACTTTTTCGTTTCATACAAAAGTGGTGGGGACGATGAAGAAGAAAGTGACATCTACGAGGTAGTAAGCACCAAGGCAGTTCTCTTGCAACAACCAAAAGCAAACGATCTTGTGGGGATAAAGTTGCCTCTTTGCAATGGGAGGCCAGGACATGAAGCTTTGCTACAGTTACAGAAGGAAATTAGATTTGACATTTCGGAAAAAGTTGTTGCTCGTGATCATCCTAAGCTGTATCACAAAATTTTCTCTACTCTACGAGAACATGAGACACTGGGACACCAAGTAGACCTGATGACACCAGAGGAGGCCTTCGTGGCAGCCTCAATTCCTGGTGTCAGTTGTGATCAAGTCAGCCGTACGCCAGACGATCTGCATCCTTGTACCCGATTGCGCCCTAATCGTCTCCAGTTTTTGGCATTGAATTAAGGGCTGCAAGTTGACCGATCTAAGCGCATATCTATGACCGATCTAAGCGCATACCTAGGCTGTTTGATTGATAAGCGTACAGGTCATCGCCTAAACCACTCAGCCAACTGAGTATGGGAAATGGATAGACGTGCGAGCTAGGTAGATCAACTTGCAGCCCCTAACTGTAGGAACGGATGAGCCTGCCCAAATTGCGACACGACACCCGTCGGCTGGGGCCAGTGGAGTATATGCTGTCTGGTGCGGTGATACAGCAGATAGAACATTATACGAACGATGAAGACTTCAAATCTATATCTGGAGAGAGATCATCAACATTAGGAAACGGAAACTACCATGCGGACAACAAGAAACGCAAAAATAATGCTCACGTTCTTTCACTCTGGTCATGCTCAGCGGAGTGTATAGCGAGACAGCTGGACAAAGACAATGACAAACGGCCGGCGTATAGTATCCTCCAGACGCCTGTTTCTTACAAGAGGAGGGCGAAGACGAAGAAGGTGGATGCCCATGTTGTAGTTGACGACTCTCATGATGCAGTTGCAGTTGACGACTCTGATTCTAAAGATGATGTAGATCAACACGAAGATGTAGTTGCTGACAGCATTTATACATCCGACATCCAAATGAGATTCGAATTCGCTTACTTCTTACAGTTTTCGTTTAATGTTGCACCAAAATTAGTGTTGCACGGTTGGCCAACGGCAACCACTAGCGGCTATCCCGCATTTTCGTCGAGTTTTTCGCTTTATTGCGATAGTTTGGTGCGCAAAATGGCGCTGGAGAAGAAGTATAAGGAATACACGGAGAAGCTTAAGCCACTTGTTGTAGAGGAATGGGGAAGTAGATTGGTTGAAGATAGTTATGAGGCGGAAAGAAACCCTGAGAACAAGAACGGTATCTTCAGGATCGTACTGGCAAATGCGGCAGAAGGACTTCTACCTTTGCTCTTACTGAAGAGCTACAGCTTCTACGGTAATGCAGTGACGCAGGTCGAATTCGTTCTCTTCGAAAGTGACCCAGACCGGTTTCGGATGCTAGTTATGAACCTGAAGGTGAACGGATTTGATGAAGGGGATCCACGCATAAGACTAGTACATGGAAGCCTTGGCGTTGAACAAAACGCGGACGAGGGTGGAAGAGTAGTGCTTCCCGAAGAATTATTTGGTTTAGCACTAGTAAGCACAGAAGGAGATCCCAGGATACTAGAGTCAATCTCAAGTAGAACACCAGAATCAACTGCTTCAGAAGTGCGGCATCGGGCGGCACGAACATCAAGTAAGAAATGCGCTGTAGCCGATCATAAGGTTTCAAAAACTTTGCTCATTCTCGATTGCAACGGCTGTGAGCACAAGCTTCTCAATTCACTCTCCTATCTGACCTTAATTGGCGCTCATCCTCTCTCTGGCGGTCGCATTCGCACGATTGTAAAGTTGCATGATACAACGAATCTAGGGGGGCAGCCTCTATCTCCATTAAGGCCGCCAACCGTATTTCATCTTAAGTTTAAGAAGCCCCTAAAAATAAATGTGGAAAAGCATGCTCGTTGCCCTCTTTATAGTAGAGAAAGGACGTCATTCCTCAAAGATGCTTTTCAAGATGAAGATATTTATAAGTAAGCAAGTTCTTCTAACTTCAGCCTACTTTCTCGAAGCAGATTTTGCTGGTGCGCGTGTCGCTAGTAAACGGCTACAAAACAGACCCGCATATCCTCACGCCTTGACCATCGCTCATGACGACCCTGGTGCTCTGTTTGGTGGCGTTCAAAGGGGTACCACAGGAATCCTACCACCTGTGGCTTGGGCAATGAGAAACTGTGAGCGGATAGAAGTAGTGACTGAAGAAAACAACATTCGGAGTAGTGACCATATCCTGGAGAGCGAACATCAAAAAACGCAGGAGGATCATGATACATCAAGGTGGATTCACCACGACAGCGACCAGACGAGACCAGCGGAGAGCTACTTTTGTATCCTACCTGCTTTGGGCTTAGCTGGGGAGGAGAGTGATCAGAAGGACGATGTTGAAGATGATCAGTCACACGCACGAGCAATGCACCTCCATACTGGTAATAACCCACAGCAGCATGATGATCTTGAAGTTCTTGACGAAGTTCTCAACGATCGAGAAAGCATAACTGTCACCACCAGCAAGGAAGCAGAGCAAAGCGATAGGACAACAGAACCAGAATACCGTTCTCACCCTACAGCAACCTTTGACCTTCAGTTTCCTGCGTTGATGAGAAAAAATGTTTTTCAAGCTGTAATCCCTGAAGTAATGGAACGAGATGAGTACGCTATTCAGGAACTGGCGGAAAAGCTTAGAAGACTCGGAGGTTGTCTAGTACCACAGCAGCGAATGTGCCACCGTCAGCACTGTGATCGTCATAAACTACATGAAGCGGTAGAAGAATCGACATCAAAGATTTCTTCCAGTACTAGTCGGAGCCCAACAGCCTCAGCATCAGCCAGAATCAACATCCACATTGTTGATATCGGCAGTAACCTTGGCGTCTTCTCTTTGCATGCTATTCAAACTTTGGAGAATGCGAATAGTGACACTGACAGTCACAGTGACGAAGGAGGCAACAACAACAGCACCAGCCTGAACAGTCTACGCGTAACCTCTGTGACCATAGCAGAACCAGTGCCGCAATTATTTCGATTGGCTGTGAAGAATGTCGAAGCTAATTTAAATGTCAGCAGACAACAAAATGCCACCACGTCAACGTTGGACACATCGAAGGTGCACCTACGTGCTTTTCAAGCAGCTGCTGGAAGTAGTGACACGCATCCCCGTAGGACTGGTTCACCTTCCACCACAACAAGGAAGAAAAATAAGGACATTCAGCATGAACCTTTCAGCGGAACAAATAGCATTGGTTATGGAGCAGGAGGCATCTTCAGTACTAGTGAAGGGTGCGGTCTTCAAAGATATCCCGAGGGCGAGAACAGTCGCAACATTCTCCAAGGCACGTGGAATCCTCTGTATGGTATAGCTGGTGGCATTGGGCGACAGTTAGAGCAACATCCTTGGTTTCGGAACGATCTCGGGAGCAAAGCAGAGTTGGAGATGAAGAGGCGACAGGTGTTGTCGTTTGAGCGATCTTTTGAAGCGGAACTGGTACCATTTTCAAGACTACTGACGCTGCCGAGTGCTGCTAGGAGGAAGCTATCAGTACCTGCTTCGGGGGATCGAAAGGTGGGCAAGGACAAGGACCACGACAAGAATAAGGCTACCAGCATGGGGAGAACATCAGAGGAACATGGTCATGACATATTCCCAAGTGAGAGCGAAAGGTTGTTCACAGTTGTCAAAATCGATTGTGAAGGTTGTGAAAGTGCCTTTGTGCGTGATCCTAGCGTTCTCGGCACTAGGTTCCTCAGGGATCTCGAGGAAGGAGCTGCGTCACTATCATTCGAGCTCCACCTAGATGTAGGGTTTATCAAGACCGAGGACACTCAAGTAGGAGTAGACCACCTGCTCGGCCTTGGGAGTTTTGGCACTGCAGCAGCAAGAGAAGGCCCTCGTGGAGGTCGTGTCTACTACTTTCATGAAGAGACTCCTGGCTCTAATGATAAGTATACTGAGTCGCAAAATAAAGAAAAGGGAGCACCTACAACTAAAACTACGACGAAAACCTCCCAAGAAAGTGCTTGGCGATGTGAAAAGTTCATCCAGGGCGAGGTAGATGCTCTGTGCATAGGAGCTACCGTTTCATACTTCCTGGAACATGCTAGTGATAGAAGTTCTAGCACCATGCAATGAATTGCGATTCTGGGTGCCCTAGTTGGTTCATATGATAGAACTTCATCTATATTGCAAGTGATAGGTTGTTAAACTACATCATTAAAGACGCAGAATGAAGAAGAAAGGATATGGGTTATTTGTGACGCTGGCCGAGGCAGACGACCATCATATCACTCATCTGGTGTATTAGAAGTTCAAGTTTTGGGTCACTAACATCCCCGACTAGCCGTAGATGCTAAGCATCGTTCTTGCAGGCCTTTAGATAGTATTGATGTCGGAGACAGCTCGAGGCGATCAAGCTGTAAGGCCTGAAAGGTGTTCCACTTCCCGGCTTGGTGGCTTGATGTGAGGCAATCGGTCCACTTGGTCCATTCAATGGCGAGCCAATGCCCCTGGGTCCTTTACTTAGGTAGGAGCACCAGCCCCCTCTCTTGCTCGCTCTGTGCTGTCTTTGCTTGTGGTCTACCCTGTGGCGCATACCTCGAACCGAGCGCGAGACAGGGCGAAGATAGCTACCGCTGCGAGGCGTGTCCAATGGCAAAAGGCCGAAAAAATGCGCAAAGCTGTCAGCTGTGGACCTTTCTGCCCGGCAGTCGGTCGGCTTCTTGCCGTCTGCGTTTCCCGGTTGTGGGACACACGGTCGGACGCGCCAAGCTGAGCTGGGAACAGGAGGAGGAGACCAGTCTGAGGGGTGTGCACTGGCAAAAATGCGAAAAATTGTACAAAGCTGTCAGCTGTGAGCCTCTGTGCCTGGCAGTCGGTCACTTTCTTGCCATCTGCGTGACCCGGTTGTGGGACACGCGGATGCCTCAAGCTGAGCCCGAAACAGAATAAGAAAACCAGCGCGAGGAGCGTGCACTGGCAAAAATTCGAAAAATTGTCTGAAGTTGTCAGCTTTGTACCTTTCTGCCTGCCAGTCGCTCGGCTGCTTGCCATCTGTGTGTCCTGGTTATGGGACACGCGGGCGTCTCACGCTGAGGCTGAAACAGGATAGGGAGACCAGCTCGAGGAGCGTGCACTGGCAAAAATTCGAAAAATTGTCTGAAGTTGTCAGCTGTGTGCCTTTCTGCCTGCCAGTCGCTCGGCTGCTTGCCATCTGTGTGTCCTGGTTATGGGACACGCGGGCGTCTCACGCTGAGTCTGAAACAGGATAGGGAGACCAGCTCGAGGGGTGTGCATTGGCAAAAATTCCAAAAAGTGTCCAAAGTTGTCAGCTGTGTGTCCTTCTGGTTGCCAGTCGCTCGGCTGCTTGCCATCTGTGTATCCTGGTAATGGGACACGCGGGCGCCTCAAGCTGAGTCTGAAACAGGATAGAAAGACCAGCTCGAGGGCTGTGCATTGGCAAAAATTCCAAAAAGTGTCCAAAGTTGTCAGCTGTGGGCCTTTCTGCCTGGCAGTCGATCGACTTCTTGCCATCTGGCAGTGGGTCGTTTTCTTGCCATCTGCGTGCGCGTCCCGGTTGTGGGACACGCGGATGCCTTAAGCTGAGTTCGAAACAGGCTAAGCTGGCTGTCGCGCTGTTCCTCTATTGTGATGGCGTTCGTGATTGGAAAGAAAGTTATGCTTTCGCGGCCTCGTCAAGATTGCTAGTCTTCCACCATGAGGAGCAGAGTGTAAATCTAAATATTTGGTACTTGATCTACTTAGCATAAACATTGTAGATGATGTACCTGAGCCTTGTAGTTCGTACTCGTAGGCAGCTGAAAATTTCTAGCATGTCTGCGTGCTGTCTACCTTGTCGGAGCGTGCTTTTTCGCCAATGGGAGATGCCAGCTTCGCATCTCAACATCATCTCCATCTGCCACGCATACGGTGTCCTTCTGTGGTTCCTGCTTATTGGCGTAGTAACTTTTCAACCTCTTGTTGTGGCAAACGCAAAAGGAGTAGATCTAGAGCATGTGGAAGTGGACGCAGCGGTCGACGCTTCTCAAAGAGCAAAGGCGGGAAGAAGCGCGACTTCTATCGCCAGTACCTCCACAACAACGCAACCAGCGTCTCCTGATCCTGGAACAGCTTCATCGCGTTTTTCATCCACCTCTTCTTCTTCTCTTCCTCCATACAGAAGTCGTCCTTGGTCTCATTTTCGCAGCACGCTAGTATCTGATTTGCTAGAATTTTCGGACGTCTATAACGACCGCCCGATTCGCTTCAATCGTTGTGGGGTGCACTTCAATCACGCGTTTGCACTATGTTAAGACTGGCTGTAGTGGAAACAAATTGCCCGCCAAAGAATTAGTTTTAGTTATTATGATCATGTCGACGTCCATGAGGACGATGACAAAAACAAAAAAGACCACTTCTATCATTCTTCACGCTTCTAACTTTGGCGAGAAGTGAAACGATTGGCGGATGCGACTGATATTGACACAGTGTTAGAAAGTGGGTTTAACCAAGGCCAATCAACTTTCTTCATTCGCCACGCGTTTGGAAGATCTGACATAGAGAAGAACGTAATCTCCATGGACCCACTGAGAATAGTAGAATTAGACGTAGCAAACGGGAATAGAGTCGAAGATGGGGAGAAGTTGCAAGCATTGCTGATCAAACGGATCGAAGAGATGCGAGAAAGCCTGCATATTGATGGAGCTACAGCTGCAGCTAACCCGGAGCAGAGCGAGAAAGAGCATCAAAACGATTTTTGTATAAAGCGGTGTGCTAAAGAATGTAACCACGTCGAGCAGAACTATCAGAAGAAAGCAGGAATTTTTCCACGCATCATTTACAATGCAGATTTGACTGCGTCAACGACTTTCGACGTGGATGTTGCAAAGAACGACATGATTGATGCGAGGAGTGCTGAAACGGATACAGAAAGTAAGACGAAGACCCGTGATGAAGAAAACCAAAACGGTTCACCAAATAATATGAAAAGAACGAGCGACGTTGATCCGTTCTGGCTACAGACTTTCTACCCTAAGATTAACCCAAAACGCACTCTGGTGTTTTTGGACGATCACGTCGCGCCCTTAGCTCGTTTAGCAAGTTTGCGGGCACGAGGGTTTAGACGGTTTATTGTCGACGACAATTACCCTGTGGGCCTCGGTTGGAGTCTTGGAGAACGGTTACTAACTCCGAAACAGATTCTAGAGGGTAAGACAGAGGTCGCAGCAGGCCAAAAAGGTCCTCCTGATAGCAATAATACTGGAGTAAGAGGGGAAGAAGAACTACACTTAGCCTCAGGCAGCTGTCGAGGAGAACAATCGCTATCCCCTGAGCGCGAATGGTTCGAAGATAACGTACTGGAGTACACTGTAATTCCACCAGTCTTAAATTTCCAGGCTCTATTTGGAGAAGACGAAGCTAAACCTGGATTGATTAAGGCTACCACTGGAGCATGTCCTCAGCACCACTTGGAGCACGAGAGACATGGCATGAATCATCGGCTGGTCTTTCTTTTTCTACTTGAAAAGGGATGCTCTCAGAATCGGATGCTCTAAGGGATCATGCGACAGCGGTCTATTAAAAACGCTAAGTTGATGAATTGGAACTACACAAAGCGTTTCAGCAGTGCAGAAGGCGTAGGAAGCTGCTTTCGAGAATTTATGAAGTGGTTGTTGTGCTGGGTCTTTTTGTGGATTTGATCTTGTTTGGATTTCGAAACAATGTGGGCGTGGAGTTGCTAGCTAGCACAGAATCTTCGGTAAATGTGTCTAACCACGATAGTTTCTTAGTCACAAGGGAATCGAGAACTCAACACCACAACGAAGACAACGAAAACCTGAAAAGAATCTCTATTCTGCGAACGAAGAAGAACAGCCCACCACGATCGGCTTCCAATTGCACTCTCATCGTACACGGCGAGAAAATGGAGCCACCTGCCTTGCTTACTTCAGAGGCTGATGACGATATGCACACTGTTGACCGGGTTTTTATGCGAAGGATGCATTTCAACCTTCTAGACGTTCAAGACGACCCTGAGAAATACCTGCACTACTTTGGCTATTGTTGGATGGCATATATTGAACTCAAGTGACGATGGAAGTAATCATGTGGAAATAATAGCTTCTCAAATCGTGTTTTAAGTACGCAATGCATATATATAAGTAAATGCCTTCATCTGACGGTGTGTGCCTTGGAGGTGGTAGTTAGATGTCCATTTTTAAAATCACGACGAGTGACCCCATGTGTTCGAGCCTTTTGTAAGGAGAGATAATGAGAGACTTGACTTGGTAGAGTTTGCTGGACGATGAAAGCACGTTGGACAAAAGCAAAAGAAGCAAATTGTTCTACGTCAAAGTCATGTTGTGACAAAAAAGTCTCGCGCGAAAACGTAAAATGAAAATTGTTCGCTTGCTAAAGCTCATAGTGAGTCACCGACATTTTTGATATTATTTTCAGCCTCGAACAAAAAATTGGAACGACTTCTACTGGCATGATGCACTAGGGTCGTGAGTAGTAGGTCAACTAGACCCTCTTAGCGTTACCAAGGTCTTCTAGAACCAGAAAACGAACAGATGTTGAACAATATGCTTCTTTCTACTTCAGAGAGCAGTCCCGCGAGTACGAAGAGGGGAACCTCTACGCAGCAGGGGAAGAATATCTATTTCTCCAACTACACCGGAAAGAAATCCGTGAAGGCTGGAGTAACCAAAAGTCTTCCACCTCAATGGGCCATGGATGCGCCTGCGTGGAAGCAGGTGCTCGCAACGGCCCTCGGATACCCGATGATGATGGAAGTGCACAGCTTGACATTGATAACAGTTCTGCTGTTTTTGACGGGTTATCTTGGACGGACCCTCGGAATTCTTTATGATTGGACAACTTGATGTTGCTGTAATTGTCAAATTGTATCGGAAGAATAATTGATGCAAGCTGCTAGTCCAAAATACAAGCTGCTAGTTTTCGCCACAACGATGAAACAAGGTAGAATTCTAATTGTTCCACACCAGCCGTGCAAAAATATCTTTGATGCGATAACGATGCGTCTTATCACCTTAGACGGCATACTCTTCACCCTCAAGCTGCTATTTGATCAGGGACAATCTTGGACTACTGTTGTACCTTCCTTTTATGCGATAACGAATACGAAAATGAAATCCTCATCATGCATCATCCCATTTTCTTGCCACTTCTGACCCTCCTACCTCGTCATCTCACTCCTTATCTCTAAGCATACTATCTCGCCAACATTTTCTTTGAGCGGTATGCATTTGGTGGCAAATACAGGCGTGATCTGGGCACAGGCTATGCAGATTGGCCGCGCGTCAGAGCGTGGATGAAGAATCATTCCTTGTGGAAACTGATGGCGGCATATTTTCCATGTACGTTGTATAAGTTATGGTCTTCTTTGCCACAACATTTCCATGTACGTTGTAAAACCAATGGTCTATGTCTATGTGGTGTCCTGTGTCCAACGTACATTCGTTCCAATGAATCTATCTTCACTTATCACCGTGACCCTATAACAAAACAGTGCTTACCCTTACTGCTTCTCTGTAGAGTTTAAGTCAATGGTCTATGTCTATGTGGTGTCCTGTGCCCAACGTACATTCGTTCCAATGAATCTATCTTCACTTATCACCGTGACCCTATAACAAGCCAGTGCTTACCCTTACTGCTTCTCTGTAGAGTTTAAGTCAATGGTCTATGTCTATGTGGTGTCCTGTGTCCTACGTACATTCCAATGAATCTATCTTCACGTATCACCGTGACCGTACGACAAAACATTGCTTAGCCTTACTGCTTCTCTGTAGAGTTTAAGTCAGCTTCTATTTTCAATCCCAATCGCTCCGCTTCCTGCAGAGAACTGCTTTTCTGTAAAGTCACTTTCTAATCCCAACCGCCCCGCTTCCTGCAGAGAACGGACCCTACCTCTTCGGCATGCACCCCCACGGCTTAATTCCGTGCACCGCGGTTACTATCTTCGCATCCGAGGCCACCGGATGGAGCAAGATGTTTCCGGGACTAAACGTGCACTTTTGCGTCCTTGACTGCATGTTTTTGATCCCCTTTATGCGGGAACAGTTTTTGTTGGCCGGATTGGGTGGTGTATCGAAGCCGGCTTTGGTGGAGTTTTTTATGGCTACAATGATCAGTATTTCACTTCCACCTGTGGGGTTTCACGTGGACGCAGTAGTCAGACTCGGATCTTGTTCGTCTTCGTCCCTTTGTTAAGTACTTAGATTGAGCTGCACGACCATCACACTCCATCTTGTAGGAGACCTTTGCGTCGCTTTTCTCTAGTAGCAAATCAATGCGGGGGCTACACCGACGAGGAAGAACGACACCGCGTCAGAGTTCTTCTAATTTTCTAGGCAAGAAGAAAGAGAGCGTCGCACTTGCAGTGGGTGGAGCGAGGGAAGCGATGTACGTGGGCGCGCATCACACAGTCCCAAAGACTATTTTCCTTGTCTTGAAGGAACGCAAAGGCTTCGTCAAAGTCGCGATAGAAGAAGGTGCCAATTTGGTTCCAGTTTTCACGTTCGAAGAGAATTTTTTATTCGACGCGGTGGACACTTCAGATGCTAGGAAGTACCTCGAAAGCGAACAGGAGGTAGATGATCATGATGTTGATGGAGAATGTGGTGGACAAGGAGAAGGAGATGTTTGCAGAGGCGCATCGGCATCAAAGACTCTAGGAAACAACACGGCTACTTTTTCATCCGCCACCTTGTCGCCTAACAAGACGAGCTCAGCTCGCTCATCTTCACTTTCTCCTAGTGCAAAAAACCAATACCAAAACAAGAGGACTCAAGAACAAAACTCTCCAATATCTCCTTCTACATCCTCTCCAACTCGCAGTCCTAGTGGTCCATCTAAGCAAGACTCCTCGTCCTCTACAACTACTAGCAAGTTTCCTTGGCGGACTCTGTTCTTTTTCGTGCGAGATTTGATAGTGGCTATCATCCTCTGGGTGCAAGTGAGATTGTACAAGCTGACCAGTATTGGGTTGCCGCTCTTCTATTATGTAAATGATGTTTCTTCCATCTATGTATCTTTTTAGAAGGTACAATTAGGCTGAACTACCTCATCAAGGCTACTTGACCACGTGGCTTAAGAGGGCACATGACATGACACGTATCATACCATCTAGAAGAGAGACTGCCCTTTTTTCCCTTAGAACTGTATTGGGTTTCATTCGAGCAAGTTACAGTTAGGGTCCGCATAGATGGAAGAAAATTAGAGTTGTATCCTTCATATCTACGGACGTGTCATACCCTGCTTTCCGAAAAGACAGCCTTTAAACACCTTCATTGGTGCTAGCATTAAAGTCGTGCAGAACGATAATCCAACGCAAGACGAGATCGATGCGAAGCATAAAGTTACGGAGGAAAAGGGATTGGTAACCAATCATTGGTTTTTCTTTTTGTTGTGGATAATTGTAATTGAATCGTGAACCTGCTGCTGTTCTCGGGGTGTTTTGACTATAACAAAAGCAAAAGAGCAACAGGAGAAACTACGTTTCGAATTTTTTTTGACATTTTTTTCGCCACCAGTATTGAAACTAGAGTGATTGTCATAACAGGTTGAGAATTTGAATTTCAACGATCATCGTTATCTCTAACTTGCAATACTGCGATGCACTGATCGCTTTGTTTGAGGAGAATAAAGCCAGTGTGGGCTTTGAAGGTTGGACACTGAAATTGGTGGCTTAGTCGAATGGGATGACGGACACTGAAATTGGTGGCTTGGTACAACTGGGATGATGGAAATGCCTGTGCAGCGAGTGGGCATGGACTGGAGTGGAGTACAACTTAGTGCTCTAAACTAAGGGTTTAGACATCAAGACCAAGAAGAGCTTTTCTGACTGTGATGTAACTGTAACTATGTAGAGTACTTACGGCAGAACAAGGTACACATGGACATGCAACGCAGTTTTCTGTTCTGGACGGCTTCTGCTCCCTAAATTTTATGAGATTTACCTTGCTGTTGCTGGTTCCTACTTATTCTGATCGTTCCTACTTCTACTCCTGGTGTAAAATTTTAATTACAAGATAGGCTTTTGCCGATGACTGTGTATAGTCATTTGAGACGCCATGAATGAATAAGACCAACGTGAACGTTGAATTCTATCATTCATCGTTGTTGAGACTGCCTTTACATCGATCTGTACTCACTGTAAACCAAATGTAGTTGGCTTCAAATATATTTCGAGCATCAGCTTCACGCAAATCGGGATTAGAAGAAATTATATTTTTCATACGAGCAAGTTACAGTTAGAAGAAGACCATGATGAAATTTCAAGTGTTTTTTAAATGAACAATCTTCTAGAGTTAGTACTGAACCTCCTACCTGTTGCATTCTAGGGGAATTGATGCATATTATATATACTACATAGCTGGAACAAGATGATCCAGATCCATATACTTACATGTAATGCATACATCATATTTCTGAAGTTGGGGTCTTTGCTCCCTTCCGGAGGACAATCCTTTGCACATTTTCCAATCTCCGGAGGATATCGCTGGACATATGCTGCGTACAACTCATACCACGGCAAGCCACGTGGCACGTGCACACAGCACCAGTATCCACGTTGTGGTGCAGTCTCGTCCACCCATGTTGAAGAAGAAGAGGAAAAAATGAGCGATAATTTTCTGTCTTAGAGCAGAAAAATAGACCCGTTTAACGTTGACGCGTCAATGCAAAACGTGATAACCAATAAAACATAAGTACATATTAAAGGTGAGCCGAGTCATAATCACAAGAAAAACAAGGTAGTGAAATTGCTGATATCTAAATCAGAGAGAACTTGAAGGGCAAGAGTTCATTGTCAAGAAAAGTCAAGTCTTCCAGTGCAGCTCTGCCTCTGATACAGACCCAAAACAGAACAAGTCAAGGAACACTCGAGATAGTATCCAAGATATCTAATCACAATCTATTTCTATTCAGGTTCTACTAGTAACTAGTATCGAACTTTATCAACTTCAACATCACAGCGTTTCACGACTTTCAAGAAGTACAAATACAGTGAACATGTCTTCCCCAACAACGACGGGACCAGGTGGGCAGGTGTCAGGCTCCCGCGCTCGGCGTCTGCAGTCGCGAGCGCCGGGTCTTCCTCTGCGCAAAGTCACTCTGTATAAAAACGACCTCGCCCTCCACGAACGCGAATGCAGTGGCCGTGGGTCTTGGACACTTCACGTTCCTAATGCACGTGCGCCTTTAGTGCAAGATACTCTGAGCTGTAGACTAGAACAGAGAGTTTCTGGGGACAGTGTTTTGTCATCTTTAGAAGTACAGACGCCATCTTCCAATAACTCTTAAGGCTTAATGAATAACATCTGAATAAGCTTTTGATTCTTAGATAGTCAAGAGTCTTATTTTGCACGAGATGAAAATAATTATTTCCAAAAGGTAAGCGTAAGGCATGTTCTTGGCGGTCATGCCGTCCAAGATGGGGCAAGCACTACAAAGTGAAAGATGCGATCATCGAAACATCTCTTATATCATGCAGATGCCGTCGAACAAGACTACTTATTACTATAACTGTACGCTGGAGGTCTTCCTCGGTCCTCCATGATCTCATTATTATTCATTACAGAATCAGTATCTCTATCTAGATCTATAATAGATAAGTTAGTTCTAAGACTCCAAGTCCGCGTATCCGTATTCCGTTAGTGTCCGTCAACGTGGTAAGAAGCAACCATCCTATCAACCTACGACGAGACGAGTGGGAGTGTTTGCCGTAAACGACAGACTTGGTGACTTTTTGGAGAGCTGTCGAGGAGCACAAGTGCATATTAGGATTGGTGCAGGACATGCTGAGGCTACCCTTCAGGGACGGTTGGCGGGAAGTGGAGGCGTAGGAGGAAGCGACGTGCAAGCAGCTAGGAGCCGGTTTACGACGACAGGTAAGCAGAGAATATGATGAGACACTTGCATTTTCAGTGATAGACAATTCTTGTTCTAAAAAATTTTTTCACATGCTAGTACGAGAACGAGGGGTTAGTAAGTAGTTTAATTACAATTGTGCGAGCACCCAACCTTTCTCTTTTCTAGGTGGGACCTCTGGTGGCAGAAGTGTGGCCCTGGATAAAACTTAGTAAGTTTACTTACGTTCACTTTAAATTCGCCCCTTCCTTTACTCCCCACTCAGACCGCTGGTCTTTGTGTTGTGTAGAAAAGCAGTCTACCAACTAGCCTTACTTCAACTACTTTATTCTTAAATTTAGAGCACAGGTGACTATACGAACAAGAGCAGATTGTCGACGCAGATACTGACAGCCGAAGGACAACGTGATCTTGACCAACAAGAAGATATATTAAAGATCATTAATTTGCTCACTCTTCAGGGAGTGGAACAAATATACCTGGAGGTAACGCGGCCTCTGGAGTCGCTTTGAAGGACGAGGCCGACAGTGTGCGCACTGGAGCCATTGTGATGGTTGAGCGGCAGAAGATGATGCTGGGGGAAAAGGAAACCGAAACGGTGCCAACGACTTTGGTGTTTATGATAGAAGGCTTCGGTCAGGACGACGTATCAGGATCCGCTTCATCTCGTTGGTAGTCGAGAAGGACTATTTGAGATGCACGCATGACATGACATTCTAGAATGATAAACCGCGGAAAGGATTCTTTTTGGTACAGCCTTCTCGTGTGGCACGACTAGAGGACATCGAATAGCTTATGATCGAAGTGGTACCTTTCTAATCGGCTATTCGAAACTGGCTGTCTTTCTCGCATTCCCCTACGTGATGTTGAGTCGGTGTTTTTCGCAGAGTCACGGCTCCGCGATGCCCTGGGTGCGATGCTATCCAGTTGTGCCGCGCGCCATGATCCTACAGTGGAGGAGGACTCGCGAACGTGTTTCGATATCGAAGTTTCGCCAGCTGGGGAAGGAGAAGGAGGATCGAAAACATCAGAAGAAAGGGTGGATGGGATGCTGCAGGTGCTTAGTTTTGTTTGGGAACGATAACTTGTTCATTGAGTGACCTCTCGTTGAGCTTAAGTTGGCACTGTGAAACAAGAGAGTAAGTAACGACCTCAAATCTCTCCACAGAGACTATAATTCTTCACGACTAGTACCTCCAAGAGTACCATATTATAAACCTACCACCCCACAGGTTTCCTACATCGACAGCGCTAAGGAATGGAAGTGCAGTTATCACTTGAGACTTGCTACGACACCTGTACTAGTGTCTTCTGCACCCTCGTCTAGGGGTGATGGAGTCGAGTCTATGGTCCTAGAGATGTTCGCCAGAGTTGCCAACACCACGGAAGAGGATTGGCGAGATGTCAAATTGAGCCTTATTGCTAACGAGCTGGAACTGTTAGGCAGGAAGAAGGTTGCTGATAGAGCTGCAACTGATGGAAGTGGTGCTGGTGGAGGTGTTAATTATGTTCAAGAAGAAAAATATATTATATATAAATATCTTCAACATTTTTGTATAATTAATATCTACTCGTCTGGTTATCGTTATGGTTGTGCTTGTGTGACGTTAGTGGCTCACTGTATGTATGGTCCATGATCCTTATTAAGGTTAATCACAACAGGTATGAACCAGTCAGCAAAACAGCTGCAACTGAAAGCAGACTCTGTAAGAATGCAACTTTATTTGCTCACATCTTCCTAATCTCTGTTTGGCTAGAAGGAATACAAGATCATTCTTATTGCATTACGACTATGATGCTCCTTTCTAGATATTATTACGGTTATGGTAGATAGTACTAGCATACTTCTCAATTACAACTACGGACATAGTTTTCTCATCCTCTAACTCCTAGCCCAAACCGGCGGCGGTTTTCTGAATTTATTTATCAAGACTCTTACTGGCAAAACGCTGACGATTGATGTGGAATCTGGCGACACGGTTGAGCAGCTCAAGGAAAAAATCCAGGATAAAGAAGGCATTCCGCCAGACCAGCAGAGGTTGATCTTTGCCGGTAAACAGTTAGAGGATAACCGCGCTCTGTCGGTTTACAATATTCAGAACGAAAGCACGATTCATTTGGTCCTACGGTTGAGAGGAGGACCGGGACCAGATGAGGACATTGCTGATGCCAGGAGTAAAGCGAAAAGATCTCCAGCTCAGGGAGGAGCAAGTATCCTTAAGGTTACGGTTAAGCCCGACTACATATGAAAAATATCAGCTTCTTCATTTCGACTGGACCAAAAACATTTTTCATCTGTTCGTAGTTATTCTGAGAAAAAGAAATAAGAAAAACAACCTTCTAAGAAATATAATTAACAGACTTTTTGGAGGCTTGAAAGTAGACGTGACGAGCTCTAATAAGAGCAGTGCAGAGCAATATGAAAGCCTAGACGCGTTGCAAACGAGCGGTCTTGCGGAAACAGTGATCTACGATTTGGAAGAGCCAGTAGTAAGGCTTTTCCTAATCCATCTCGTGGAGAATTATCCGGGGTAGGCTCTTCGGAGGGAAAATGGTGGCCGTCTCAGGAAGATGTTCTCCGGGATAGATTCGGGTCGTGGGCTCTAACAGTATCGGTCGGCGCAGGCGAGACAGCTTCTGTGAGGGTGATGACGGTGAAGATGAAAGGAGCCAGGGTGTTAGTTTACGACTACACAGAGAATCAGGTAAATGCGGCAAAGGCGGTGCACCTGTGGAATGCTACAACTGACGAGCAGCAGAATAAGACTGTGAATCCAGTGCTGGCACCCGGGACGATGACGATAATCTTACGAATGATTGATGCGATTGCAGTTTTTCTTGATAAAGTGACGACTAAATCATGATCTAAATCTCGTAGTTTCTGGGAAAGACATCAAGACCGTTATCAAACTATGACGACTATTTGACCCTTGCAGGAGGTTCTGCTTTTGCTTTTCCTCCTTCAAGACAATTAAAACTAAGCAAAGCCCAAGAATTTTATTTATGATCAAGATCTCTCTCGTCCACGACGTGTAGGTCTCTCAATCTCAATCCCCCCTCTAAGAGCCGACGGCGGATTCTACTGTAACCAGTCTCAGTTTACACCTATGATTCCCGACGATGATCAAATCGTACGATATGGTTTCGACACTACAAATGCCATTGACCGAGTGGTTACCTTCGAAAGATCCGAGGTTGTACGAGCAAGTCAATCGAAAGGAAAGAAAAATTATGCGACAAGACCGTCGCTATCACAGCACCCAAACAAAACTATCATCATCCTTCCCTCGCCTCTAGAAGATGTCGCGGCTATGACATCCAATTTTTCCAAACTATCAAAATTATCTTTCACTCTCGCCCGTAGCTATCGCTATGGCATCCAATTCCGAAGTACGTATCAAGATTATTCTTTTCTTGATCTTGTCTAGCAAATTAGTGGTATAGCCGCGATCTGATCCAAACTTCCAAACTATCTTCAAAATTATCTGTACTCAACTCGTCTCTAATGTCCCGCTTTCCTCTTAACACACAGGAAAGTAAAAACGTATCAATACACGATCACAAACAATAGTACTGGACCAGTGGAGAGACTGTACATCGATCACAACGCGTCTGCCGCTGATGGAGGCTACTCGGTTTTGCTCAAGGAAGGTAGTGGAGGAGCGGAAGAGTTTATGAAGAACGTGAACATTTGAAATTCAGAGCAGTGAAAGCTCAATTATACTTGGTCCAAGTACAACTTACACTATCACTATGTGGTGCCATTTCCAGTTCGGTCTTCTAAAAGCCCTTCCGGGAACAAACAACCGACCGTGGCGAAGCGAACGACTGGATTCGTGAGGTTCGAATTACAGCTAGCGCCTCAAGAAACGACCAGGGTGGAGGTTGATGAAGTTGCCTGGGTGGAAGAAAGGTTAGCTTTATGAGAAAATGACACGCGTCATCAACTGCAAGATTGTTTGAGCCTCTGCTCCTTGTTTTTTGTACCAACATTTCCACCGTTCATCTTCATCACCCTCTTAGTCTTACTCCATCTAACGTCCGGCGCTCAATTACTCGAATTTCTGCAATCTTCGCGTTGCGAGTCTTTGTCCGCTGATGGTATCCTGACGAAAGACCTTCTGCTGAAAATGAGGCGGTGGGCGCAACAGAGCCTCCAAAAGCGTGCTTTAGCAGAACTGGAATCTGGCATATTGCACGAGCTTTTTTCAAGGTTATGGCTTTTTTGACCATGGGTTTTGTTCCGATAGCGCTAAAGGGCTACTCTCAGGACTCCGGTTTGTTGTCCTTAGAATCAGTGAAAAATCTAGTCCCTTCAGAATATTTGTTCTACGTCCACGTAGACATCACTCACCATAATTCATCTCGAAAAGAAACAACATGAAGAATATCGCCATGTATTCTAGCGCCTCACTGCCCCTCTATTCATCTAACCCCTTGCATCACTTTTCACCTTCTCTAACCACTTGCATTCCCGCAAAAGATGCGAAACAAGACATCCTCCAGGACGTCCTCCTTGCTTCCAAGGACATTGTCATTTCAAGAGTTGTTTTTAACCTTGCACAGAAAAGTCGCGAGTTGTCGGCACAAATATCAGAGACAGACAGGGTTCGCGACGCTACCGAGGTTATGAATGATGTTTTTTGCATCTTCTATCAGACCAGCGAGGAGATCATGGCTTGTTCCTTTTAGTAAGTTAATATACGCTTTGTTGAGGGGAAGACGAAGAGGGTAGCCATGCCATGAAGGCGGTCTCACTAGATGGAAAAAACAACATCCATAGATGAAGCGACCGAGAAGCTGTTCTTGGATCAAGAACGACTGCGAAAAAACATCGTCGCATTGGAGAAGATTGGAACAAGTGATAGCAAGGACAAGTTGGTGAGCATTATGAAAAGATAGAAAGATAGAGTATTGTGGAGGAGCACAAATTAGCCTTAGAAGTTCTACAATACTCAAGAAAATATGCTTATGACTACAGAATCAGAATAATACTGATAATTGTACCAGTAGCAGTAGGATCTTCTGCTTCTACTATATCTAGATCTTCTACTTCTCTCGTTCTCTCTATATCTAGATCTTCTACTACCCACCCTGCTTCATCCTCCGATACATGGCAGACCTACATGCTATGGAAGATACGATTTCTCAGAAGCGACAGTCCTCCGCAGATTTAGAGCGAAAGCTGCAAACTTTGCGAGATGAGATGACGGCCGTGAAGGGTTATGCTGAGGTCTACATTTCATTAGTTTTTTTGAATTTTGCAAGTAGGACTTGTGGTCGTTCTTGCATAGTTCATCAGATAAGCATAAACCTGATCAGGAGGTTCATATTTTAATACTTTTAGAAGCATCAGGATCAGCCATCTCTTCTATTTTTCGCTGCTCTAAAACCTTCAGCTTCGTCAATCGGCTGCGGCGGAGAAGCAAAAGCTAGAAGCGGACGAGAAGGATGATGACATGTAATCAATACAGGTAGTACACAAGATGACATGTAAATCAATACCGACACGTGACAGCCCTAAAAGTAGATAGCCTCTATTCGCCTCTAGATATCACTTACTTCTAAGGGGGTTTATAGTCAAAAGATCAAAATTTCATATGTAGTCCAGAAATATATAGTTGACTCGGCCATATTGAGACAGAGAGAGGCACTAAACAAAGATGAACCGACGAAGACCATTATTTTTGTCGTATAGTAAATAGACACACAAATTATACTTCGAACTAGAAGAAGGGACAACGACAAAAAAACATTAGACTGTAAAGTATGAGAAAGATCATGAGATGAAACGTCAAGAATGTTATCATGATATGCGGATCCGCAGGTGCTTTTAGAAGCTTGATGCTTCATGCCGCATTGATGTCTGCAAACTAACTGGTTGAAAATCCCGGATTTTCATCTTTTACAGCGAAATATTGCGCAATGTACTGCTCTCAGCCGGTGTTCATCTTGCTGCTCGCGGATCAATCTCCAACCAAATGGTGCGATGAAAGAGTGATGTGAGTGAATGAGCGAATCCGAATGCAGCCATTGTGAGATTCGAGATAATAACCTCAATCTGTCTTGCAGTTGCAAGGTGCCTTAAAAGTAGGAGTCGGTCTATGTACTATTTTCCTCCTGATATATGGTAGAGTTCTTCCTCCAAGACCAGCTCCTGATATATGGTAGCGTTCTTCCTACCAAGAACCATTACTATGAGGTTATGCCTCATCACGTGATTGTCCACACCATGTTGAGCCTCTACGCGATCTTGCTTTCTCTCTTTGTGCACTTGCCCATCGTACGCTCCAGTCCATCCCTTTGTTTCCCACGTGAAGAGGACCCTAACGGCGACTTCTACAACCATTGTTGCAGAGCCCTTATGAGTGACGTCTTTTCCATCCAGACAGATCATCCTGGCACTTTTTCGCCTTGAAAAAGAGTACCAGGATGGCCGTAAGGATGGAAAAAACACCATCCATAATCTTGTATGAGCAGCGTTATGACAAAGGCAACCAGTGCTGGGACCCACTGCACTCATTCGACAAATGCTGCTACCCGGTTCGCAGTCCAAGCCAAAGATTTGAGGACGAGAAACGTGTTATTCGCGGCACTTCTGGCGAACAATCTGGCAGTTCTGGTGAACGGGATGACGAGATGGAATTTTGGCTTCCAGTAAGAGTCTTAAGGACCACTGAGAAGTCTAAGGGTAACAAGGACACCAGTGACAGTCGTGTTGAAGAAGAGGCAGAGGAACCAACACGAGAAGAAGTAGCTGGAAGAGTTTATGCAGACGGAAAGTTGGTTCCCGGTAATTATGGGAAAGATGTTGAGGCTGAGCAGGGCACAAGAACCAAAGAACCTACTCCTGCTTCTCCATCTAGGCCTACGGGAACGAGATTTGCGAAAATAAAGCTACCTCCTTCACCCTTGAGCAGGAAGAAAAACGATGATATTAAGGACGGACAACTTCAACCTGGGTCATCTGGGTCTGGAGTTTATGATGAAGAGCAGCAACAAAATCCTTCGAATACGCCAGCGTCGTTCTCCGCCGCCTCAGCTTTACGTGATTACTGTTGGGAGCCTCTTCGTCAATTTGCTAAGGTAGCTCTACCAGACGCGGAACCAGATCTGATCGATCTAGCCATTGCTCAGAACGACGAATTACAGAGCTTACGTGCGAAATTACGTAGAGCCACCTTTGAGCGGAACGGTGGTCGCCCTTTGGCGAATATGCAACTTCACACCTTTTGTTGCGCAACACCACAGGACGCTACCAGCTGCTTTGGGGTACGGTTTTTGCCACCAGGGGTGAACAACAATGCGTCAGAACAAATGAACGGAGAGGATTTCTCCGAAAATCTTCTACCCGGCGAAGAGAAAACCGACGATGGAACCATGTATGGCTGGAATTGGCCGATTTCCTTTGCTCCCGATAAAAGAAGTTCGGCACAGCTGCGAATGAGCGTAAAGCATGTCGATTGCTGCTTCCCAGGATTGAGGGATATGTGTATGGTCATGGGATGGAGCAGTTCTTGCACTTGCTATTAGTGACTTAATGTTCATCAGATTGGTTCTGAGAGGTTCTATCCAGGCAGTCCTGTTGTATCTCCGAATTCTAGGATGAAGATGATGATGATGGTCATGATCATGATTGTAGAACCATGTAGGAACTTTCTAGCGTCCTTGTCGCGTTGTGGTTCAGGGGTAGTCTACCCACCAAGAACGTTGTAGACTTAAACTGACTCTACCTCCCCGGTCGGCAGCACCAGACCAACACTCTTGTTTCTCCCTCCATTTCAATATTGTCGCAGTGCCTTTGTCAGAAAGGCCACAATGGATGCTGGACGCAGTGGATGACGATCTACGAAGATGGAAAAGCAATTACACGCCGAACGCGGAGAAAGTTTCAACCTTTGCAGCAAATAAAGCACTAGGAGAAGTGACGTCTGGGTCTACTACAATTGCAGCAAAGAAAGCACTTCCAAAAGACGATCAAGCTCAACATGCGCTCCAAAACTATGGCAACCGCCTATATCGCACTTTTGACCCTGACCATCCAGACGTATGCGAAATTTTCCTCCAGTGGTGTCCAAGGAAAATTATCGGGAGGAACTGTGCACCACTCATTTCTGAGACAGATGATGGTCGTGAACTTGTGGTGAGGGGAACAGACACGGAAGGACAAACGGGAAAAACAGACACGGAGGACCTCCACGGAGTTGTAGACAAGAAATTGCTGAACTCCTCCGACTACGACAATAGGCTACCCTATTCTTGGCAAACTGTGGAAAGTTGGCAAGGCGCCAAGTTGTTTCAAGCCTGGTTCATCGTTGCTAGATTAAGGGTAGGCTTTAGGTGCGTCTGTTACCGTTTGTGCTGGGTCTCCTAATGGAGAAAAGCATAACAGAGGGGGGGTAGAGGAAACACCAAAACCCTACCTCTAACTAGACTCTCGCCCGTGCCTGACGAGTGCAGTCCTGAAAAAAAGCCCTTCGGAGTCCGCTTCTACCAGTCTTTACAGCCTGAATCCTTTGACTTCACCACTGGTACTAGGGTGAATCATCGTCCTTCATCTGGGCGTGGCCAGAGAAGTGCCGATCACCAAGATCATGGAGATGCAACAGCCTACTACGATCTCCCCGTCATGTCCTGGACCAGATCCATCGTATGGAAAAATCTCCTTCCACCTAGTAAGTGAAAAGACTCTTCCCCTTATACTCTAGTATCTCAAACTCTAGTAAGCGATTAATAATATAAATATCTCTACTAGTATGAATCGCTACTAAAGTCTTTTCTCACTCTAGTAAGCGTAAGTCTTTTCTCCCGGATCTACTTGAACATTCTGAATCAGCGCCGGCCTCTTTCATTCACCTTGCCGAAGACCGCTGTCGACAGCGCGCTCCAGCTGCCACTAGTGTATCCGTTTCACGCTGGCTGGTACCGGAAATACGAGAACGAGTTGAGACTCTTCTACGTGCCTTGGGAAGATAGAAGAAAAGAGTTCTTCTTTAGAGGGACACCTGGGATTATACCATGGAATTGGACTCAGCTGTATGACGACTATGCGAATAATGTTAAGGCTTCCACCCAATAGAAGAAGTACCCTACACTGACTCATCTTGTATTCGACTGTACAGTGAAGCATCCTCAAGTAGAGGCTTTTGTTCAAGGGGCGGAAAAGGGGCCTAGGATGCACTTCGAGATGGATTAGGGCGAGCGCTAATAATGCAAAAGGACAAAAAGGGAAAAATAGGAATTATCATGCTGCTAGTTGTGCTACTAGCTCACCCTCTACTCCAGATGAAAGGTTTGCCCCTGACGAGGAGCGTGCGTCTCACGATGAAGACACTGGGCCGGAAGATGTTCTTGCGGTTGCGGACACTACAAGACCTGAAGCATTAGCAAGCGCAAGCTCAACATCATCATCTACACCTACACGACCTTCAAGGGCCGACTATAAGGTAGATACGACCCCTCGTCCTCGAGGCATCTATTTCCGTCGGTTTATGCGTGACGATCTTACCTTATGGGAAGCTGTGAAGAAGTCTGTAGTTGAGACTGGAGATTGGGAGGAAACCAAAGAGTTTTTGGAGAAGCTTGATGTTAGGAAGGAGGTGGATGAAGGAGAAAATACACAGGAAGACTCTGATCATGGCGCAGAAGCTTACGCTTCTCTAGGTGTCACGGGAAAAGGACAGGCGTATGGCTCCGATTCTGAATCTGATGAACTACCGGAAGGTGAAGCCTACGGTTCTCTGAAAGCTGTTGGTACTCTTCTAGAAAAACGGCATGGAATCAAACACGGCTTGCAACACAACGCGTATCATTACGGTTTTGGAGGACAAAATACTAGGTAAGTAAGTAACTAAGTAAGTAAGTAGCTAAGTAACTAAGTAACTAAGTAAGTGTAAGTACCCGAGAACTATTTAATCCTATGATCGTGGTTATGGAGGACAAAAAGCTACTTCAGTAAGCTGGTAGGTGCCCCACCTAATACTAATTCTAGCTCCTTAGAAGTATCATACGTATTAGAATTTTTAGATGGAGGTTCTTGATGTTCCTCAGCATCCTCTTCTTTTTTGCGCGGATAGGGCTGTGCTACGCTGACTAAAGTAATCTCGTTTTAACACATAGCTTCTAAAGACTCGCGGACGTGAAAAACCTACTGGGAAAGCGCGTCTCTCCCGACAACGGTGTGGCGCCTCGCGTTCTGCTGGCTAGGCTAGCCAGAGAACTTCCGCGAAAAACCGACATGATTCCAATTGCTCTCGACGTCCAGCTAACCGGTTGGCCGCATGAAGTCTTAGACCTGAATCCGGAGCTAGATTTACCATTATTCAGCGATCGCAATCGGCCAGCCATCGTACAAGCGCAAAAAACGTTGATTCAGAATGACTCTGGTCTCAGTGAAAGGGAGAAAAGGGAACGGATTGAAAAACTAGAGAAAGAAGATGAAAAACTACAACAACGACAACGACTACAACATGTTGGAGGTGTTGGAGGGACACATCAACACAAACAGAAAGAAGAAGAAGAACTAGGAATCCAAGGCCGTCCTGACAGTGCGGACGACAACGTTGCCTTGATCGACCAGTTGCGCTTCAAGTACAACTTCAACGATAACGTCTCCACTCGCGATGTCTGGTGTCTACTTGCAGTTAAGGGCAGCTACTCTTGGTGTTCCATTTTGTGTTTCTGTCTCCGGTGTTCTGTTGACTCCCTAGGAGGAGGTTTGACTCACTAGGAGGTACTACTTAATACTACAGCACTGGATGGTGTTTCTGTTTCCGGTGTTTTTTTGACTCTTCGAACCTAAGGGAGAAAAACATCACAAATAAGCAAATGGGGCAAACTAACACCAAATAAGCCGTACCTCTAATACCGGCCAGGTCTTGTTTCGAGCTCAGTTCCGCTATGACAGTGCCGTGGACAATGTTCATCTCTTCAGGCCTTACGAGCATTGGATACCACTACGCAGAGATTTGAAGGACTTTCCGGAGAAGCTGGCATTTATCGTTAAGGCTACAAGAAACCCATCCTCGTCTTCCTCAGCATTCCATCTGGTGCCGCTTTCTAAGGGACAAACAGGAGCATCAGGATGCTCCTCTAGCTCAAGGTGGTGACAGACCCTTATACATAGAACTAGAAGTAGTTATCCCTACCAGTACTAGCAGAAGCAGTAGATTTTTTCCCTCGACATGCTCTTTCTCAACTACCAGAAGATCAGGGATTTCGACGGACAACTTGTTTACTTTCATTTCATCCCTTATACATAGTTCTCGTAGATTTTCCTTATAATAGTTCTAAGATCGTGAAGCATGACGACTGGGCTCGGCTCATAGGAGAACGCGCTAGGGATCGGGCAAGGGAAATCTTCAATTTGGAGACGAATTACTGGTATTTGCACACCTTGTTGCTCAAATTGGGGAGGCTGCAAGGAGGATTCATGGATGAAGAAGAAAGGGTTCTTGTTTAAGAGATATGATAGTCAAGGGTTCTTGTTTAAAAGATATGAAATAGTCTGTCTCTGTCTGTGTCACTTTCAGTTTCATCTGATGTTGCACCCACTATTCAGTTTCAAGAATGCACTTCGGACTCATTCGATAAACAGTGTAAAAGTGCTGACATTTAGTGAGGTGACATTTGATGATCTCAGTCCTTTCACGGATCAAAAAGAGAAAACTCTACCGCTGCTGAGAGCAACATATGTACCTGACGTGGTCGGTAGTGCTGGCATACACCAACACAGTGAGGCACCAGAGCACATTGAATGCAATTTGTTGAGAGAGATGTGAGGAGAGCGACCTGAAAAAAGGTAATACGAAGTGAAAACCGTCATATCCGCGCAAATGCTGAAGTAGAAAAATGCTGAAGCTGATGTCTTTTCATACTAGTAGCACCTTACGTACGATCTTCTTGAATACCGGAAAAATAAGAGTAACATCAAATAGAAAAGCATGACTCATCGTTTCCGTTGTTTAAATGATAAATCACTAGAACAAGATGCTCCCATCGTGGAAGGATCGTGGACGCCAAGGGGCACCGACGGACTGGGGCAAATCAGGCCTGTGCAGCACAAATGGTGGCGATAACAACATGAGCTAGGACAAGTAGAGTAGGTGCCTCAGTCACCGGCTTTGTTGTCCTTCCAGTGGTGTATACCGAGCAGAAGCTCCATCAACATCAGGATGTTGAGAATATTGAAGCAGGAGGTGCTCACATTGCCCTTGCTCATCTCGTTGGGTCCCTCCTCCAGTTGGACCGTACTAGAAGTTCTGGCCCAAAAGGTGGCCACGCCTGGGTCTCTGGATGGCATCTACCGCATTTTCGGCCACAGCAGTGGATTGTATCTAGGCAGAAGCGGCAGCTTAGTTCCAAGAGGCAAGGAGAATGGAGCAAGTACCCATAGTGACTGGTCTCAAGAATGGATCGTCAGACGAGCGGAAAAAGATGATACATACACGCTTCAGCAAGTGTCGAGTGGGCTTTTTCTAGACCATGATGGCGGAAAGACTGTCGTTCTTATGAGAATTTTATAATGATAGAAGCACCACTGTAATTGTTGCTGTTGTGGTTGGTAGAACCATCTTGACTTCCACCCTTGGCCAGTACAACAACTGAGCACAACATTTAGTCTTTACATATCTGCTTCGGCAATATCGTAATCGTAAACTTATAAAAAGTAATCAAGTAGTCTAACTTCAGCCCTCCGACCCTGGGTGCCTCGCAACGTTGGTTTCTACGTTTGCGCAGGATCGCAGAAGGGCTACCACTATCCTACGAACTCCGACAGGAATCTTCAGGAAAGACTCTCTTAGCACTGAATAGTGGACGATTGGAGCTAGACGAAGCTGACCAAGGAATTCAGGCTCATCAAGGTGCAGAATTGCCTTCTGGCGCCGGCTCCAGCACAAAAACTAAAACAACACCTTACGCAACTGGTAGTAGTACTGGTAGTACTAGATCTCCTACAAGTACAATGCGTGTACCATCGGAGCGAGAGTGGGGATTTGAGAAGCTAAGAGATCTTGAGGTACTGTCTGGCGTCTATCATATCAAGCAGAAACGCACAGGACTAGCATTAGCACAACAGGACCTCGTGCCTAAGGAGGAGGCTACAACTGCAATCTCTACCTCTGGAAATGCAGCCTCTGGCGTTGTGCAACAAGGAGAAGCAGAAGGAGGCATCAGCGCAAGTCCTGCAACACCAAGTTCAAGGTCACCATCTTCATTTTCTTCGCTTTTGACAGTAGCCCCACTTGATATGGTAGGTGATAGCCAGCGCTGGGAGTTTTCTCTCGTGCAAGGCAGCATTTACACCATAGATCAGTGGGGGAGTGGGAAGTATCTTGATTTAAGGCTTCTCCTGATCCATCTCATGACGCATCCTGGAGTGGCTTTTCAAGTGGAAAAGTAGAGGCATAGAATGAGTCTCATGATGGAGAAGGGCGAGCACTAATAGATGCTGAGGTTGGCGAACGTGAGCAACTGCAGCAACGACCCCAGAAACAGATTAACACGTTGCAAGAACAGGCCACAATGCTGCAAGAACTTCCTCGACAACAGCAATCCACAATGCCTGCCGGGCTCTCCCTAGCGGAGGGTGGTCTATCGCAGTTGTGGTATCTACAACCTCTACAGCGGAACTCTGGTGGTAGCTCGGATTAAGGCGTGACCCTAGTGATCCATCTTCTGAACCAGCATCCTGTCAGTCTGGAGGCGACTTTCAAGGGAAAACAAAAGAGGAAACGGATGCGACCTCGACGGGGCAAATGAGAATGATGAGCTCTAATCTGAGTGGCGCCTAGTGCATTCGGCTAGTGGTCGTGTGCTAGATGCTTTTGCGACGAAAAGCGGCAATCCAGCTTTGGATATTCGACTTGGGAGAGGTGAGAAGATGCCGACAACTATTATGACTGTAAGAAATCCATCTTCACATTTGTCCTGCTCCCGTTTTTGAAACGGAAAAAGGGCATGTTGAGGATGCGGCTGAAGATAGATTTATGGTAGGTCTAATGGAGGTGGATCTCCTGCGGCTACTGTTACTGCAGCTGCTGCACCAACTGGGGCGAGTAGTGTTCTTCAAGTAGGAGTTCTTGCATCGGCGTCTACAGGTGAAGTACGTCCTAGTACTATGTCGAACACTAGTAGTGGACAAGACCCAGTGGCTTTGATGGACACGACGCAACAAGGATTGCTAGGTACTGCTTTTGGACGATAATACAAGAATTCATATTAAATACAGGATAGAGATACAGATAGGGAAACTATTCGTCCATTCTACTTGTGAGTTCATAATTTCAAGAACAAACATGAAAATTGATTCAAGAACTACCCAAGAAGCAAAGTCCTCTTCTACAGCCAGGTGCCCAACGTCGTCGGAAGACTTTGCAGCAGCAAAATATGGTGGTGCAGACAGTCAACGTGGAACAGAGCGACTTTACTCAGCGCTGGGTCGTCTTGCCTGTGCAAAAGAAGCCGTCTTTTGATGTTAAGGCTGTGCAGCATACTGCGTCATGAGGCAGCTACCGCGTCGTAGACATTTTGGCTCAAGCAGAGAGCTGAAAGCTTCACAACATTCCCAACAAGATCGTTAAATCAATGCCTTGCACGTTTTGGCTTTAAAGTTATTTTGTTCACGTGATTAGTTACTTCACGTGATTAGTTGCTTCACGGGATTAGTTACTTCACGTGATTAGTTACTTCACGGGATTAGTTACTTCACGGGATTAGTTGCTTCACGGGATTAGTTACTTCACGGGATTAGTTGCTTCACGGGACAGGTTCCTACTTGTTCTAATGGTGGTTTCTACGCGTTGAGACAGAAATCCAGTGGGCGATACTTGGCAATGGCGGAGCAAATACCTCCTGGACAGTCGTCCTTGACAAATCGTGGCGTGGTGAAAGACCAACATCCCGAATATCCTTACTTAGGACTCCGACTAGTGGAGCAATTAGCCGATGCGACACCAGAAAAGGAGAAAACGCATGCGTTTGTGAAGACGATTGCAGAAGGGATGGAGGTCGAGAGGGAGACAGCGATGGCAGGAACAAGAAGTGGTAGCACGACTACTGACCTCATCCAGGGTAATCAAGTAACCAGGACGAACGAACTTACTAGGAGTGTTGAGTCATCAGCCACAACCGGTAGTGCGATTTCGATTTCTAAACCGGCTAACACACCAGGAACTGAGTTCCTCGCCATTCGCGATAGTACACTCGCATCCTCTGGTACGTCGTCCGAACGACAGGCGCCTGGCAGCAGTAGTAGTATCTTTTCCGCTTCTAGCGCACCTATTCCTATTGTGCCACAAGAGCAATCTACTCCAACAGCAACTGCTCTCGGCGCCTGGCGTATTAAGACGATCGGGCATGGTGCTCTGTACTCCTTCATGCACCGAGACCAGTTTTTAGATTCGAAGCTGGCGCCAGACCATCCACAAAACCGAACGACTTTTCTAGCGCCTATGCGGAATAATGATTATGTTGTTGAAATATAATTTTTTTAGTGTAGATGAACCTTGATCTTAGTGACCGTTCAAATGCAATAGCAGTTGTCCTCTCTCGCTTTCGTGGCAAATGATTCGTCTCTGTCTCTGATGGCAGAGAATCCGTACGACCTTTTAGTAGTTACCACAATCACGGATAGGAACTCAACGTGTTTAATTCTTGAAATAGAAATTTATTACCTGCTCTAAACAAATCGTGCTCAAAAATGGTTGATTCGATGGACAGGGAAAGGCAACGAAGTACGAATTATCAAACACGCGAATGGTGAAGCTCTGGACAGCATACTCAATCCTCAAAACGCAGACGGGGGAGAACCACTTATGAAAAGCGGCCATAGCTACTAAAGTGAGTTGCTCGTTTGTGCGCCTATCATGCAGTTGATCACTTGCCAGTTTTTTTGCTCCTTTTGCACCGTAATATGACGTGTCCCTTGATGTTGTAGGTGTTTCTCTAGTGCTTTCAGCAGAAGTAAGAGCAGTACTGTCAAAACGGAATCTACCGTATTAATAACATTCCAGTATTATCGAGAGAAAAATCCTACTCGCACTCGAAAGTTTGGAAAAATTTGAATCGTGGCGCGTTGAGGCTGATTCTGAGCGACAGGGCTGACCGGTTTCGAATTCCTTGACACTCAAAGGCCCAGCCACAGTGCCTGGCAGGGAGGAAGTAACCAGGTATATCAATACTAGAGGGATGCAGAGGGTGATACTTAACTAGAAGGAACTTCCAAGGTCTGCGTCTCGTTTGGTGTCTACCACTAGAATCGAACGAGCAACGCAGAGCCTCAGCTACTCAATAGCAAGGAGAGGAAGCAACATGCCAAGGCCTGACGCCTCGGAAGTTTGTGGCTGTGTTGGAGGGGTGTGTTGGGGGGGTGTCTTCGAGGGGGTCCCTCGTAAAAAGCAAGCATTTGAGGAGGGTTTTCGTCGCATTGGTATCCGTCCAAAAGAATCGAGTAGGCTTTTCGTCGCATAAGATGGTCTCCGTTACGTACATAAATACAGTTTCGGACGCCTTTTTTTTTGCCATACCATGCGGCAAAGAAACAAAGCGCGCGCAAAACGGATTCTGAGTCTACTCGAAAGCTTGCCTGAGTGTTGGAGGGGGGTAGCGGAGGGGTGTAGCATTCCCCTCCAACCTCTCCAGGGTCGTTCGACACCTGCCAGCATTCGGGAGCCCAGCACGCAAACATCAACTGGCCTGAAGGATCATGAGCATGATGCTAAGACCTACGCACGCCAACCCTGCTAGTGACACCCCCCTCCACAAGTGATCTGCTAAGCCTCACAGTCATCGTTCTACTTACTTCCAGGTGCCTGGCTTGGGCCTCTGCAGCTGCTGCGGGAAGACAAGCGCGACTGTTTCAAGCCTAGAGAGGTCGACTGCCGCCATGTTGATAAAAATTTTCCAAACTTTCGAGTGCGAGTATGATTTTTGTTTTGATAAGTATTTACTTCGATCTCCACAGGACACAAGTACTGGAGGACGTTCTACCCATCCCTTTAGCAGCTGCAGTGATGAGTGTAGTTATCGTTATGTTTTCCATGTTAACAAATTAGGACTCAAGGATGAATTGGTATTGAAATTCTGTCTCCGTAGCCGGTCTGACTCCGGGTAGACGTAGACCGCCAACAATTTTGTGTAGGGTAAAGGTGCTTTTGTTCCCGCTTTTTATGCCTTTCCTAAGGGAGAAAGGCAGAAAAAGCGGGGTCCACGAGCACCATGACCCTACCCCGAAAATAACTTTGCTCACACCTCCGCCAACCCCAACCAAGACCTTCTCCCCTTCATACCCAACGCTGTAACCCGTCCTCTCGATACGACTAGCCCGTCTCAGATCTGGGATTTGGTCTTCGTAAAATCCGACTGCCAGTCCAGAGTTACCAGTTGCGCTGCCTTTGACTGCGGATTTGTTGACGATGGATGTGGTGATTTTGTCTACTGTGGGAATGCGGACAAGCTGAAAGATGCGATGTTGAAACAGCGAGAACAAAAGATGATGAAGCGACCCTTTGCAAGCGACGAAGAAATGGGGGAGCAGGGTGAGGAGGAGGTGGAGGAGGAGCAGGGTGAGGAAGATATGGTCGTTGGTAGTGCTTCTGCTGCAAGGACTGTAGATAGAACAAAAAGTGGAAGCGGATCATCAACCTCGACTCTACTACAACAACCAACTGGAACTGGAAGTCCATCTTCTTTTTCAGGTACTCCCTCATCGTCGATGCCATTGTTTAGCGCTAGTCGTGGTTCTTCTCCTTTGTCACCACCACTGACTTCTGCCGATAAAGAGTTTAGGCCGCGTCGCCGTTTGACAACACCACTGCCCGAAATCGATTTAGAAGACTACTACGATTCCTTCGGAAGCAGTGGCAGTACTAGTTCGCTTGGATCTACATCTGGCAGTCTCAGTGTTGCGTCTTCTTCCGTCAGAGGTGGTTCAACTTCTTACCCAACTACGACATCTTCCGTCAGAAGTGGTTCAACTTCTTACCCAACTACGACACGACCAGGTTCATCATCATTTCCTTCTTCTTCTCTCTCTAAAGCTGGAAGAAGTAGCATTGGCGCTTCTCCTGGAACAACAACAACGATCATAGCGTCTATCTCGCTTGCGAAACTTCCTCTGGTCACACGCAACTCTCCAGCCCAACTTGTTCAAGCTTTAACACACACGGTTGAGAAATACACTAACCAATGTGACGATCCGCGTTTCAGTTTATGACCACATCTATCTAAATACACTAAATCTTGGTACATGTTTGCCATGTCTCTTTACTCTAGCATCTGAGTACATGTTATTCATTTCTCTTTACTCTAGCATCTTCTTAGTACATGTGATTCATCTCTCTTTACTTGAGCATCTTAGTACAACGATGTTATTTTTTCATCAATCTTAATCTTTCTTTTTAGCATTTTGGTCCATGTTCATGCCGCTCAGCATTATCCTGATAATATGATTGCCCTTTTAGTACCTTTCCCGTAGATGTAGAAGACGTGCAATGGTAGAGCTAGAGATACCAAGCTGTTATCCCATAGAATCGATACAAGGGGAGAGCTACCTAGAGGCACCAAGATACTAACATGGGGAGACTGACATCGACATGAACAATAAAAGCAGATCTCCTTCATCTACAGTAGATCATCTCAGGTAAAATGCTGTATTTTTCCTGCAGTAGCTAATCTTCTCCTACGTACAGTATAGAACGCTAGTCGCACTGCTCGTCTAATCAGTCACGGTGTCAATCCGTTGAGCAACGAGCCGGGAGCCTGCATCTCCAACGCCTGTGTCTGCAGACCGAAGAAACAGTGTAGTAAGGGAGTAGAGTGCGGCTTCGAGGACGACGGTTGTGGGAATAGGATTGCATGCGGTGCAAGATCGCTGCCTCCTGTGGAATCACCTGAGATACGATAAAATATTGGAGAAAATTCAACTAAGGACTGCAAAAATCCGGACAAAATTCAATCTTCTCGGGCATGATACGAATCCGCAGAACACTCGCCGCCTACTGCGCTCCCTTCTGGAAAACCCTCACCCAATTGCGAGCCAAGAACCTCGGGCGCCCTCCAAATCCCCGCGCCCCTCCAGAATCCCCCAGCATACATTTGCAGGCTGATGCGGTGGACTCTGGAGGGGCGCGGGGAATCACATGAAACGAAACCAAAAGACAGAAAAACCAAGAGGAAGCAAGTAGCAAAAGCCGCTAAGCGGAGCACTTCCAGGACGAGGAGGCGACAATAGTGACCGTTTTTGTGCAGTTCTTAGTTGACTTAACGCCATTGAAAATCTGAGTCTTAGACTTAGTGATCTTTTCCATGTTCAACAGGTCATGAGATGAGTTGGCTCAAGTTTGTATTATTGTGGTCACGCTCTAGTACGTTTGAGCTATGTTTGAGGTATTGCTGTTCGGTTTCGCATTTCACTCTCTAACTCTCTGTGTCGCAAGTAATTTGTAGATTGCACTCTCTAACTCTCTACTCCGACACCATGCAGAACTTCCTGGCACTTACGGATCCGACCAAAACCGCAAGCCCTCTCAAGTCTCGCTGCGCTGCACGCAACACCGAGACGAATGAACCTTACAAGTGCGCGCTTTACGATTTGCCTTACTGGGAACAGCGATTAAGCCTTCATGTAATCCATCTCCAGACGCATCTACTTGCCCCTCCCTCTAAGGGAAGAGCAAGCCCAGGGTGACGCCCAAGATGGATTCCGGGACGGTCTAAAACGACCACCGGGAGAGCTTTTTTCATCAGCAACTGTCGTGGGAAGTGGAGTGAGAGTACTGGGAAGTGCAACTACAGGAAGTACTACAAGACTCACACAACTAGTCCATCTCCAACGCGCAGACCTCTTCCAATGCATCTGTAGTGCAAAGGCTTCCTGCGACGAAGGGCTCACCTGTGGCGTCCAATTACGGATTCCCCTAGTGTATCCCTTCTATGTATTTAGGGATCATGATCCCTCAAACGTAAGTGCGCAGCCTAATAGTAAGAGTAACACATAGATACTATACGGAAAATGCATTTACATACTGACAGGGTCGTAGGGGAATAGTGACGCATACGCGCATATGCTTGAGGGATTTTCCCAGGGATGAACTACGGAGAGGTCTAATCCAGGCTGATGGTTGTGGTGGTTTCGTCACTTGTGGCGCTAACAAAGCTGCGGGAGGTGCCTGCGCTTTTGGCGACTGCGTTGAGAACCAATGTGTTTGCACTAAGAAAACCACCTGCGAATATAGCACTTGCGGTTAAGGCTCAACATCATTCATTTCTGCGAAGTAGGTTTTTTGACTATCTAAACAAGGTCATTTCTACAAGTTCAAGGTATTTCTCACTGTTTCCCTTGTCGCTGTCTTCCTTCTCACTGTTTTCTTTTCCTCCTGTTTCCTTTCCCCCTGTTTTCTTTCTCACTGTTTCTTTTCCCTCTGTTTCTTTTCCTCCTGTGCTACTTAGCATTACTAGGATGGTGAAAAACGGATGATGGATGTCCTAATGCTACTTCGCATTAGGATGGTGAAAAACGGAAAATGGATTTCCTTGTTAGGATCTTCTTAGGATCTTCTGGATTCGATTGCGCTCTAATGTGTCATGGAGTCAGACGGCTGTGGCGGCGAGCTCAAATGCGGTATCTGCAGTGAGGAATGGCAAGAATGTAAACAGGTCACTGGATGGTTTGTACCTGCAACAGCTTCTGGAAGCGGTAGTGGGGGGAGCGGTAGCGCGATGGGCAGTGGTTCAACCGGAATTTCATCGCGGTCGTTGTCTTCAATTCCTCATAGTACTAAGAATCTCATTGGAACAGGAACAGGATCAACATCAACTACAGGTTCCACCCAAGCCTACTCAACAGATCCAAATGCTCGCTGGGTGACTCGTAGCACATGCCAGTGTAAGAACGAACGGCAAACGAAGTGCGACATGCCTGCACAATGTGGCCAGACTGTGAATGTTACGAAGGACTACAAGTATGATATAGATAATCAATAAATATCGCTAGGTGTAGGTTTTTAACACGTAGAGGGTGAAAACTCGTACCAGTCTGGCTCTCGCTCTGGGTCTACTTGTACACGTAAACTTTATATTCGAAAACGAGAAACAAGCGAGTTACAGACTGAAATCAGTGAGGTAGCTTTACAAGGCTACTCTTCCTCAGTGTCTCGCGGCATATTTTCATGAGTTACTTGCGTATTTCCGTTTATCGAATACTTAGATGAAAACTACTAGTGCAACAACTGTCTCTACCAATCATATTACTTGTACTTATTTATTAAGGAAGGCAAGACTACCTTGCTGTTGCTTATGATATCCATAAGCATCAGCATTCTTCCTTCAGTTTCAAACTCTAAATCCTACGGCTGTGGCGGCGAGCTGGAATGTCCAGCCTGTGCTGCGAAGGAGGCAGAGCCGCCTGAGATCGTACCTGTTGTCGCGCCACCTACTCCACCCATTGTAGACCCGACGATGGAGGACCACGCGAGAAATGCGGCGAAGGACAAAGTCCGTGAACTCTGTAGTCACTACACGTTAAGGCTCAATATATTTGATTTTTCCACCAAGTCCAAGTCTTTTCTCGCACTGTGTTCCTTCTTGGGATTCTGAAGAAAGGAAGGGAAGCCGTGAAGTGTTTTGATCTCTAAACACTGACCACGGTCATGATGCGCCAGTGCCGGGATTGAGTGAGGGGCTGGGAGGTAGTCTGGCAGCTGAGCTTGGTAGTGGGGCTGCGAGTTCTGTTGCTGGTTCAACATCTTCCGCGTCATCATTCTTCTTTCTGCAGATCGAAGAACAAGAAGTGGCTAGGGCACATTATGCTAAGTCTACAACACGATCGAAATACCAGCGAAAGCAAGAAACAACAGATCAGACTACGCCTCCTCAGCGTCAGAAAAGGGAGACCACTACGTCAACGTCCACGTCATCCTCATCCAAAACACAACATCATCATGATCTTCTTCGTCAGCTTGAATTACATGATTCACCTTCAGCACGAGCACCCAACAGACAAACTCAAACCCCGACCTCTGCTGGAACTGGAGCGGGGCCACCACATGAAGATCTGGCTGCGAAAGGTCCTATCACTCTTGTTAAGGTCACTCAGCTTTTATCTTCCATCTTTCTCGGCATCATCTCGGTACCCTTTCGCTTCCCTATCCCTTGTTGTATTCTTCTCACGGGAAGAGAAGGGACCCTTTCGCTTCCCTTGTTCTTGTATCTACTCTTTTCTTCATGGGAAGAGAAATAAGGCGGGTCGAGATGTTGAGGGGACCGAGATGAATAAGAGCTGAGTTTTCTAATCTCAGCTCTCATCCGAAATACACAGGTAGCGTGCCTTCTTGCATCATATCTTTGCCCTTTGGCGGTACTCCAGCACAGGTCGTAGAAGCTTCTGCACAAGCGGCGCTGTCTTATGAGAGACATAATAGTTCGAAGTCTCAAAATAAGCGAGTAAATTCGAGGATAGTGATTTACCTGGTTATTTCAGTATTTCGGATAGACGACTTGTTTAAAGATCGACTCCATTCGTCCTCAAGATCGTCTAGAGGACCTATTCGTAGTTAAACGAAAGCCCCGCTCCTTTTCTAACTCTTAGTCCTCCAGACAACCTACGACTCTGCCGTAGTGCAGGCGAAGGAAGCGGTAAAAACAGCACCCGATGCCGCAGTTCGAGGCGTTAGAGAGGAAGTTTTGAGTCTCTTCGCAAAAGCTGAAGCAGACGTGAGAGCAGTAGTTAGACGCTCCGTCGGCTTCATGATTCGACAAGCGAAAGAAAAACAAAGAGTGGGGTCATCCACAGGGGTATCGATGGGGTCTGCTGCTGGTTCGAAGATGTTAAGACTAGCCTGTTTGTCCTTGCACCACCTGCTGCTCTAGCTTGTCTACTAGTATTGACCCACGACTGGACTGTTCGGGTAGTTAAATATGACAAATACCGGATAATTTTACCAGACTCCAACTCCGTCTCTAAGAAATCCTGGCTCGTCCTCCACGTTGAATGCAGGATCTTTTTCGGGTTCATCCTCAATTGCGTCTTCACCGCCTGTGACACCCAACTTCCTCGACAGCATCAATATCGAGAAAGCTGAGCGTGATGTTGATGCTCTCGTCCATTTCCACTTCCTGAAAAACTATCTAGAGCCGCTCAATCTCGTGGATAGGGAAGCTTATTTGGCAGGAAAGATTAAGGCTACCGCTCAAGCATTCTCAGCGTCATCCACCTTGGCCCTTTTTCTACTCGAAAAAGAAGCCAAGGATGCCCTCAGAGATGGGAACGCGGTAGCTCTAAGAAGACGCCGGATTCGTCGTCAGGGAGTGCTGCTGTGGGAGTGGGGTCTTCTCTATTTTTCGGAAGTGGAAGTGGTAGGAGTGGTAGTGCTGACAGCGCTGGAAGTGGTAGACGTAGAGGCTCTGGTAGTACAAATACTGGTACTAGCGGTTCAGTTTCTGACACGACCAGTGGGGGCAGTTCTGTAGAAGCTACAACCATGTCTCTACCCATTGGGAGTGAAACGGGTGCAAGTTTCGAAGATGAAAACAATGATCTTGTTGCTACAACAAGTCTTCAACTTTTGGTGCCACGAGAGCCATCTGACTCTGTTCAAGCTGACCGAAACGAAGGTATCAGCAAAATTGCAGCACTATGGAGCGAAAATGCGTACTCATCCTCAAGAAAGTAGGCTCTTTCTAAGTAGGAAAAAGCCTCTTTTCTTCAGTATGACTCAGAAGTACTTACACTTTTTCGCTTCATAAGAACCACTGCCAGCGCAGAGGACTGCAGGTGGAAGGAGCACTACAGACGCTGGAGAAGTACAGGATGCTGACACTGAGGCTCTGAACAAAGAACTCTTCCCGGCTGGGTCCAATATTAAGGCTTTCCCTGAAGATCACAACTTGTTACTTACATATTTGTAACTATAAGATTTTTAGATTTATTAGGAACATCTAATAGATGAAGCATCTTCGACGAAACTTATACTCTACAACTTAGTCCTTATAAGATTTTTAGGAACATCTAATAGAAGTATCTTCGACGAAAATACTGCTGCTGCTAGTGGTAGTGCTGCTCAGGAGAAGGAGGGTTTCTTTGGTTCGACTCCTTTCGATTACAGTCCTCGAGAGTCTATTGTACCTTTTGTTCCTAGAGGCTCGGCAATGTCAGCGGGACAGGTCGGCGCTCATACCCACGTCCTGGATTACGGGTCGAACAAGCATTTCATTTTTACATGCTTTTGCTTTTCTTCCTTAGCATGATTGCTGTCTAAAAATGAAATGCTTCAACCTTTAAGTAGAGCGATTTCAAGCTGCAACTGGGAGTTCCACAGCGAGAAAGGTCTTGTTAGGTAACTTCGGATTCGAGGTGGTACCTTCAAGACCATCATCTGGATCTGCCTTCGGAACAAGCGGTCCTCGTGCTACATCAACAGGACGTGACAATAGTTTCTCAGAGGATAACGATAAGGAGGACAGCAAGCCTTCGAAGATGAAACGAGTGTCAGTACCTGGCAGCTCTTCTTCTACTCCTGTTGCTTCATCTCAGGAGATGACACGACCACAAACAACTTCTGCTGGAAGTACAATTATGGCTTCCCCTAATCCATCTTCGGAAGCATCGTAGAGACGTTTTCAAGGGGAAAACAGTCTCAGGATGGACTTGAAGATGGATTAGGGTGAGCGCCAATACAACTACTATTAGTAATATTACAGGCTCTACTTCTGCCTCGTCATCAACATTGGAAGCAGACCAATCTCTCAAGGCCAAGGAACGTGGTATCTACCGATTGAAGTCTAGAGTAGCCAGCGAAATTGGTAGAGAGACAGCGCATGAATCCATGGAGCACGCACGAAAATTTGCGCTCGACATTCGCAATAATTATGGCTAACAAAGAACTAGTGCCAAGATCTCGTCATACAGTCAGATCCACTGACTTTCAATCCATTGTCATGAACATGAGGGATACAGTCAGATCCATGATCAAAATCAGATGAACATACAGTCAGATCCACTGACTTTCACTTCTCTTTCCCCCTCTACCTCTCTCCTTCTACACTTTCACTTCTCTTTCCCCCTCTACCTCCCTCCTTATACACTTTCACTTCTCTTTCCCCCTCTACCTCCCTCCTTCTACACTTTCACTTCTTTTTCCCCCTCTACCTCCCTCCTTATACACTTTAACTTCTTTTTCCCCCTCTACATCCCTCCTTCTACACTTTCACTTCTTTTTCCCCCTCTACCTCCCTCCTTATACACTTTAACTTCTTTTTCCCCCTCTACCTCCCTCTTTCTACACTTTCACTTCTTTTTCCCCCTCTACCTCCCTCCTTCGTCTACCTCTCTCCTCCTCTAATATCCAGTGATCTCTCACGTTGATACCTCTCTTGCGAATCCAGTCCGTGACACTTTGATGCAAGAATTTCGTGAGGAGGTCAAAGGGTCCGCCTACCGAGCGCGCACAGCAAAGGCAGCAGTGTTGGGAGCAACTATTATGGCGGGTTAGGTAGTAATGTGGATCTAGTAGTCTATGAAGTTGAAGGAGTAATATGTTGAGTAGCAGGTTAGACAACTTCCAAAAGTGGGATATCCTCATATTTGGTGAACATCAAGATTGAGTCTGCAGTCTAGCATGCGCCATCACATTAGAATAATGGATCTCAAGAAATGAAAAAGGACAGTAGCCGCGCCTGCGTCTGCAGCAAAAGCAATTGAAGTTAACAATTAAATATGACCACAAGAACCAGAACCAGTGCTGAAGATTCTAGTACCTCAAAAACATGACTAAGTACATGAGTACAAACATTGAACTTGAAGAATCTACATCCCCCCGGCCCTCTCTCTAACTCAAAGCGCATCTTTTCGCAGCTACATTTGCCACCGATGAATGGCCTGCCAACTTCTAGTGAAGCTTCTTCGTCTGCAGCGACAAGACTGCAAGTTAAGACTTCTCCTGACCCCTAACTTATGATCCCCTAATAATTTATATTTATTAGAAGATCTTCGCCACCCGATTCCTGATTTCTGATAGGCATGAATTGGGGTGCGGTCTTCTAAGTAAAGATCAACCGTGGAAGGCAAGCCCGTCAATGAATGGCTACGGACAGAAGAAAGTGAAGGCAACAACTTCGGGGATTGGTCGAAGGCCATGGAACCGGATCCGGTCACTCTGAAGTGAAGAAGGGTGAAATGAAGGAAGGAAGGAAGGAAGGGTGGAAGGAAGGGAGTAAGTAAGGAAGTAAGTAAAGGAGGATGGGGTAAGTAAGTAAAGAAAGGACTGAATCATCGAGTATGCAAGAAATGCGTGCTCGTTAAGTAAAGGCATAGCTGAGGGAGTGACTCAGACTCACTAAGGAAAGGAGGAAGGGCTATCTTCTAGCTGGGTTATGCAAGACGTTCAGCATGATGTATAGAAGTGTAAGTGATTGTGGGTGCTAACTAAAAAGGCAGAACAACGAACATGGACCACGCACTCATATGTGACTGCAGTGTGAGTATATTTTTTCCTTATTTTTTCCGACATTGTTGATGTTTCTTGACACTGAAAAGAAAAACTACTGAAACGAAAATCACTGTAGTGCGTTGTAGAAAGGTAAGTGCTTATTGTGGGATGAGTTCTTCAGGCACGAGAAGGGAGATCCTCTTTGATGAACGGATACGCGACAAACAACATCGTGTTTGTGAGTCCACTTCGCCTTCATTATAAGGCTGTGTCCGCTAGTACGCTCTCTGGAGTATCAGTATGCAAAGGTGAATTCTTCAGAACTTATACGAAAATGGATGGTTCTTGTTAAAGAGAGTCCTCACTACACCACCGCTCGTGGGCCCGCTGGCACTGCTTTTTCAAGATAAAAAAATGTCGTCGTCGAATAATCGCATTAACGATCAAACCCTGGCTTCTCCTGCTGTGCCTGCTTCTCCTTCAGCCGTAGGACGACAGGGAGAAGCGTGTGGCGTGGCACCAGACTTACGGTGACACTGAAGATTGAGACCGCACCACGAAAAGGTGAATTCCGACCTGTTCTTGCATGATTAACTCTTTTCAGGGCATAAAAAGTAAATACTAGGTCTAAGGAGCAAGACCAAGAGAAACTACAAGGGTCGACATTCCCTTTGCTAAGCGTTCAACATCTCAATCAGAAGAAGTGCCAGTGGCAGTATTCATGATAAGAAAAGGCGCAGGGAGGAGAAGATGATTCATCTTATGCTCTCCTATTAAGACAACCAAGGGACCATCCTCAGCATCATCATCCTTGGCGATCTTTCTCAAAGGAAGAACGTTACCAAGGAGGAGTCTCTCTCTGATCCTTTTTCTGATCCTGGCTCTCTTTCTCCGCCAAGGAGAATGCTACCAAGGATGCGACTGCGGAGCTAGCTCTAATTTTGTGTAAATTGAAAGCGAAGCAGAGCCTCGCGAACGATCTGCGGGTAGACCGAGTCGAGTTTCTGGCCTCAAACTTTCGTGCGAAGCTGAGTACAAAGATTAGAGAAGCTACAACTTCTAACAGGAACCACACCTCGTCCTCGTCTAGTGCCTCTACGACTTCTTGTATCTTCCCTACGAATTTGTCCGCACTAGGCCAGGTACAACAAGGGACAAGAGCATCTGGAGGCTCAGTCTCTACAACGTCAGCAGCTTCAACATCATCCTCGACTGCACTACATCAAGGTGCTTCACTTTCATCACCCGCGTCGACGGGAGGAAACAAGAACCACCAGATATTGATAGATAGGGACCACAACCAGTCAGGGGCGGCAAAGAACCTCTTACTTCCCGCATATGACATCCAGAGACAAAACGTGAACCACATCAAGCTCCCAAGCCTAGACTTCAGAGATGTGTCAAGCCTGGACTTCAAGGATGGAGACGCGCTTCTATTGAGTGCAGCCAGAGCGACTCTGGCACGTGTTGGGAAAGAAAGAGGAAAAGATGAAGAACGAAGAAAAGATGAAGAGCAAGGCTTTTCTTCATCCTCAAATTTATTGTTAAGGCTCAAAACAATTCATTTCTGCAAGCCATTTCTTGCAGTTTCGTTCTTGGGATTGTTCTGAAGAAATGCAGGCAAGAAATTCAATGTTTTGAGCTCTAATATTGAGAGAGAAAAAAAGTAAGAAGAAGCGAACGCGGGGAACAAGAAGCGAATCCGATACATCTGTTACTGTTGTATCAAGTTCAGCAAAGGCTTCTTCATCTGGCAGTTCAGCTTTTGGAGCTGTAACTAAGAGTGCAGAAGATCTTCATCCTGATCCCCCAAAAATAGAAACAGCAAGCTCAACAAGAGCATCATCTTCAACCGCTTCTACTATTGCAGATGCAGCTTGTGATCCCATAATAGGAAATAAATCCGGCCCACCAGGTCATGGAGGTGGACCTATGTTTACTACCACATCATCATTATCTTCAAGAATATTCACATCGACTGCAACATCTTCTACTACAACATCTACAGTCCTCGCGAATCCAGATGGAATGACATCCGAACAAGTACCTTCTTTCGGTCGTCAGTCCAGTTTTCCCCGACCAGCCTTGACCGAAGAAGAGCAGAGGGCTGCCTTACTTAAGGGTTTCCGAATTACATCCCGCACTAGTCCCGTCCTTGGCGGGCTCTTTTCGTGGTAGTGGTTACTATTAGAAAAGAAGCGAGGAAAACGAAAAGAAAAGTAGTCTGGGGAATGTAATGCCGTAGCCAGCTCTAACTTATACAAGCGAGAACTGGCGAAAAAGCGTATGGAATCACATCAAAAACGTATAGAGGGCTTGAGAAGTCGCGTTTCAAGTCTCGCAGCCGAAGCAGAAGTGAAAAAATCATGCGCTTCACAACACCATCCAACGACAGCATTACTGGGATCGAGCATGCTGGTGCCGTGGTTAAGAATGCGAATGGGGACTTAGATACTCTTTTTCTATAAGTACAAGTAGAAGTACCAGTACGTTAGTACTACAACTCAAACCTTAGTAAGTAAGTATCATTAAGTAGTACAACAGCTACAAGTACAACTGCAACTCAACCCCTCCGCTTAAGGGTGTTTTTCCCTTGTCTAGACGACAATACTCGTAAGTAGAACTCAAGTGACTTGAGTCGAGTTCTCACCCTCGGACTTGATTTGAATACTCAGACTCAAAAACTTAAACTGCTGTTTACTCATGGCGTGTTCCCTGTAGTTGGTAAATCAAAATAATCCAAGAAGTTCAACATTTTCTTTTATTTCCACTCCGCATGTTGTTGTCCTTGAAGATCATGGTCCTCGTCCTACCTGACCTCTCTCCAATCCGTGTCCTTGATTGATCACCTCCAAGCACCTGACCTCTCTCCAATGTCCGAGTCTGAGATTCGTAGAGAGCTGGAGGCCGTTAAATCCGCAAGCAAGGACGTCCGACAGACCTTCTTTCGGAAGATGATGCTGAAGTTAAGGCTTGTTTTTCACTATCCCACGTCGACTATGGACTCCGACACTTCTCTACTACGTCCTGCCCCCTAACAAGGTAGGTTTGCTGAGTATGTATTTAAAGAAGTGCTTCTTCTTGCTTGAAAGGGGAAACCATATTAACTAGAAGTGGAAATAGAGGGCAACTCACTCAAGAACAACGGATAGTGAAAAACTAGCGTTAAGGAAATACCATCCAGACAAGCAACAGCAGCAAGAGGATGATGCTAGGGGCTTAGGGGGTAGGGATTCGAAGAAAATGTTTCAATACCTGATGGAACAGCAGAAGTGGTTTCTAGGGTAAGAGTGGTTTCAAAAAAAAAGAAATTATCAGTGCATTTTTTTGATGTTAATGCTTCCGGTCCCGGTCCGCATAAGGAAGCGAGAATGTCTTGCAGCTGTAATCAGTTACACCAGCTGGCTACTCCTATAGAATTGCAACGGCCAAAAGAAAAAGGTATGAAAGACAAGGATGTTTTCAACCTCACACTCAGAGAGGACGAGCTAAAGCTCTTTTTCTACCACGTGCTGGCCAGGAGACATAACATCATGCCAAGATTGATTGTGTCGCGCAGTGTTCGAAAAAGGTGCGGAAAAAAAGGTCAAAACGATCAGAGCGCTGCTCACTCACCGGAGGCGCTGCACAGGCCTCCAGCCTGCCTCAGAAGGTGAGACCTCTGGGGCTTACAGGACAACGACAGCGCCGGCCCTTAGTTGGTAGTGGATAAGTACCTGACTGATTTCTCCTTTTTTATTTCGGTTTTTTGTCCTATCTTCTTGTTAGGTCTGCTCCACTCACAATATTAGAGCACAAAAAGAGAGATAAAGACTATGCGAGGGAAACAAAAATCGAAATTGAAGGTGGAAGCATCTGCTTTGGGCTAAGAAAGGAATACAAAAACTGACTCAAATAGAGGCTGAGAGTGAGCTGAAGAGAAACGAAGAGTGCAAGGATTTGAAAATTGATCTGCAAAAAGTAGATGGAGAAATACTTCTAAGTTGATCTTGATGGTCTTCAAAAAAGCAGGTGCAGAGGAAATTGAAATATGTTTACCACTATAACAAATTGCTCTAACTTCTACTGATCATGCCACCAAAGGAAAAGGTTTTTTTTTGGAATTTTTGTTGCCTAAGGCGAAGCGTGAAGATAGTCTGTGACTTCACTGGATGAAAATACTGACAAATCGTTGCACTCTTTCTTTTTATGTTAGTGTCTTTGTTTCTCCACTTCCAGTTCCATTTGTGATCATAACGCATATTCCAGGTGGTACCTAGTGACAGCTATAGTCCCGACATTCTCTCGTCTGAGTCTGTCTCATTGCACTCAGAAGAAATTCTGTCTCTACCAGTCTTTCGCACCGTTGCTTGTGAGAGAGTGCCCACAGTCGTTGCAAGACTTAGCAGTCTGTCAGGTCCGACACTTCTGAAAGTTGCCGAAAGTTCACACAGAATCACCCCGCCAACCTCCGCAGAAGCTTCGAGGAGTCTCCGCACGTGAGTCGCGACCGGCTGGCCTTGTTCTAGCGGTCAAGATCAGGCTTCTGGCTGCCGCGACCTTCGAGCGGAGCACCAATCCGCGCCGCCGCGTGCCCCCTAGGAATTGGCGCGGAAACTCCTCAAGCAGACTGGCGCAGTGTGTGGCAGGCTGTTGCCCTAATGTGGTCACGCGGCAGGGCTTGTAGTTGGCATTTTATGCGCTGCTTGCTTCTCTTCCATACTTACGCGAGTCGCTTCGTGGCGACGGGGCGGGCGTGCTTGCTGGCTCACAGTCGTCCAAGCTGGCAAATTCCTTGACTGCTGCCTAGTTTTGGATGGATCCCCCATCGATGCGCGCTCTCTTTCGGGTTGAAAATTTTACCAAAGTCCGCGCCTTGCTTCGTTTGGTTGTTTGATGGATTTGGGCAGTTTTTTCTTCCAAAAAGGAAACCGTGCCCGAATGCTGCTGAAAGATTCAACAGGGCCGAAATTTACCAAAAACCGCCGGAAGGTGCTGGCAACGGCTGAAGCAAAGCCATCGAAAATGGCCGAAAGATGCCGAAAGCTGCTGAAAGACTCCGAGCTCAAGCAAGGAAGAGAGGCCGGCTAAATCCATCACGCAACCAAATGAGGCATGGCGCAGACTTTGGCAAATTTTACCCCTGGAAAGAAACAAGACCGACACACACGCAGGCGCTGGCTGTGGACGGTGCGCGCGCAGAGCTCGAAGAAGGCACACACACAAACTGACACGCACGGACGTAGCTACCTAGGCATCTGGCAACTTAGATAGATAGAGTCTGGGGCAGTGCGTAGGCCGGTAAGCAGTGCTTTAGATTGACACTCACACGCATAGGCGCGCACGCTCATAGATGGACACACACACACACGCGCACACGCATAGGCAGACACGACAGAGGCGCAGACAGACTGGCGCGAGAACAGCCACAAAAGTTAGCTACCAACAAAGTACCAGACACCCGCGGCGCCCAATGAATGGACAGCGCACCGGCTGAGTTCTTGACTGATTTCAGAAACTGCGTGAGCTTTGGGCAGTTTTCGGCGATGCATTTGCTGGCTTGTAAGTCTTGCAATGGTCGGCCTCCTCTTGTCTCGACGCCGTGGCATTTGGATCGGCTTGCCATGTCTTTCGTTGGGTGAGGCTGGTTCGCTTTTCTAGCTGGGGTTCTTCTTTTCATTAGATTAGCCACGCTGATCGTGGGCGAGGATAGCCCTAGCAGCAGAAGGAAACCACAGCAGCGGCAAAAGAAGTGGAGGGAGCGCTGCGCGCAACTTTTAGCCGGCAGCTGGCTGCTGACTTCAGAGCAAGAGGGGCACAACTAGAGAAAGCAATAGATAGAAACCGCTGGCCACAAGTAGGGGGCCAGGAGCTTGCTAGCCATTCTACTCCAGGACAAATAGGAGCAGCACAGCCGGGGGCCGCTGGCAATCCAGTAGCGGGCTAGACTAGCGGGAAGAAGTCGCCAGGAAAATCATGGGCAGTCTGCCGAATAGGTTCGCAGCGTCTGCAATGTTGCTCGTGTGTTTAGTTCTTTACTGCGTCAATCGGTCCGATGGATAGTTTGTCCGTGCTCCATCGATTGTCGATGGGTGTTTTTATCAGTTGCAGATGGGGACTGTTGTCCTCGTTGACACAGTCGTGTCGCCTTCTGACCAGTATGAAGATTTTGAGTCTGAATCTTCCAAATGAATCAATCATGGACAGAGCAGCTTTATGATCTTTTCTTTTGCAGCTGTTTCACAGTTTGCTCCGCTTGATTTAATGTCCTCATTCAAGTCAACTAAAGTAGATCTACAGTTCCAAAAGTAACAAGACTCCTCTCGGAGGAAAGCCTTTCCCCGTTGAAACTTCACATCCATCACGACTTTGGGCTTCACGATAGACGTAGAGAATGTGTCATATATAATATTGTGCAGCGAGAGGAGTATCGTCTAGAACATAATTTGTTGTTACTGTTTGAAACAACAGCCGTCTTTTGACAAAAAAAACGATGAGCGGCTTGCCAAAGCTCGTCCGCGCGGGCGGATTAGTCCTAGTGTTATGGCCTCCTTTTCCTTTGAATTTGATTCACATCGCAATGAAAGAGAATCCCCATCCCTGTCAATGTGTGCATTTCTAGGACCATCACTTTCAAACTGAAACTCCTTACTTCGCAAGCAAATACTTCTTCTAGGACCACTATGAGTGCGACTACCACCTACTGCCAATGAACCCACGGCCTCCGAACCCGAGGTCAAGACAGGGCAACCCCCTCCGAGATTAACACGCGGCAATGGAGCAAGTACACTCTAACAGCGGTGACTGGCGCGATTATCTTCGGTCCTTTGGGAGTAGGTGCTCTCGAGGGTAAGAAAAAGATGGTGACCATCCTGCCGAAGCTCGTCCGCGCAGGCGGATTGCTGTTATGGTCACCCTTGATTCTTCACATCCCAGGACGTCTTAGTCTCCTCGTCCTCGCTGTTCTAAAAAGAAAGACTCTCTATTTTTATTTATTAGTCGAAATTTGACCTTACTTCGCCTTCGTTCAGTAAGAACATCCACACGACTCTAACCGCGGCAACTGGGGCGAATCTCTTCTGTCCTGTGGGAGGGGACAATCTCAGGGGCAGCAAGATACTGGAACAGTTCGAGCAGGAGGAGCAACAAATCCAGCATTTTGGTGCATCGAATACAACTGCCGACACGAATGGCGTCACCGCTTTTGATTAAGGCTACAGATAAGATTAGGCTTGTGGCTGTCTTCGTATTGAATTATTGGCTCTCAAAACTTCTGAAAGTTGAGATCGAGTTCTTGAAAAGTACTGGAAGTAGGAAGATCAAGATGCGAGGAAGTGAAATAATATGTAGATGTTGTTTAATGTGTGCCTATTCCTCTAATTTGACGATGACGACCTGCATAACGAGGCCGAACCTCCTCGCTCGAGCGCTTTGGAGGTCATGAAGCTCTCAGGCACGCGTATGGCACAGGTTTTTTGGGATGGGATTGGATCCGCGTACGACTTTCTGGAGAGCGGCGCGAATACTGTCACGTCCTGGAACAATGCGGGTAGTGGCGACAACAACAACAGCAACAACAACAACAAAAACAACTTCATCTCCGTCAGCGACCAAGATGAAACTTCATCCAACTACAAGACGTTGGGGTCCTCCACGTCCACCGCTCACACGGCTCACACTGTTTTGACGGAGAACAACTCCACCTCTGCTAGCTCGAGCGCTTTGGAGACGCAGACGCCTTATTTAAAAAAGGCTTTCAACTACGCCATAGGCAACAACCTCGACCCGGTTGTGGGTGACTTCCTCTCTGACAGTAGTATTATCCTCACTGAGACTGCTTTGTCCGAAGATCTTTTTCTTCGGGAGCATTTTATCAGGACGGTCCTCTTCGGCGGCAAACTAGACCCACCACCTAAATCTGAGCCTGAACTTGAAGGATTCGATCCAATGACATTACACAGCTATGATACTAGGCTGCAGGTGCCTCAAACCGCCTACACAGTCAACGAAAAAAAACTCCAAGAATACTACAGAAAAAGAAAGATGAGCAATCCTTTTGGCGAACCAATCACTACGAAAAAGAAGCAGATGATCAGCTTCGGCACGAAGAAGTTGTATTCGTACGCGAGCGTTAGCCACATCATCAACGAGATTTTTCTGCGCAACAAGGGGACCGGCCACGACCATGAGGGCGAAGAATATGACGAGAAAAACTGCATTCGCTTTCAAAAAGTTTGAAAATCTCACTCCACCTCTGAAGTAGCTAGTTCTCTATCCTATTTAACTAGCTAGCTAAAGTAGTGCAAGAAGATCCCGGACGCGGCCAACGCACCCGCAAGAGGCCTCATATCCCGTTCTGCCCGTCGTCGATCGTCCGGCCCTAGGTGGGGCCTGACTCGTCCACTCCATGGCTCTGCCGATTCATAGGATCCTGATCCAGTTCCAAGACCCCCGAAATGTGTGAGAATCATGAAACTGCTCCAACTTGTTGAAAACGTTGCGCACGATCAGGATCACAATGGTGACCAACATGATCAGCATGGTGAAAGGCATGAAAGCGATGCACGCGACTAAGATCATGCAAATGATCAGCATAGACATACAGACGAACAACGGACACGCATGAAGCGGCGCCCTTTCTCTTCTTTCTTTGCAGGTCGAGTCTACATTTTATGGCAGAGTAGTTTATAGCACGCATGGTGCATGGAGTAGCATGGAGTGCATGGAGTGCAGAGCTTTAAGGGGCGCAAGAGGCTCCCTCTTTAGCTCCATGCTACTCCATGTGATCCATGCACTCCATGCCATGCGAGCCGTGAAGCCTTATAAACTGCTCTGTTATGGATTCACAAAGTGAGCCAGTTTGCCACGCCGTTACAGAGTCCGTGCCCATAGGCGACGGATCGCTGAGCTAACTATAAGCCCTCGCACGCCTTAAGTATTTAGCTACTTACAAACGGGGCCCAAATGCTTTTGCTCGTCTTTTGTTTTCAAATTTTTTTTGGTAGTCTGATTGCAAGCCGGCCTTTGGAAGTTCTCCGGCGGGTAAACAGGCCCTCCGGTAACAAGAACCACCACAGAGCAAAAAGGTCGCCCGACTGATCTCAGGCGCCTCAGGGAGTCACTTAAAGAGACAGCAAAAGGAAGAAGTCCGTAAACCAAACTCGCAAAACGGGGCGGCCTTGTCCACCCTCGCGAGATCAGCCCACCTCCCCACCCGAAAGGGCGGCGCGCGCGTTTGGCAAACAGCCACGCGGAAGCGTTTCGGAACGGCCTTGGCGTCCATATCACGCGGACCACTCTCAAACATTCCAAGGGCCTGGACTTTAACGCGCGGCGCGTCGATTTTCTAAAAGTCTCCCCGTGGACCTGTTTGCTGGGAGGCACTCGCCAAGATGGCGCGACAGGCCTACGCCAAACGAGGGCAGCGATACAGGCTCGCACCTGATAGGGTCTCGCGGTTCCTCGAGCCCGAGCACTACAACAGGGCCGAACAGAAAGGGGCGAGAGCGTACTGATGTGGCGCCGAGCGTGTCAGCACTCTCGACGGCGCCGGCGTCAAATGCGGCGAAGGCGAGGATAAGCGCTATGGTCGCTTCATCAAAATCAAACGCGGGGGCTGGCATACCTACAACCTTGCGCCACTCATGCCACTGGCACGCAAGGGCACCAGTGGAGGACCAAGGAAAAGCCACCGGAGTCCTCGCAACTCTCAAAGAAGACAACGACATCGAAGGCGTTTGCCCTTTCTCCTCATTCGTGCCAACAGAGCGCCCCACTGGGGACACTGATGACACACCTGGAGAGGCACTGTCGGACGCCAGTGCCCTCCCTGATTTAGATAAGGCTGAGGAAGACGGCTGGACCACGGTCAGAGGCCGCCTCAGGGTCGAGGATAATACAGTCCACCCGCTGGCTCAGGAAGCGAAGTGGGGAGACTATGATCCCTGGAAAAAGCGCCTCGAAAAATATCGAAACGCTTACGCGAAGCACCTCGGGAGGAGGGGCCTTGTGTACCGTGTCGAGCAAGCTTCGACCCCGGCGCAACGGATGAGAGAAGACGCTTAGAAGCTGCTGGGAAGTGTCTGGGAAAAGTTGAAAAATGGCCAGGCTCAACCTCAGAAAAGTAGAGAAGTGCAGGCCATTGCTGTGCGCGGTGTTGTTGTCCTCCCTCGGGCGTGCTGAGCTTGTGGCCTCTCCTTGTCAGTTTTTTAAGCATTCGAAAAACGGAACAAGCACCAAGGCAGCCAAGTGAAACACCACGACAGGCGTGCGCGTGGCTTTTGTCGGTATCGGTTTTGGGCTCTTCGGTCGTCGTCGTGTTTGGTATGGATGGCAAATGAGTGAGGCCAAAGCAAGCAGAGAAAGAGAGACCACAGAGGGCAAGGCTGCAAGCATGAGCGCAAACGAGCAAGGAGAAAGCGAAGGCCCCAAAGGGTGTGAGCCAGAGAGAAGATAAAGACAACAAAAGAAAAAGGAGAGAAAAACGCGCAAAACAGGACGAAAAGGGTGCCGCCTTATGCGCACAAAGAGCAAAGAGGGCGAGGGACAAAGCGGCAGGCGTTGAGTGCGCTCCTGGCTAGTTTGATTCTTTTGAATTATGTAAGTAACTAAGACACTGATGGGCGAGGGGAGTCGTCTTGGGCTTTCCGATTGGTGTGCATGTGCTAGAATATTTCTGCAAGGCTTAACAGAGTGGCAAAGTCATGGGGCGAGCGGCGCCCCAGATTGAAGGAGCAAATAAGCGGAGGCGGTAGCCCATCCGGGTGCGCTTTGTGCAAGTAGTAGAAGCAACCCAAAACATGACAACAACCAAAAAGCTTAGCAGCATGGTGGGCAACATTGCCCAGGCGTCGCCTGGCCATGCTGGTGGCCTGGTGTCTCAGGTGGGCCGGCTCCGGTTTCTTCTGCTTTTTGTTTTGATGCTTCTCGGGCTGGTGTTGTCGCCTGTTGTCTACGGGGCTGGTGAAGCCACCGCCCACACGGTATCACCTGGGCCTTCGGCGATAGATTTTGACACACAGCCGCGACGACGAGGTCGCCCGCTTCTTGACAAGCAAACAACAACTAGACCTCCGAAAGCTGTGGAAGCTAGGCGCGCTGCTAACAGATGCAGCAAAGACCGCCGCGAAGCGACTGGCAAGCCGACAAAAAATGAGCATTGTACAGTACAGAGTCGAGACCGATGGGACGACGGCGCAGCAGATGCGCCTCGAGAATTCAGTCGCTGGAGGGCTCAGAATCTACGCGCACCAAGTCGCCACTTTTTGCCCCATCTGCTTCACCATCGGCGGCATCGAAGACGCAGGCTCTTGGTTTCTTCCTGACCGTGTTGCACTATACCCAAACAGCGCACAGCGCGGCGAGTCGAAGAAAGACAGGAAGCCCGTCTTCAGGGGATACGGTGAGGCTTATGAAGTTGCTGACCAGATCTGTAGCACACACGACCCCGAGGCGTTCTTCCGGGATCTCCCAGAGTCGACGACGAAAATACTCTCGCTAGCATCTGACAGCGGTGGCAGTACGATTAGCGCCCTCTTCTACCTTGGGGCATTCCATATGGGCTCAGAATATCTGCGGAAGAGCGTCGCGCACTGGCTTGATCGGTGCAAAAACCACCAGGCTGCACTAGTATCAAAGTCAGCGGCGGAGATGTGTCTTGGTATGGCGGGACTCGGTCTGAAAGGATGGCAGCAGAGGACATACTTGCCGGCGTTTCTTTTTTTAGTGGGTGGCCTTCAGAGGGTCCTGGTCTAGTCCATAGTGAAAGCCATAGCTGAGGAGCAAGCGGGGCCCCAGCTGAAGCCAGTGAGCCAGCTGGCACAACATCGAAAGAGACAGGCGACGCACTCCATGGCCCGCCCCATCTGTGTAGCACTTTTCTCATCTTTTTGGTACTTATTTCCAACCTTGAACGCTTGGCCTATTGTTGGTCAGTTTTATTTGTGTGCCCTGGTGCACTTTCATCCACTTCGTCGGAACCACTTCAGGCGCTGTCTGTGAAGCTTCTCCAGCAAAAAATCCAAGGACAGCCCCAGACCGTCGCGCAATGGGTAGAAGAGCTCTCCAGCGCACAAACAACACCAAAAAAGCAAGAAGACCTGCGCGCGCTTCTGGGTAGGTGTGGAGCGAGTTCAAGAACAAAGAAGAGGCCAGCTTCTCAGGTGCAGGATTTAGCGGCAGAGGCTGGCCGTCGGCTTCGAAGGACGAACGTCACTGATGAAGACTACCCACTCCTTGTATAAGGGTTGGAGCAGGCTGCCGCTGTGGACGCGCTGGCTTACGGTCGCGCAAGTCTGTTGCAGTTATTGCGTCTGCGTGGCGTTCTTTCTGAGCAGAGTTCTCGTGGGCTTAGGCCGTCGGCCTGATCATGTCCTTCAACACACCTACGCAGTCGACTGGGCACCGAAAGAAGGCGGCCAGTTTCTCTCCGTTCTGTGCATGTGGTTCATTGGGATAGTCATCCGCCCGATCGAGCATTATAGTGCGCGCATGTTAGGCAACAACCGAAGCCGGCCGCGGAGGGACAAGCTCCGCCATGCTTTTTCTGAAGATTGCTGCGCGGTATTGAAATACCTACGGAGCAAGACGCAAGTCCTGAGCGTCATGCGGATCCTTTTCTCCAGTGTGGGCACCTCGGTGCTGCAGTTTTCGGCGTCGCAGTTGTCTCTGGTATTTGTTTCTGGTTTGTCTTCTAGTTTGTTTGCGAGCTCTTCTCATTCTTAGCATGACCTGCGTCGAAGTGTTATGAGCTGACGCCCCATGTCACAGCGCTACTCTCTTTGTTGGTGATCTCCTTGCCCGAAGGCTAGGAGGCGGCGTGACGTCAAGTAGATGGGGAAAGCGGTGAAGGCTTGCCCAGTGTCTCCCTTTTAGAAAAATCCAAATCATCACCAAAGTGTTTGAGATCTCTTCTCCGTCTTCTTTCGGATAAATCTGCGTAGGCAGATCGCGCAGCTGTGTGCGATGCATGCTACCGCTGCGATTGTGTGGCGGGATGGGCACTCAGAAGCGCGCGAGACTTGGCTGTGGGGGTTCGCGCACCAAGAGGAGGCTGCGACGCAGATGCTAAATAACTGGTCGGGAAACTACACAGCCGGGGGCCCCGGCTCCGTTGCTCTCTCGTCGTTGAAGCGCTGGCTTCTGAACCAGCCCGAGAAGAGGCGCATGGGCCGGCTGAGAAGGTTGGCCAGCTTATTGCTAGGATGAGAAAGGACCAGCAAGCAACGCGAGAGGAAGATAGGGCGCTACAAAAATGAATTGAAAGTAGACGCGTCAAGGGCGGCTTGAAATCGACTCCGGGAGCAGATTCTGCAGCAAATCGCTCTGATTGGCAAGCCGCTCGGGAGCAAGCGGGAGACGACCTTACTTAAAAGCTTTGAAGAAGATACAACCTGCGGAGGAGGGGCAAGAAGATGCACCAAAAACGAAGAGGAAGCACACAGGCCCGCGGGCTATAGACCTGAAGCGCAGCCGCAGCGGGGGGAATCACGCTGGTGACCAGGCGAGGGCCCCAATAGAACGCACGCAGGCGCTGAACAAATGGGGCTCAAGAGATGAGCGCATAAAGCACGCGAGGACTGCGCAGCGGGTGACGCAGAAGCAGGCGCTAAGATCAGAGGCCTTCGGCGATTCGTCTAGTAGTCACAACGATGACCACGAAGAGGAGACGAGGCCAGAAACACTGCTGCGGGAGGAGGTAGCATCTTACAAGCAGGCTGAGGAACTCCCTCAAGAATCTTACAAAACAGAAGAAGGAGACTACAGGAAAACACTACCAGCGCGCTGCAGTGGAGTGCGGCAAAGTATCAAGGTCATGGATCCGCCTCGTCTGGGGCTTCATAGTGAGACGGTTCCAGCCTCAGCCGTGCCCGTCGCCCGGTGGTGCAAGAAGCAGAGGAAACGGCTCAAAGAGCTACGAGAAGAGGAGGCGACAGCGCAGCCGCAAGAGCCAAGCGCCGCGCTGTATCTGCAAAACGAAGACGATGGCTTAGAACTAGAAGAAGCGGGAGATCTGTTTGAAGGACATGATCCGAAGGACAACGCTGACGCAGCAGCACAAGGGCAAGGGGCTAACGTCTCTAATCTGTTGCGCCCTTCTTTAGTACGTAGCGAAGTTCTGGAACTCCAACGAGGGGCGCCACCGGTGGTTTTTGATTGTTGGTGTTGTCTTGACGCCAGCAGCATGCAAAGCTATGCCCCTAGAGTCGCGGACCACGGACGCCACAAGAGGGCTCGAACTGCGGGGGGGAGTGCTGTTCTCAGTTCAAAAGCAAAAAGCGCACGGCCTGAACTACGTCAGCAACTTCTATCGGGTGAAGCTGCAGCCAGATTCACAGACAGGACCTGTGCGCATTTTTTTAGGCGAGGAGTTGCGCCTCCGTTCCGAAGTTGGTCCAGGATGGCAATCCAACTTCCAGCAAGTAGAAGAAAGGAGCTACCGAAGCAGTAGTGAACCGGAACGCGACACCTTTTGAGCGGGCGGGCCTGCAGCACAACCCCAAGGAAATCCTTCAACCCCCCTAGTGCACGTCCTTCGTCAACCCCACTGCAAAAGCCAAAGCTCTCGCTATGAACAAGTGCCGCAATTTCGCTCTACCAGTAGAATCCGCTGACCCGTCGGAGATGGCTTGCTACGGCTCCGTCGGTGGAGAAGCCGGCCTTCACCAACAAGCCAGCGGTAGCGTCAAGCAGTAGCTCTTCAAGTACAACAGGAGCAAAAGCCGCCGATATGCTGCCAGTAGAGGCGCGCCAATTTAAGCGCGCTTGCCGCAGATCTCAGGCCAAGCTAGACCCTGGTCGGGTGGATGGGTTTAACGTAATTGAGGAGACGGACAGAGCGCCCGCGAAACAAGCGAAGAAGGACGCGGCCAGGCTGAAGGCCATAGTAGTAGACCCAGCACTCAGAAAGACGCTCCTTCGACGTCTCATCTGTCCGGCTTTCGACATGCACTGCAAAGCGCGCACCCAGGCGAACAGGTCAAGGCGGTTGGGATCTGGCTCGCTCGAATGGTTTGGGGCGGTCTTGAACTTGTGGCGCATCAGAATCCGTCTCCTTTGCGAGCGTGGTGGTCTACATATTGCGCGCCCGCGCTTGACTCCCGGCGCGGGAAGTGTCACGCTCTTGCGAAGTGCGTGGGAGAATTACCGGTCTGAGATCGAAGAGCACGCCATCGAGCTGGCGCACGGCAGCCAGGCGAAGCTACAAGAGATCAGAGAGGAGCTTCATACTTCTGACCGGATGCTGGCGCTGTTCATCTTGGCGCCGAATGCTATTACTTGGAACGACTTCCCCGACAGCGAGCGGACTTTTCTGGCAATTTTGGTAAGATTTGGCAAGAGTGCAAATTTTGGAAAGTTGCGATGTTGCCAGAGCTTCAAGCTAAGACTTCGCGATGCGTTTTCCGCGGGGGCGGCGCGTTTTCAGCATAAGTCTTGCGGCGTAGGGCGTCCGGATCTGCAAGGGGCTGCGGCAGGCACTGAAAGTCTGGGCTGAGGCAGGGCTTGGGCTTGGGGCTCGGCGTGGGGTTAGCAGACGCTGGGCGCCTAGGGAAGTCTCTAACCAGACGGTTAGAAGTCTTGGGACAAGTCTCGCCTGGGCTTGCGTGGAAGTCTTGTAGAAGTCTTTGCGCCTTTTCCGCTTCCCGAAGCTTCCCTCGACCGTATGGGCTTCTTTTGGCAAGACTTCCACAGACTTCCAGGCCACCCTGTCCGAGACTTCCACGAGCTTCCATAGACTTCCGCAGAGGCCTGCGCAAATCGACCCCAGACTTCTACGATGATCAAGCCAGACGTCTCCCAGGAAAGGCTGGCAGGCAGTGCTGGGAGCTCGAAAGCCTTCCGCCGACTTCTGAAGGCCTCCGTAAGGCTTGCGCAGTTGGCGAGGCATCGAAGGGTGGGCTTTGGGGGGGGGCTAGGCGGAGCTGCGAGTGTCGTGCGGGCAGGGATGCTGCGGCCGAGCGGCGGGGCCAAGTGTTGCTCGAAAGAATAGCCGAGGGCGAGTCGTCTTTGGAAAGCGACGACCTAGCATCCCAGGAAAACGCTTCGCGCCTTAGTCTCTCGGAAATATCTGAAGCACTAACATGCTACTCAGTGGAGCACTGCCGTGCTGCCCTAAGTATATCTGAGTTTGGGCATCAGGCTGGAGGTGTGTCAATACTACAAATGGCCACTAAGTAGCCCGGTCCTCCGTCTAGAAGTAGAGGCGTGGGAATTCGCCAGCTGTCGCCCCATTCAAGCAAGACACAGAGGCACACCGCGACACTTTTGGACTATTTAGAAAGTTTCTTTAGAGCTTGCATTTAAATAACGCTCGGGCGCCTTCGCTTCTGCCGGATACCTTCTGAAAATCAGACGCATTCAATGTAGAAACTAATGCGATGCAGCTGCTTCGTCGTGGTATCCTTGTCCTTCTCCCGTAGAAATAAGAAGGCTAGCCTAATCAGTAAAGGCGAAGACGTCATAGCTTGGACTTGCATGGCGACAGCTTGCAGGCTCAACTTTGGGCAAAGTGCTGCGCTTTTGAAGGGTCACGAAGCAAATGCTGCTGGGGAGCTGCAGCGCTGACGCTGTTGCTTCAGGTGGAGAGACAGAGATGGCGCCTGCGGAGACTGCAGCGCCAGGCCTCGTTTCTGTCTGAAGATCTAGGGTCTCAGCGTCTACTCGTCGGCCGATCCAGCGAAAAGCGTAAGGGCAGAAGTCTGAAGCAAACGAGAGACCGAGGGCAGCGCAGTCCAGTGAGGGCCAGACATGGATCAAGATCAAAACCGCACAGCATGCCGTCTGTTACAAAAGCGAAGCCACTCGCTCCAGCGAAGCGCGACCAGTCTGGAGCTATTCAGAGTCGCAAAAGTTGCCCTTTTTTGAGCAATAGAGCAAAAGCGCACAGGCCTGACTCACAACGCGGACGGGGAGGCATAGACTGTAGCCGAGGGACTCGCAGGAGTAGACCATAAGTAGACGCGGCGTCCTCTCTCGTGATTCTTGCTCCTGGTGTTGTGGAAATCGTAACGAGTCGAAATTTCCGCGACATTTAGACGCGAGCTTGCCCCAACGAGGAGGAGGCTGAGCTTCAATACATCCAGCCCCAGCCCCGGAACTAGGCAGGACAAAAATAAGAGCAAGCTTCTACTCCCTCTGCAGTCTCTCGCTAGTACTCTTGCACTGCCGCAGGCAGTTGCTATACGTCAACATGCCGAACAACTCCACAAAGGCGGCGAAAGACCTCCTGCCAGAAAATTGAAGAAGCAAGACACAGACGAAACTGCGCGCGCAGTGCGTCGGCAGAATGGGACTGCGGTACTACAGAACGGCTTGACTTTAGGCGCGTCCTTTCTTTGGCTTGGATCTAACCCCTCTAAATCGCTGACGCCTTGGCTGAGACCTGAAGTCACTAAATTGCCGACGTGTTTACCTGCTGCAAATAGCACACTACTCACTTACTGAGTTCATATTAACACACGGCCACGCTCTTGCATGTGCCGAGCCCCTTACGCTTCTCTGTCTATCCTGATATCAGCCGAAAAATCAACAGGAGACGGCAACGAACATCAGCGCCGCCAAGGCTTTGGCGCGCGACTACAACAAGGGCGGCACGAGGATCAACTCCCGGACTGACTGAGTTGCTTATCAGCATACTGGAAGACGAAACTGGTAAGCGGCTCTCTCTCCAACATGAGAGAAATCTGGCAAGAGCACTGAAGAAAGTGCCTGGGCTGATCCGCGAAGTAGGTCGAAATACCCGCGCGGGCAAGGTGTCAGAGGCGGCGATGGCTTTGAGCCGCGCGACCTTCTTGGACTTGAGCGAGGCAGAGGAGCTGACAACTTTGACGGTGTTACTGTTCTGTAGTTTCAGCTGTTGGGATTTTCCGGCGCTTTGCCCTGATTTAGAAAATTGAGAATGGTGTGACTATTTCAAAACTCTGAAACATCACACGGACTACAACTGGATCTGGTTTATGCCTTAATTTGAAACATCTTCGAGGACCTCTCCTCCACCTCTCTAAGTGTGGCCATCTCTTCTCCACCTCCAGGATCGCGCGGCGCTTCGATTCGGGTCGATTTCTGATGAAGAGAATTGTCTTCGCGCATTGGCTGCCTGTGGCCACGTCATGCCGTGGCTGAACCATGACAAGGCCAAGGCCAAGCTGGGGGCCGCGGCTGCCCTCGCGTTTATAGAGGGGGGCTGCAAGGCCAGAAAATCTGCGACCGAGTGCAGAAAGAAGTCGCTTGAGGCGGTGGACCTCTGGCGCCATGGCAAAGGGCGCAAGTTCGCTCTACAAGAGTCTTCGCAGCTGATGCAGCTGAAGAAGAGCTGCGCCATCATCAAGAAAGCGCGGGCGGAGATGAAAGCTCAAGAATTGAAGAAACAGATCCAGCCCTTGCTAGCGTTGAAGGATTGGCGTGGCAATCCGCTATGGGTATTCTTTACCGGCCTCACTAACGTAATAACTTTCGCACCGTTTGGATTGTTTGGTGGATTGATATAACTTCCCATTCTGAGGAGCGTGAGAGAGGAGGGAGCCCTCGCAGATTTTTCTGTGTAAGAGCAGCAGCTTCGCCGAATCCTTCGCCACTAGATCCACCATCGTCACATCTTAGGCAAGAAACTTAGAAAGTGTCACCCTTGCAGGCAATCGGCGTCGCGGCTTTAGATGAGCTGTTGCTTATTGTGACAATCCACGCAGCGAACATTTTGAAGAAGGGAGAAACAAAGACAGGAACTTACTACGGCACGCTTTGAGGAGGCTCCTGATCAGTCTGAGGGCGCAGAGCTCTTCCTATGGCGAATCTGTGCGCGGTTTCTCCATGGAGACGAGGCAACGCCTGAAGTTGATAAATTGGCACTCTTTGGGTCCTTATCTGTTGGCCTTGATCTTGCTCCACATCGTCAAACCTCTACTGAGATGAAGACGCAGGCGCTTCTGAGTCTGTCGAATCCTACTTCCATCCCATGAAAAACCACCCCTGGAAAAGTCTTGCGTCTTCTTATCTCCTCTACAGATGGGCCTCGGTCTGGCGACGGCAAGTCCTTAACATAAGTTAAGTTGGAGAAGGCCTTCACGGTCAAGAAGGACAATCCACACGCGGCTTCTCTGTCTTTTCGCAAGTTCTTGCAGCGTATCAGGGGCAACGGGCCTCGCAAATACTACAAACTATCGGCAACCCTCCTCGGGGGGTTGCCTAATGGGTTCAAGAACGAGCTTGCGCGCCTGGACAAGCTGCGAATCGACAGCAGTATCGAAGCTTTGCTTGGGGCTCTAGAGAAGTTGGCGCCCCTCGTCACCTCTACGACTGAGGCGAACAAAGCCACGAAGGGCAAAGGGATGGATGACCTCGCGCAAACGGTCTGGCATGACGGCACCAAGGAGGCAGACCCGATTTGCCCCATGTTGCGAGGGGTGCGGCGTCTCACTAGAAGCTGCTTTCGTCAAGGGGCTGACGAAGAAGACGGGGCCAAGGCTTTCCTGGTCAACATGGAGGAGGCAGACCGCCGAACGCTCAGCGCGTTTCCCGAGCTGTTTGACAAATGGCGCGCCTTTTTGTTCGCGTTTCGTGCGCGAGACATTGCCAACGACACAGCCAAGGTCAATGCTGCGCGTGCCAGTGGTAATTATCTCTACACGATTTGGCTTGTGATATGAAGAGCAAACGGCAGCGCATGCTCGTGGGAGATAGGTTAGCTTGGTCGACGTGCTCACTTTTGGAGCCGTCATCTGCAGCGCCATCGTCTGCAACTGAGAAACTGCAACGCCATCCCCTGCAACTCCCATCATACCAAAGCACTCGCCTCCACTTCGAGCGACCCCCTTGGACAAATCTGAAGAATCTAAATCACGCCTGCAGGCACGTTCGCGGACGCCGACGCAGTGGCTGCGTGCAATGCGATCGACGAAGCTTGGGAATTTCTCGCGAGTGTACCAAAAGAGGAGTGCTGCAAGCTCATCAAAGCAAAGTGGCCCCATGGCGTTACCGCTGGCGAAGCATCAGCGAACGGTGGGAACAAGGTGGAAGAGGTCGCGACCAGTCTGTAGATGAAGCAGAAGACGCAGGCGAAGACTGTAACCGAAGGGGAATGTCGCAAGGATAGTACATAGATTACTGCTCTCCCATGAGTGCACCAGATACAACACGACGAGGCGAGACCGATGCGAATTCTTTGGCTAGTGTCTCTCTCTTGAGCATGAAAGTCTTTCAATTCTGTCGCGGCCTTTCGTATAGAAAAATGCGCAAGCAGATAATAGCTCTCACCTGACAAATGTAAAAAATGCAAAGCATATAGTTAGACTCGATATGTAACGACACTAGTTACAATGCAACTTCCTGGATAAATATTCGTCATCTTCTACGCATTTCGCGCCTGTTGTTGGTCTCTCATCACTCTGCCCGGCTTGTGCATGTAAAAGCAGACGCTTCCAACAACCAAAATAAAAAACAAGACCAGAATCATGACGGTGATGCATGCGGCTACAAATACACAAAAACAATCTGCGTAGCTTTTCCGTCATCTCTGAGAGTTCTGATCTCGGCCATATACTTACACGCTCTTGATGGTAAGAGCACCAGCGAAGCGCTCACATTGAAGAAGAAGGGGGGCGCACTTTGTCAATGGGCATCATCTCACGCAAATGCATCAGCGTCAGAATCGTAGTAGAGTTAACGAAAGAACTCCAAGCATGTGACTGGTAGCATTGTAGTGAAATAATGAACATTCTTCGCCACGTCTCTAAGTCGCTCCTCGCAAGCTTCTCGCGATCTCGTAGCGCTCAACAATCTTGGTTCGGCGTGAGGGGTCGCGGTGGCCAGCCATGAAAGAGCGACAGTAGTGGTTTTGTTGTGGACAGATTGCGCCGCCGTCGTGATCTTGTCCACAACTACCTTAAACACGTTTCGCGCATCTTGTGTCTCATGATCTAAATGCCCCGGACAGGCGCCCCCTCCTGCGTGGTTGAATGGAGATGGGTCGACTAATGTTGGAGCGTCTTCGCTTGTTGCGTATTCACCTACACGCACCAAATAGATACCAGAACCGCTGGGCCCTGAACAGCTACGAAAGCCCTTCGGCCATCATTTGAAACAAATCAAGCACAGGGCTACACTTTGCACCACGTCAAAAGCTTACAAAAGAACTCCACTTGAGCAGTAGAGCTAACTAACACGGAACACACTCCAGCGGGAGGGTCGGAACACTTTCGGGCCCATCACCTTCAGAGCACCGCGCGGGGGCTTTCTTTTTGAGGGTGCTGCGGCTTGTGGGAGGGTTTCACAAGCTAGCACCCTTGGGGTCAGGGCAATAAATGAAAAGGGCGACGCTATGCGGGACGGGAAGCGCCGGGGGACACAGCGGAAGCACTCAATGGGCAGAGAGGGCGCAGCGGTTCAAGATTGGGGGGAACGTCTTGAGGGGACGAGAGAGTCTGTGTTCGGGAGCGCTTGTTGTGGGCGTGGGGAGTGGGTCTACAGATGCCGGGGCCCAAGGTGGAGGGCTTCATTGAAAGAAACCACCTCGGGAGAAATTCCCGAGACTTCCCGGGGATTTCCGCGCGGCAGAGGCCATCCGCCCGCGCCCAGGTCAACAAGCTACCAAACTCAGGCAAGGGCGCAGCGATCGCCTGACCACTAAAGAGCTTGAAGAGGTGGGAGGCGTCCTCGCTGAAGTTGAAACTTTCCAAAATCCTGAACAGCAGCAGAAGCTGCGGGGCGATTTCTGGCGCCTGATCGAGTTCGACGCCAGTGCGCAAAACGTCGCCACAGCCGAGCGGGACTCTCGTCCTATCTTCAACATGCAAGGCAAAAGATACGACGACGAACGAAGTCGCAGGAATGTGCTTCCTCAAGGGTATCGGCTCGGACTTGTCCACGCATGGGATGCAAAGAAACTCTGCAGCGTGAGCCGAAGGGCGGCCTTGAACATGAGAAAGCGACCACGGGCACGGAGACGAAGCCCACTCTCCACAGCAGAGCCATCCTTGGCACGAATGAGCGACCCTCGCCGGATGTTCTCGCTCACTCTGCAGCCAGCTCAGAAGAAAGCTGCCGAAGAAGAAAGGTAGAGGACTCCCTTCCGCAAAGGGAAGGGAAAGAAAGGGGGGGCAAAGGTAAGAGAGGCAAGATGAGGCACGACGGTGGCTCCAACTCTGATAAGACGAACACCGATAAGAAGAAACAGACCGCACAAGAAAAAAAAAGGGAGTCGACCCGCGACCAACAGCGTCGCGGTCGACGAGCCTTGGCGACTATCTAAGCCACAGAAGGCGAATGGCTTTGGCTCGGGCCAGGTCTCTTATCGACTACCCGTAGCCAAAGTAGGATGGTCGTATAGCAGGTGGCGGCCACCGCGACCAAGTCAATCTCTCAGCCTTAGAGCTTGAGGGGAGGGAGCTGGAGAGAGCGGCTAGCGTTGTGGAATTCTTGAATGGACACAAAGTTACAGCAAAAGTTGAGAAGTATTGCCTCATCTCGAAAGGGATGGAAATGGTGGGCATATGCTCACCGATAGAGAGGAAGGAGAGACAGACTGCACCAGCCACCGCGCCTCCATGCGTTCAATGTGAGGAACGGCCACGGCGGGCGTCTTCAGTCGCCAACGTCGACGACATAGAGGGCAATAAACCTTCCCCATGCTCGTGCTGCATAGGGAGACAACAGGAGAGGACTGTCGCAGCGTTTTCGCCTCAGATGCAAGAAGACGCTGACGACTTCGACAGAGTCTCACTGCGCGCGACACTGTCGAGAAGCGCGTCTACAGTGGGTGGCTACTCGACAGCGGCGCAGAAGTCTTCCTTGTCAGGGGTCAGAGCTTGATCTGAGGCGTCGTCGGTGCGGGCACCATAGTCCAAGCTGACGGATCTCCGGTCGAGGGGGGAGCACGGGCCTCCCTCAAACCCCTCAAGGCGGAGGAATCACGCTCCTCCATATTACTCATAAGGAGAGCGCGCCATAGTCTGAGGCTCGCGCACAACATAGCAAGCCTGGAAGTACTGCTAGAGTCGGGCCTTACAATGTCGCCCACTCTAGACAAACTGCACGCCCCCAGTGGCGAAGCAGTTGATGTAATCAAGAAGGGCCGCCAGCGGTTCGTAAGGTTCTACTTCTACCACGAACCGAGGCCCGCAGATAAGGCCCTCTCGATCTCGGAGACGGCCCTACAAAACAAAACGGGGCATATGGCACATCTCTCAAACTGTGAAACATGCAGACAGAACAATAAAGCTCGCCGGAAGCCATTCAAAAAGGCCACAGCGCCAGAGCTTCTCCCCAGTGAACCTAGCCACGCAATCTATCTGATCAGCGTGGACTTTTGCGGCCCCCTGGCAGCCAGCGGCAGTGGCTGCAAGTATTGGGTCGCCATGGTTGGCCGGTGCGAATCTTGGGCCGAGGCAATCGGAGTAGAGCGAAGGCAGACGCCCATAAAGCTCTATAAATCTGGATGGACAAACACGGCGCGCCGAGAGTTCGTAGGCTTGACAACGGAAAAGAGTCCGGAGGAGAGTTTCTCAAGCTACTCCGTAAGAAGGCATGGCTTAAAGCCGCGCAAATCGTCTCCGCACTCATCGGCGCAGAACGGTAGCGTGGAAGTCCATGGCCGACTCGTAACGCAGGGGGTCAAGTGTCTGCTTGACGCTGCAAAGTTACCAGAAAAGTTCTGGAGCCTTGCAGCGCAAACGGACTGCCCCGCGCTCAATCGAGCGCAAAGACTGGCACTCGGTTCACAGTCCGCGTGCCAGACGTGACGCGGAGCGCCTCCGCCTCTCAAATTTATGTGAACTTTTGGGGCGCTTTGTTGATGTAAAGCCTTCGCGTGGACGAAGATGCGGCGGGCGTGCCTCCTTGGCATAGTCGTGGGCTACTCGCATTGCCCTCCCGACTACTTAGTCTGGGACGAAACCACGAGAAAGGCCATCAAGGCCTGAGGAGTCGACTCCGGCAAGGAACCAACCTTGCCGGAGTGCGTTCCTTCGGAGTGGGCGCTGTATCTGGATAAGTTGGCGCAAGCTGTGGACAACAAGCCCAGAGAGGTGCAGAACTCTGACCCAGCCGGCAGCGGCAAAGTAGTGACTCTGCCCGTTAAGATAGTGGACAGGCTACGAGTTCTGAAAAGCCTTGACAGATAGGCTCAAGCGCTTCAGCTGCGGCGATACAATCCCCACGAAGCTCAAAAGACAAGGAGCGTCGGCGCTCTGTGTCAGCAAGCACTTCCCTGCCGACCTTGGCACATGTGTGCCTTATAGCGCAGGCCTTTGCCCCGCAGTGGCCGACCCAATAAAGGCACGCGAGAGCTATCCTCCCCTCATGGAGAAAGCGGAGAAGATCTTTTTGAAAAAAATAAGAGCGGAAAGCCCGCGCTCCAGTGCTCGAAGGGGCGCCATACATAGGCCAGGGGCACTCGCTGAGACGCTGGCAAAAGAACCCAACCTGAGTGAGCGCCCAGTCCATCTTAACCTGCAGCGAGAACGGGAGAGACGCAGTCGCAACAAGGAAGAGGGGCCCCTTCTCCCTTGTGGACGAACTGCGGGGGTGACGTTTGTCGAGGAGTTGCCCCCCGACAGTGTGCACTTGCTGCATCGCCAACATCATGGACGCCGCGCCTGATGTATTTTCTGGCGAGGCTACGGCTGCTCAGACCTTCGACGGCCGTGCCCTCCTGCTATGAACTCTCTCGCGCAAACAGGCGCACGCGGAAGATTCAGGAGGCTGGACAAAAGCGGAGCAAGCTGAGCTAAATCTGATCAAGGGGCGAGGCGTCTGCGATGAAGTGGCGCGCAGCGACCTGCCTCACGGCGCGAAGCCTGTGCCCATTAGGATCCTCCACAATGTAAAAGAATTTGGCCGACTTAAGTGTCGCGCTGTAGTTCTCGGGAATCGAGTAGACTACCAAGAAGGCGCCTACCCTCCCGCCCCTCGGGTCTCAAGGATAAGGCTGCTCATCAAGGTGGCAATGGCGCTCGGTTTTGATCTTGAGCAGTAACGATGCGAAGACGGCGCTGACATCGTCGGCGAGGGTGTCCATTGCATTGCACACCTCCACCACAGTGGCGCAGAGAGGGCTTCGCCTGGAAGCTAAAGAATGCCCTCTGTGGTCTGAAGAGCCCTCCCGGCACTCTGGGCAAAAACGTTCGCAAAACACGCCACCAGCTCCGGTCGGAAACAAAGTGAGAACCGGCGAGCCGTCTCTGTTCTTCCACGGCAAGCGCCAAGTCTGCACGCTCGGTCGCGCACGTGGGTGGCGTTGTCTTTCTAGGTCGGAGAGAGAACATAGCCGCGGTTCGAGGCTCAGCCCTCGATAGGTTTGGGCGCAATGAGTGGCAACCAAGACAACAAGAGGACGGCGGGCATTCGTATAAGCTGCCGCGCGTCAACGTTTTCAAAAAGAGCCGCAGACTGGCCTCGAGTCAAGAAAGTCTGGCCGATAAGATCTTGCAGGACTTCGACCCAGACAAAACGACCAAGGAAGCCGCTTCTCCGATAACGCGCGCGAAGATCGACCGGCTCGAAAAAGAAGCGGCCGACGGCACAAGCAAAGGGGCGAATACCTTGGCGACAAAGCACACCCAAAGGCAATTCGCCGGCGCAGTAGTGTATCTGTGGACATCAACCAGATGCGGCCTAGTATCTGTCGCCCGGTATCTGTCGACATCTCTAGAGGACCCCACACAGGAGGCCCCAGCCACGCGTTTGCGATCGAGTCGCCGGGCATCTCCTAGGGACTCGCTAGAGGCGCAGACTGGCCCTGAGTCCAGAAAGTCTGGTCGATGAGATTTATTTTGCAGGACTTCGACCCAGACAAAACGAACAAAGAAGTCGGCACTCCGATAACGCGCGCGGAGATCGGCCGGCTCGAAAAAGAAGCGGCCGACGGCACAAGCAAGAAGACGAATACCTTGGCGACAGAGCACACCTATAGGCAATCCGTCGGCGCGCTGCGTAGTGTATCTGTGTACATCAACCCGAGACGACTTAGAATGTGTCGCCCAGTATCTGCTGACATGTCTAAAGGACCCCACACAGGAGGCCCCACGCGTTTGCGATCGAGTCTTCGGGTATCTCCTAGCGACTCGCCGCCTCAGCTTAAACATTGACGGCCGCGACGGAGATTCATCTCTCTGCGCGTGGTCTGATGCTGGCGGGGCAACATGCAAAAAGACATGAGGGCCCGCCTCTGGCGGCTTAGTGGAGGCAGGGGGGGGGCATCCTTACGCTTATGGCCTGGCCGCGCAGCAAGAGGCAGCCGCAGCCAGTGGTAGCAGTATCCACCACTGGAGCGGAACTCATCGCCGCGACTGAAGTCGCAAGAGAAGCGGCCGATCTCTGAAGACTTCTCCGAGGGTCTCTAGCTGACCTTGGCAACAATCACCAAAGGAACTCAGTGAGCGCCCGCGGGCGGCTGGAGAGGTCACTCTCTCAAGTTCTGTCACTGGTCGACAATAAAAGCGCAAAAGCGATCCGGATCCGCGAAAGCCCAGAAATCCGCCGCGTCAAGCATATGGATCGGAAAACGCTTTGGACTTGTGAGGTCGTAGGTCAAGGAAGAAACACGCTTCACCATTCCCCTGCAGAAGATCAGAAGGGCGACGCCTTCGCGAAGGCTCTCCGCAGAGCGGCCCTCACTAATCTGCTGGCAAAGATCGCGGGCGAAAAGCCAAAAGCAAAGAATGCCCAAACTTGGAGAATGGCTGGCAGTTCCACTAGCAAGCGTTCGAGCTTGCAGCGATCAAAGAAGAAAATAGGCAACGAAGTAGACCGCTGCGAGGCGCATCGGAATAAGACTCATTCTCGAGACCACGTCTGGCCATCCGACCAGGCGCGGCTGTTTTTTGTCTCTTCAGTTTTTTTTTCTCCGTCAAATTTGATTTTTTAAAAAAAAAACTTCTTTTGGTTTGTGGGTCTTGTTTTAGCATTCAGAGGCGCTGTCTTCGTCTAGGTTTCTAATGTCATCTATTGCGTATCTATATAGTAAGTAGCTCGCGTGCTTTGCTTTTCAGCTTACAAAGGTGTCGGCCAGTTCCTCTGCGTCGTCCTCCACGAACAAAATCACGGCGGGGCGGCAGCACCTTACAGCCGCGCCCCTCTCGAAGGAGGTGGCGTCGGTTTTCCGGGTGGCGAAAGTTTTAAGAAAGCTACTCGGGATGCGGTCTGCCATTCGAGCAGCGTAATGGTGCCGCAAAAACCGACACCGCCAGCCTTGCCTCCCGCCATTGAAGCCCGCGCAGGCATTCTCTGGGACTATTGTCACTCGTTGGCGCGTCCTCTTCGCGGATGTCGTGGCGCTATGGAATGGGGCCAGTGCGTTAGTTTTTGTATGCTCTGCATGTTCCTCGGCATCGAAGAAACTTGGAAAGATTGGAGGGAGCGTCGCGGCGTGTCTATCTCCGTGCACTATCCCAAGAAGCTGGACACCATGCCGGAGCGTTTTAAACAGGGGCGCTGGGATTTGCAAACTAAGGCGCGCGGGGGTCGTCTTGGCGAGTGGTGTTCGAAGATACGCCTTGGCGACTCCTCAGCGCACGTCGGGGGAAAGCGTAGCAAGCGCAGCCGGCTCGTGCCGCTACGATTGTGACCCATCTCGAGGGGATGCAACTAGTGGAGCCGTTGGCAGAAAGGTCACCATGACAAAAGCAGAGGCTCTGCCGCGTTATCCGCACCCGGGTGAGTGGAATTCTCCAGGCCATGTGGCCGAGGAGCCCAAGCCGAAAAAGGGAAAGAACAAAGGCGGCAAAGCCAACAAGGAGAGAGGAGGCAGCAAGCCAGCCGAAGACAAGGGAAAAGAAGCGAGAGCCGAAGGCGAAGCCAAGGCTGAAGCAGACGAAGAGAAGGGCGCCAAAGGAAAAAAGGCCTCAACGAGGAGCAACGAGGGAAAGGGGCTGGCGTTATCCTTAAACGACCCAGAGCCCCGAGCTCGTTGACGCTGGGTGCGTCTGCGGAACTACAGCAAGGAGAGGAAGGTCTTCCACCGGGTGCAGGTCCAAGCTGGTCCGATCTTGAGGGCTGGCACCGACTTCGGCGAACTTTAGAAGAAACCAAAAGGAGGGAGTATATATAAAGAGGAAGAAGAAAAAGGGCGCGCTAAGTCATCTCAAACACAGTGGGCACGCTTTCAGTCGTGCTATACATTCAAAGGGCACCCATCCACTTTCGTGCATCATCGCCAAACGCATTACCTTGCAATGGCGGACTCTTCTGCATCTTTCACATTTCTAGGATTAAACAGCACGAGCTTCAAGCGCATTACTTAAGTGAGTGGCTGCAGACTAAGGGGGGCGCTGGTCCAGTTCCAACACCCCCGAAGTGTATGAGAATCATGAAGCTGCTCCAACTTGTTGAAAACGCTGCACGCGGTCAGGATTACAATGGTGACCAACATGATCAGCATGGTGAAAGCCTTTAAGACATGAAAGCGATGCGCGCGACGAAGGTCATGCAAATGATCAGCATAGGCATGCAGATGAACAACGGACACGCATGAAACGCCGTTCATTCTTTTCCTTCTTTGCAGGTCGGGCCCACATTTTAAGGATTCGCAAAGTGAGTCAGTTTTTCACGCCGTACAGAAACCGCGCCCATAGACGACGGATCAGACCCCCCTACTGTGTGCGATCTGAGCAGCCGGGACCTTCTTGCGTAGCTAGTTTGAATTTAGTTTAACCTTCACTAGCTAGTTAAAAACCTAGCTGACTTTTTGAAAGTGAGTGCAGTTTTTCTTTTCATAAAGGAGACCGACTCCTGATCAAGCCGGTAGTCTACCGGATCCCGACAGAGATTCCCGAGGACAGGCTAAAACTTTCAGTAGTGTTTTACTCTGAACGACTGCCAAAGGGAAAGGGCAAAGGGGCTGGGGGGGGCTACCTTGTCACGGATCGCCTTGGCGAGGTGTTCGAGGGTCCCTCAGGCAATACTCTGCTGCGTCCGGAGGAATGGGTGACACATGCGACTAGTGCGCAGTTCTTCGCGCCTGACGGACTTGTAGAAGGTCGGTATGTGCAGCAAGTGGATGGATCGCCTTAAGCATGAGTGATAGGGCCAGCAGGTCCCCAAAATTCTCGATGTTCTAAATTTCACGGGTATGAAGGTCATGGATTTCCTCAGCCTTGTGTCGTTCCAATTCTATGCGTCTCATGGTGATGAAAATAATGAAGAACATGAAGCCAAGCAGGATTATCCTGATCAAGATCAGGACAACAGAAGAACAAGAGCAAGAAGGTGAACCACTGAGATCAGTCACATGACTGAACAAGAACAACACGCGCGCACTCTCGTACGTTTTACATGTCTCAAATGAAACGGGTCGGGTTTACATTTTAAGGATTCACAAAGTGAGGCAACTTCTCAAGCCGTACAGATTTCGCGCCCATAAGCAACGGACCAGGCCGAGCCCACCCCGGTAGCTAGTTTGATTGATAACTAAGTGAATAGGCCAACGCCTAAACCACTGAGCCAACTGCGCAGTTGGCTTAGTGGTTTGGGCGTTGGCCTGTCCCCTTATCAATGGGCATAGAGATCAGCCTACCCGCACTGGGTGTATTATATAAGCCAACAACGCAAAGACCCGCGAGCGTCGTCTCATGATCAAGAAAAACCAGGCGAGGCCCTCGGACATTCTTACTCTGCCGCCTCTTGTGGGTTATCCTCGATCGTTCTCAGCAGCAGCCGCACCCCCATCATCGTCATCCAGCTGGGCCCCGTCGTCTCGCTGCTGATCAGCCGCCAGCTGGAGACGGGCCGTCGGCTAGGTCTTGAGTGTCATTGCTGGGGCTTGTGTCGATGGCAGCAGGAGTCCCCCCGGCCTTTTTCTTGCTTGCTTTCTTCTCTTGTTTTGCTTTCATCTTCTTGACCATTTGGCGCATGAGAGTACGGGCAGGAGGGCCGCGCTGTGCTTGGGGGGCTGTCTTCAGCAGTCGCCAACTGGGTCGCGCCTCCTCTTCCTCTTTCTGCAGCTTACGGACCGCAAGAGCTTCCCCCATCTCTGGAGGCTCGTCCCCTTCTTCTGAATCTGTGTCCCGGCCTCTGTTGCCTTGCTCCGCCAGTTTGTTCATGCTGGTCATAGCTGCAGGGCGCTCAATAAAATCGGGGCGATCACGCCAGGGCGCGCCTTCTTGTGTGTTTGTTTTCGCAGTCTTCCACTTCTTGCCTTCTTCTTTGCCTGCGAGCGTCGCAACAAACTGCGCAGACCTTGGCCGCGTTTTAAGTCTATTCCCCGTGGGGTCTTGCTTGCTTCGGACGGGTTCTGCGGTCTCTTCATTAATCGAAGCGAGAGGAGCTGCCCCCCGCAGCGCCGTAGCCATTTCGGGGCACTCTGTCTTGGCTTCTAACCAATAGATGCTTGCGCATGCTTTGTCGCCTTTGCGCTTCTTGCTAGTATCTATACTGCCTTGCCCTCTGCAGATTGGTCTTCCGCGTCGCGTGGTTCTTACTTTCCCGCCCTACATTCGGACAAGGTCATAACCCGCAGGGCCATCTAGTGCGTAGTATTGCCTGCTGCCCTCGGGGATTTCTCGGCGATGTCCTTGCTGAATGCATTCCAAGGCCGAGGCCTCGGCTGAAGCTCCTGCAGGCCGCTGGCTAATACCATCGGCGGGCACGTCTTCCGCCTGGTCGCGCCATTGAACCGCCACCATGTGAAACGGCCCAGAACGAGGGCGGCGCTCTTAAGTGACTACAGCGAGCAGACTGCTCCGCGATTATCTCACACACGTGACACCAGGAAGACGCTTTCTTTGGCGGATCAGCGTGGTCGGCGGGTGCGTGTCGAGAGGGAGACCACTGGGAGAGACCAGAAGAGAACGCTGCGCGGGAATGTTTTAGAGGAGTCGCAGGGCCCTTGCGTTGTGGTGTGTCTCTTCTGGTTCTTGCTGGTGGCGGGGCTGGCCGCTATTATAACTGGGGGTAGATTAGTAGCGCAGGGGTCAGCCCCTCACGCGGTTCCAGTACTGGGCGCTTTTTGAAAAACACCACCAGGCGGACGCGCACCCGACCAGAGTCTGGGGCAAAATCTGGCTAAGACAAGCGGCCGCGTGGGATCGCAGGGCGCGCGCTTGCCCTGAGCTGTTGCGGCCTTGCTTCGCTTCGGGTAGCTTTTCTGCTTTCCTCGTGACGTGTCGCTGATGCATTTGTGAGGGATTCGGCGGCGGTCTTTGTGTGTGGCTTTGTTCTTTGTCCTTAAACTCTGCAGAGGGTTCTCGGGTGTTGAATTCTGCGGCAGCGGACCAACAGAGACGACCGAGGAAGCGCCTGGGCTTTTTCGGTCGTTTTTTTCGATCGGTTCCGCTTCTCGTGGGGATTGCGCCTCATCTTTCGGCGCGTGTTGTTTGCGATCCTTGGGCTGTACGTGGACGATTTTTCGGGCATCGCACCAGCTCGCCTCGCGCAGGAGCTGCTCGATTGCTTCGCTCTGTTTTTGGATCAACTTGGCGCTCCGTATGCCAAGCGCAAAGTCAAGATTGGGCATGAGGTCGAGGCGCTCGGCTTGCTGTTTAACGTGTCCGGGCGGCCTTTTTATCAGGTTTCGCGTGATAGAGTCGCTCAGATTGTCAAGCTGATCGATTCCATCTTCGCAGAAGGCAAGCGGGAGCCCGCTGCCGCGCGCAAACTGCAAGGGAGAGCGTTCTTCGTCTTCACTTCCCTTGTCGACAGAGCGACGAATCCCGTGCTTCGTCCTCTCGTCAATCTTTCTGAAGAAGTGGGCGAGGCCTCCTGGCTCACGTTTAGGCCCAAACGCTGCCTATCAATCATTAAGTTCCTGGTCCAGCAGCCCATCCGGCGTTACGCCAAGTGCTGCGCGTCAGCGAACGTTGGCAACATCATTTACGCCGACGCGTTCTTCGCAGATGCGGAAGGCCGCCCATCGGGGGTCAAGGTAGTCATCAATGAAGATGGCACTTTCAAGCTCTTGCGGTTCACGTTTTCGCTAACTAAGTCAGAGCTACGTCCTTTATGACACAAAAAAGGCACTAGTCCTAGAAATTTGTAAATTTGATAGGTGCCACAACTAGGCGAGTGCCCTGAGTTGCGGCAAGCTAGTGGCGCCTTTCAAGGGGCCGCAGCTCTTTGGAATGCCTCGCGCGTTTTTGGCGCCTGATATCGGTGCCCGCGCTCCTGCCTTTCTGCGCCACTTGGTGGCACTGTGGCGCTCCCTGGAATACGCTGGCGGTGTCAAGCTGGTCACCCTGCTCGCGTGGGGGTTCGCTGCGATGCAGATAAGCGGCGACGGCGTGGCTTCGTTAGTTACGCCTTGCGTGCAAGGTTCTACTCATGACGACCCAACGCCTTGGTGAGGCCAGGGCTCGCCATGGCGCTGGCTGGACTGGGGTTCCGGCGTCGTCTGATGGGCTGCAAAAGGCGCCACTTCGTGGCACCTTTTGCAACCCATTAGAGCACTTCTTTTCTCGATCAAAAATATCCCGATTCTAGTGCGGCTTGTGGTGATCCTAAATTGTTAGAGCATTTTTTTCTAGTCTTGCTAGAAAAAAATGCCCATTTTTTTAGGCTCACGCGCATTAGAGTCTGGGGCTTTGCGGTGTCGAAGAAAAAAGCTCTAATGCGGTTGAAAGTGGCACCTTTTCGCGTCATTTTCAAACCCATTAGAGAGCTTCGCTCTTCCCCTTGAGAAATGTTAGAGCGTTTCAAGATAATGCCTAAGGTTCTGTCGCCTTTTAATGAGGCTAGGAAGTGGGCCAGCGATCTCCCAGGGGAAGCCTAGGGCCCGCAGCGGTCTGCTGGCCCCTGCTCTCCCGCGCCATTTCTGACGCTGGTGCTGCACTGAAAAGGCAGGCGGGCAGGTGACTCCTGCTCTTGCTGGGGGAAAGGCGCGGACAGGGTGAACGCTTGGCCGCCTTCCCCAGAGTGGCCATCGGTCGACCCCTCTAAAGAGCCACGCAGTTCCGCGATAGGGGCATACGCCATCGGTGCGGCGTCTACGTATTTTACAAAAAATTAGGACTAGTGCCTTTTTTATTTCATATCCTTGCACGGGCAGACAGCCCATTTTCTTTTTAGAGACGCTTGCGCCCTCGTTGGCAGTTAGAGTTTTCGCTGAACATGTTAGCAATTCACTCCGCCCACAACTTTGCGACTGATAACGAGGCTGCCGAATCTTGCTTGCTTAGTCAGAGTACTCAAAGAGCTCATATGTCTTCTGCAGCCTTTTTGTTTTGGTCGTCCTTGTCCTTATGCGAGGCAGTGCTTGGATCTCTCGCGTTCCCTCTGCTCTCAACGTTGCAGATATTTTCATTCGCCTAGACAAACTCGAACTTGCGCTCCGTTTATTCCTTGGCCTTTTCGAAAAAGTAAAATTATCTGATGAAGATGCCAGCTTTTGCAAAGGCGCCATGAAGTTAGGCCCCCACTTACTTTCCAGGCGCGTTGGTTCAGCTAGACAAATCTTTTTCCCAACCACATGAAGACAGTCACGACGATAAGAACGGCGACAGTCTGGCAGAGTGATTCGCTCAAGTAGAGGAGCAGTGTGTCTCAGTCGATCCACATAGTGCAATCCTTTTTCGTCGTCGCTTTTCTCTCCACGACTCGAAATTTCGTGTCGCATTGCTCCAGGGGTCCGGTATTGAGCTACAAATAGCGCTCTACAGACGCGTAGAACTCACTTTGTCATCTTTCGGGCCTTTTCTTGAGAGGTTCACTTGTCGGGCGCCCGTCTCCGCGGCGCGAGTTATCTCAATGCGTCAGGTTTGTAGTTCAATACGCAGACTCCAAAGGAATAAATCTGAGGAACTGGCGGCAAGTGCTGCCCTCGGCACCTGTGGCCTGTAGTGCGGACCTTTGGCAGATATGTGCCCGCCTTACCTCTGCGAGCCCCTGCGGCTCTTACTTGCTGAAGGCTGATCTTGGAGCCAGATGGCCGGGGGCTGTGAGCTCCTACCCAGATGCAACATCTCAAGCGCGCCGCCCTTCCTTTGCCGTGGTCTCTGGCAGCTGAATAGGCTGGGGGGGCGCCATCCCTCCGGGTGTTGCGACTGTCTCCGCGGGTGCTGTTCTTGCTCATCTTTCTCTTTCGCCGGCCATATCGCGGAAGGTGTGAAGACTTTAGCTGCCTACTGCTATGCATCGCAGGAAGAAGCGTTATCGTTGTCGTTTTTTTGATTTTTTCAGATTGATTGGGGTAGCAAATTCCAGGCACTGGCGGGACGCTGTGCGCGTGGACATAAGAACGGAGGGGCGCCAGCATTCGCCGCTCCCTCTTGGCGCGTCTGTGGGTGGGCTGCGCTTGCCATGACTCAGACAACAAACCAGCGGCGCCGCGCGCGCTGCTGTCCTGCTCTGGCTGCTGGGTGGTGCTGCGCTCTCCGGGAGGCGCTTCCAGCAGTGGCAGACGCGCATGCGTGTAGCTTGTTTCCTTGTCCCCTCGCGGATCTGGGGCCCGAGTGTCAGGGGATGGCCCGCAGCCTTGCTGCTTGCGGCCGCTCCGCCACCTCTGGCGCCCCACCTTCTCCGACCTCTAGCGACTCGGCGCCCCCTTCCTGCTGTGGCCGCTCTGGTCCTCTAGCCGGGTCGGAGGTGGTCCGCCACCCCAGTCCGCCGACCCCTCCAAACACTCGCCAGAAAAACGATAGCGAGCAAGCAGAAAAGACGCCCGCCCGTCATCCGCTTGCCCGTCGAGGTTCTGAAAATTTAGCGTGTGTCTTTGGGCTTCGGCGAGCAAGAGTGTCGGGCGCTAGAAGCGTCATCGCCTATCTGTCGGGCGCCAGAAGTCTTATCAAATGGGGCCCCTGAAAACAAGGACCCCCCTCGAACACCCCCTCCAACTAACCCCTTCAGCCGCTCGCGCGTCTGCGGCTCTCGGTCGGCTCCTCGCCTCCTTGGATCTTGAGCGAAGTGGCGTCGCGGCTTCCCCTCGATCGGCTTGGCGTTTCATATTGCTTGCCCCCAGGAATCACCCCAATGATTGCCAGCGGGGCGGCTTTCCGAGTGCGCCGAGCTTGGTGCCCACGATGGGCTACTTTTGCGGATAATTTTGCAGGGCCAGGCCACGCCATTGCCCCACGGGCGTGCGTAAGCGGAGGCCGCGGCCTCTGAGCTTAGCGGCACCATCATGCCCGGCCATGATTGAAGGGCCGCGTCAGGTCAACGGGAGGAGGAGCGCAGCGTCTGCTGCGGCACCTCGTGGAGGGAGGGCCGGCCTGCCCGTCGCAAGGTGGAAAGCCCCGGGATCGCAGTGCCCCGCGTCGTGCTTTTATCAAAAATTAAAAAAAACGATAATGATAACGCTTGTGCTCGCAATACTATGCGAAAGCATTTGACAAACAGCAGGCGAGAAGCCTAGCAGTAGAACACTTGCAACGTCCACCGACTGAGATACCGGCCAGCTGACTACGCCACTAAAATGAACAGACTGAAGACGCCACCACATCACGCACGCAACTCGGGGAGATTACTCGGGTCATTATTACCAGCGTGCGGGCGAGGCGGATGACATGGCTGCCTCTAGGGTATGGATGAAGGTGGTGGCTACGCCTGGGCTGCTGCTGCTGATGATGATGATGAGGATGATGACGATGAGAACGGGCAGGGGGCTCGGGGCTTTGGGGGCTTTCACGGTTCTGGTGGAACGTTGTGGGGATCTCTATGCATGGGAGGAGCGAGGAACGAGGCCGGGCGAGTTGATTGAAATCAGAACCATGGACGAGGATCGAACTGGACCGGGGTCCTCGTGCTGACTCGTCACGGAGTGGCGACCGTTCTGGGCTTGTGCTTACTTACACCCACACAGGCACACACAAGGACGCCTGCGCCTGACAGCTCAAGCGTGGCCGCTACTTGTCAGCTGCTTGCGCCTCGCTTTGGTGATGGATTTGCCAGCCGCTGCGGGGTTCGATTCGTTTCGGCTTCGGCTTGTGCATGGATTCACACGCGCCAGCGATCGACACGAAAGAAGCGGAAAGACATAACGCCGCTGGCCAAGACTCGCAGGCCCACTCTGGCAGGGGTCTCATGGCAGCGGAGCACGCTTGCGCCCGTGCGTGGAACTGAGCCGTGCCAAGGACAAACCCCAAGAACACCCCAGGCACTGACTGCAAACACATGACACCCCCACACCTGTGGCAGCGCATGGCAACGCTGCCAGCTTTATCAAAAGCCAACTTTTGAAAACGCGCCCCCCGTGTATCTTGCCAGTCCCCAAAAAGCAAAAGGCTGGCGACGGCCCTGCGCGTGATTTCGAAAGTGGAGCCTCAGAGGCCAGGTGGGCCCAGCCTCTGAAAGTATTAGGGAGGTCGTTCGCCTATGGAGTCGCTTCTGCGCTTCCCACTCGGTTGGCCTTAAGCCTGGGGGCCTGTGGCAGTTGTGTCGTGTTGTGGCCTAGGTTGTGGGAGATGTGTCCCCCCTTGAGCTGTGGGGGTTTGTTGCGTTTTAGGTTGTCGAAGTTGTGTGCTAATTTATACGAAGCAGCCGCGTGGAAAGGTCGCAGCTTATTCTTTGGCGGTTCGAATTTGAACGCCATGAGACTCCGGAGAATCGCGCGGGCTTTATGATGTCCAAACTTGAACGGCCTGCGGGTGGAGCTGGGCCTTTTCGTATGCTTTCTGTCTGTGCACAGCTCGCCGCCTCTACCTCCCCCACAACTCGCCGCGGCTCCTGCAATTAGCTCCCCCAAACCAGGGCACAGCTGCTACAACTTTCCACAGCTTAAAAGTAATAAAGTGCAGTCTGTGCATAGGCGTAGAGGGCTTGGCTTTTTCTAATGTTTATAGTAGAACGAACGGGCGGAGCTTGAGGACGATCGCCAGACACAGAGGAAGCGGCGCCTGGCACTCTTCGGGGGTCAGCGTTCTGCCGCTGTTTTTCATCGGTCAGCACTCAGCTGGCGGCAGCGCTTCACCTTTGACCGCGAAACACTTCCCAGGGGCTGCGCCAGTGTGCTCCCGGGGTTTTTTCTTTTTCAAGCCAGTGCTTGGCTTTGTTTTTGCTCTTATTTGATACGGTCAGAAGATCCCCAAAACTCTTGATGCTCTAAAAGTTCATGAGTATGAAGGCCGTGAATTTCTTCAGTCTTATGCTGTTCCAATTCTATGCGCCTCATGCATGGCGATGAAAATAGTGAAGAACATGAAAACCAGCAGGATGATCCAGATCAAGACCAGGACAACAGAAGAACAAGAGCAAGAAGGTGAACCACTGAGACCAGTCACATGATTGAACAAGAACAACACGCGCGCGCTTTCGTACGTTTTACATGTTTCAAATGAAACAGGTCGGGGCTACATTTTCAGGACTCACAAAGTCAAGCGAGGCAGTTTGTCAAGCCGTACAGGTTCCGCGTTCAAACGCAGCGGACTACTGAGCTACGAGCCCCTATATGCCTCAAGTATTTAGCTACTTACAAACAGGGCCCAAAAGTTTTTTGCTTGTTTTTTTCGTCTTCAGTTTTTTTTTGGTAGTCCGATTTCAAGTCGGCTCTTGGAAGTTCTCCGGGGGCGGGTAAGCAGACCTTCTGGCAGCGAGAACCTTCACAGAGCAAAAAGGTTGCCCGACTGATCTCTTAGTGGCGGAGGCTGAGGGCAAAGCTGGGGGCATGTCGATGCCGGAGAAAGTGCTGGAGCGGTGGGGGGGAATGGACTGGCTGAAAGGGTGCCCCACGGCAACCTTGGCGGCGATTCTGTAAAACCGTAAAGGTGAAGAGAGGCCGAGGGCCCGGCTTGTCGTTCTTGTTGGCTGATGGGATCCGTATGGCCAGCAAGAGCCACACAGCCCAGCGCCCCCGCAGGTTGGTAGTCGGCTAGTCTTCACTGGGGAAGCGCGTAGAACAGAGGGCGGGGCCGTATCTTTTACGGTGTCGGGGGTGCGTCTCTTCGTGGCTCTACCTAGAGACCGCGCGGCCCTCCTCTCTTCTGGGGCAGTGGCGTGAAGCTGAAGGACTGGACGGCCATGACGCTGGGAGTGACAGCGGGCGCCTCATGGATTTCCGGCGCCGCCCCGCTTATGGCAGACACAGCACGCCAAAGACCTCCAAGAGAGATGGGACGCGGGGGCGGGGCGGGCTTGCTCAGTCTTGGCGCCTGGCGTGGGCTCTGCGGGGCCTTCCTTCTGGCGACCTCATTGCGGTGGCGTGCGTGTTTGCGGATGGTCCCATCTTAGCCGCGAAGCAAGGGCGGGGGGGCTTTCGGGTGACTTGGCTGAGAGGCTACGCGCCTCTATTTCTCCGCGCTCCCAGGTACCTACTAGACTAAGGCGCCACGGCAAGCGACTGACCAGGATGGCGCTTGGCTTCGCTTCGACATGATTGGGGCAGACGTTCACTACAGTGCCCAAAAAAATTCGGCGGGGATCACGGTGGCGACCTGGTGCCTAAGCTTGCTAAGAAGTAGATGCCTAAGGGCACCAGCGTGCGTGACCAAACCGTGGCGCGGGAGGCAGAAGCCGAGGCCCCCAAGAAAGGCGCGGGGACTCGGGGACTGCAGCTGCTTGCTTTCTCTTGCTCTTGGTGGGGCACTTCTTGGCTAGGATTCGCCCCAAATTGAGCGCAATACCTGACAGGCAGCTGGCTCCTTGCTTTACAGTGGACAACTACGGCGGGGCTGGGCTTGGCTTCACTCGTGTGGGGAATTCCTTGGCGTGTGCGGGAAATCGTCCGCCAACTAAAGCAATCGCCGCGGCGTGTAGACGTGTGCTATGATCGTGGGTGGCTCTTTGGGTGGGGGGGTTTCGTCATTGTAGTCCCTGGCAAGGACAGGAGCCCAGGAGCCTCTCCAGGGGCCTCCGTCGTCATCTTGCGAGTGCTCAGGCTTTCAGCGAGATGACTGAATAGGTGAAGGGGCTCGCGCTGCAGTGTTCTCATGGCATCCCATCGACCCAGAGCTTTGGCGACGAAGCCACAAGCCGCGAGGCTACGCCGTTAGGCCCCAGAGTCGAATAGGCTTCGGGATTGGTGGCGCATGGCTACGCTGTGGGCGTCCAGTGTTGTGGAAATATGTGGCCCAGGCGGTGTGAGGTGGCTCTGCATGCGAAGCGGAGACTAGTAGTTTGCCGACCCTTCCTCGCAAGGTCTCGGCGCTCTCTTCGGGGTGGTGCATGCGGTTCGGCGCTTTTTTGGAGGTGAAGGAACTGGAGACCCGATGCCGGAGATTGGAGGAGGCGACAAAGCTAGAGAACTCCTGCTCTGACTGTGATGGCTGTGGCGATGATTAGGGCCAAGCGAATGCCCTCAGGCTCAGCGACGTACCGAAAAAAAGTAGGCGCATAGATTGAGGGCTGCGTGATATCTATGCAAATACGTGGCGACGGGCAGCGCTTTTGCTAACTTATGCCGTCATAGGCTTGCGGAGGGGTGGCGATTCGGCTAAAAGTTCGACTTCGGCCAGTGGCTTGCTATACAAAGGCGCCGCGCATAGTCAAAGCATACCATGAGGCGAGGGGCTAGCTTATCTAGGTGGTGTCTTCTGGCTTAGTTATGGGGCTCCATACTGGGAACAGGAGGGCACGTTCTACACCGTCAAAGCCATCCAAATCGGAAGGCTTAGCTCCCAACTGAGTCGAACACCTTCAAAAACGGCGACCGCGCTTGCGTGTTATCGTCTTCCAGCATGAACGCCGTTACATGCTGACTCTGTTGAGCGTCGTGAACTTTTTTGGCTTCTCAAGTTTTGGCAGTAAGAAAAGGACACAAAAGCACACAGCACAGCACGGCAGAGGACACGTCTCAGGATATCGGTAAAGCTTAAAGGCCTACTTACAATCATGGGGCCAGTGCTGACAATTGAAGGGGTGAAGAATGAGAAAGGCGGACCGCTACCAATACCAAAAGGAAAGCCGCCGCGTGTAAAACTAAAAGAAACTGGCTAAGTTTGCTCGCTCGGCATCTTCGCTCAAAGCTTAGAGCAGAGTCCTAGCTATTGGGGGGTTGTTCCGCTTCTCTCTCTTCTTCTTCGGTCGCTTCCTTTGTTTGGTGGACTGGAGGGCGTTGCAGCTAGCTGGTACTGGTTGCGCGTCGTTCTGTTTGCGTTTGAAGGGTGAGCGTCGGCCCCCAAGCAAACTCTGCGGCATCTAATCTTAAGCACGGGACGGGCATAGAGATCATCTTGCCAGCATTATCATTAAGATTAAAACCAACGAACAGCGTCAAGACTCGCGGGTGTCATTCATGGCCAAGGAAACAAACAACAGGGGCAAGAGGATCAACATGACAGCAGCAGCAAGACCAGCAGCACCATCACCACCACCATCATCGCCATCATTATCATCACCATCCTCGAGATCAGAGTCGTAGGGCCCTTAGGGCTTTTCTTGTGTGAAGCAGATGGCTACTCAGATGATGGAAGTAGATGGCCGCAATCTGGTTAGCCTAGCTCTAGCTGGGTGAGGGGCTTTACGCTTGAGGGATCGCATTTCACTCCACGAAAATGAAAACAACAAAAACCAGCTACCTTGTCTGCCCATTCTTACGCGCTCTGTGCTTGTGCAGATCAACACTAGTCACAGGACAGGGGTGGCATCGCGCTGGATGGCGAAGAACGTCAGGCCACCCCGAGCCGGGCCACTGCGCTGCCCTCCGTCTTTATCTAATTTTTTCGCAAGTGGATTCGCCGCAGGCTTTTTTATGACGGCACTACGGATCAGATTTTGGCGATACTTGTGTTTCATCCTCTTGGACTTGGTGCTGCTGCTGCTGCTGCTGGTGGTGATCGTGCTTGCCCTGACGACGCCATCAAGATGAATTCCTTAAAATGGAAAGACTGCGTTCGCAAACGTATTGAAGAGCGCGTGAAGATGAGAGAAACGAAGAGGGAAAATCTCATGAATCCCAATAACGGCGCTCAGCTGCAGGAGGACAAGTATAAGTACCAGGGGTACCTTGTTGATGATTTTAACACTTTTAGCCAGGAGTTCCTGGAGAACGTCTTCTTTTCCTTGGTGCTGAACGGGGTCGTTGAGCTCGGTGACAGGTCCTGGACCAATCACTGGGTCATCGGGGCATTCCATACAGGTTCTCAACCTTGACAATGATGAGGAGGCAGAGCAGAGACTTCTAACACTACGACGAGCACTACCTGGTACTACTTCTTCTAGCGCCACTAAATATTATTACGAGGAGGATGGCCCTCTTCTACTTTTTCAAGAAGTAAGAACTTACTGGTCAAGAACGTCTTCTGCTTCTTCTAGCATCATCGAAGATGAGGAGCGTCTTCTTATATTTTTTTAACAACTGCTAGCTGAGGTGGAACGTCTCCCACTCCTTCTAGCACCACCGGGGATGAGCGTCTTTTGTGTCTTTTAGCATCATCGAAGAGGAACACGACCTTCCACATCTGCCCCTACTCAGATGGTGAATAGCCTTCTACTACTTCTCACGATGCTCCTGAAAAAATGAACTTCTGGCAGTGTTGTCACGTCGCTGCTGCGCATCTTCTTTTTCGAGTACTACTAAAGACCACGAGGAAAGTTTTCGACTTCTGCCACTGCCGAAGGCGAAGAGCATCTTCTGGCACTTCTTCTAGCACTACTGAAAACGGGAGCGCAGTGGCGCGCCCTCTTCTTATAAATATAATTTTTCAAGAACTGCTAGCTGTTGTTGTAGAACGTTTTCTGCTTCCTCTAGCAGCACGGAAGATGGGGAGCGTCTTCTGATACTTTTTCAAGAACTGTACTGCTACCCGATGTGGAACATCTTCTGCGTCTTCTAGAACCACCGAAGAGGAGTAATCTTGTTCTACTGCTTCTCACGATGCTCCTGAAAAAGTGAACTTCTGGTAGTGTTGTCACGTCGCTGCTGCACATCTTCTTCTTCTAGTACTACTCAAGTCCATGAGGAAAGTTTTCGACTTCTGCCACTGCCGAAGGCGAAGAGCATCTTCTGGCGCTTCTTCTAGTACTACTGAAGACGGGAGCGCAGCGACAGCGTCCTCTTCTCATCGATACAATTTTTCAAGAACTGCTAGCTGTTGTTGCGGAACATTTTCTGCTTCCTCTAGCAGCACGGAAGATGGGGAGCGTCTTCTGATACTTTTTCAAGAACTGTACTGCTACCCGATGTGGAACATCTTCTGCGTCTTCTAGAACCACCGAAGAGGAGTAATCTTGTTCTACTGCTTCTCACGATGCTCCTGAAAAAGTGAACTTCTGGTAGTGTTGTCACGTCGCTGCTGCACATCTTCTTCTTCTAGTACTACTCAAGTCCATGAGGAAAGTTTTCGACTTCTGCCACTGCCGAAGGCGAAGAGCATCTTCTGGCGCTTCTTCTAGTACTACTGAAGACGGGAGCGCAGCGACAGCGTCCTCTTCTCATCGATACAATTTTTCAAGAACTGCTAGCTGTTGTTGCGGAACATTTTCTGCTTCCTCTAGCAGCACGGAAGATGGGGAGCGTCTTCTGATACTTTTTCAAGAACTGTACTGCTACCCGATGTGGAACATCTTCTGCGTCTTCTAGAACCACCGAAGAGGAGTAATCTTGTTCTACTGCTTCTCACGATGCTCCTGAAAAAGTGAACTTCTGGTAGTGTTGTCACGTCGCTGCTGCGCATCTTCTTCTTCTAGTACTACTCAAGTCCATGAGGAAAGTTTTCGAACTTCTTCTAGCACTACTGAAGACGGGACCGCAGCGGCAGCGTCTTCTTCTTATATATTTATAAATATAATTTTTCAAGAACTGCTAGCTGTTGTTGCGGAACATTTTCTGCTTCCTCTAGCAGCACGGAAGATGGGGAGCGTCTTCTGATACTTTTTCAAGAACTGCACTGCTACCCGATGTGGAACCTCTTCTGCGTCTTCTAAAATCGATGCTCCCAAAAAAGATGAACAGAGACAGCATTGCAACCTTGGCGAAGACCTGTGAGGAAGAGCCGGCTTGTTGAAGCCTTATCCTTCCACCGTTACTTTCAAGAAGAAGCCTCGACGACAACTCATTTGTCTCCCATCTCCACCTACCATCTCACCTCAACAAACATTCTAGCCTCTCCTGCTACCTCCATGGTGATTCAGCGAACATTCGAATGCAGCAACATCCCATCATGATCATCTTCAGGTTGACTAAACATCAACTACATTTTGATGTCTGTTAAAGATGAAAATAGCAAGATCTTCTTCATATCTTCTAGGCCTGTGTTTGAAAGTATCGAGACTCAGTATCTCGTGGTAGGAGTTCATCTACAACAAGATAATGATGAATGTGGTCAACAATGCTGTTGTTCTACGGAAACGCTATATCGGGTTTTGTGAAAGAGACAGAAAAGTACTAGACGATCTCGATCTCTCTAGTCTGCAGAGTGGACGTGAAAGCGGAAACAGGAAGATCTATCGTCTAAAGGGAGAGTGGAGAACAATAAGAGAGAGACGATTGGAATATTTGTGGAGAGTACTTCTATGTCTAAGGTCGTAAGGTGTGGAGAGTACTTCTATTTTTAAGCAAGGAGAAGAAGGAGCAGAAACTAACTTGTACTAGCTTATTGATTCAATCAAGTTGGTTGTAAGACTTGTACTAGCTTATTCAATCAGGTAAGCAACTAGTACTTTTTAAGCATGGAAACGCGAGCAGGGTATTGAGAGGCCTGGATGAAAGAGGAGAACTACGAAAGAGCTTTCTTAAGTTGTATTCGAGGAGCTAAGGATTCTAATCAGATTTGAAATGACCTGCTTATTTTTATCAATTTTTACTACGTCATCTGTCAATGTCGTTGCCTTTCTTTGCGACAAGTTGTACAAGATCATCAGTAACAACCTCATCAAACCGATGACTACCTGAGTCTTCTTCATCGAGAACGCGACAGTAGCGTCTACGACCTGACGACTTTCCGTGTCCACGTTGTTGCGGTAGCCATGACGACAACGAGAGCAGCGGTCTTGTCAAAAAAATGAGGCTTGAGGAGACTGAGTCGAAATTACTCCGGGACTACGAAATTACAGAGTCGTGGTCGAGGCATTAGGCAATGATGTCAAAACTAGTGCAGAGTCGTGGAGCTGGAGTGCAGTCATTCTAGTGGTCGTGGAGTGCAGTCACTCTAATATTGTAATAAAGTCGTCCACTACTACTAGAACCTGACGAACAATGGGTCGCAAAAATAGCCAACTTCTTCTAATCTTGTAATTTACCTCTAAATGGCATTTGAGCGGCAGCGGGTAGGCAGCTGTGCACTTCAGCAGCTGTGCACTTCAGCAGCTGTGCACTTATTCTCTCTGCAACTAATCCTACTACTGGGTCCCGGCACTCCAGCAAGTGAGCAGGAGGCACAACGCGACTCCTAATACTTTGTAAATGCACTAGCAGCTAGTGGGACTGACTGCTATAACTCCCCGCTTTGTAAATACACCAGCAAGTGAGCAGGAGGTACAACAGGGAAAGAACGTCCTGACAAGGCTTGATGGTTCGGACAAGGCATGGTAACACGGCATGGTTCAAAACGAAAATTACGGCATCAATCGTAGTCTGAGAATAAAAGTAGTCAACATCTTCCCTAGAGAAAAGAGGGGATCGGGACAATTCACGATGTTAATAGCAAGATTGTTGTAAGTATAAGACTTCACTCGTCCTCTAAGAAATGGTAGTGATGCGATGGGTTCGCGACGCTATATTTTGGGGGTACGAAAATTCGTCAGACCGTATACAGAAACGTATGCGAGAAGACTGGCCAGCCTTAGACAGCGCTTTGTTGAGTGCTAGGAAAGATGAAATATTAAGGCTCACAAGAATCATATCTAATATTGATCCACCAACAAAGTTTGAGCCATCTGCTCCCCAGGTCATCTACATGATGATGATTTTCTGTGGTCATTCTTATTCTCTAAGAAAAAACGTAATCCAGCAGCAGAACGACCTTGACCTTGTTTCTGAGGAGAATAAAACAAGTACAGGCAGCACTGGAGGAGAGAAGGAGCGGGATGCCGGTCGTGGGCTGTTACAACAAGAGGAAAAGAATGCTGGGCGCGAGCGTCTACAACAAGAGCAGGTTGGAAAATTGACTACGAGCTTGGCGGATTTGTGTGACGGACGGGCTCTGATTGCTTTGGTACTATTTCCGCACTGTTGTACTTGATGCCGTGCCTACTGTTGATGTACTTACTGTGTTTCTTCTTGTTGTTTTCAATGGAGTTGGCGTTAGTTTTTACAACTAGTAGTTAGGGTTGGAGTTCGTGGAGTTGGAGTTAGTTGTAAGTTGTACAAATGCATACTGCTCTCTGTCTTTTCCATGTTTGTCTGTCACGTGCTAGTCGTATCCGAAAATTTTTCGAAGTTTGCTCATCTTCATACTACTTGATAGATTGTTGACATAGACACTGTAGTTACCGTTCACGCAGGAGTTTTGATGTAGTTGCAGTATGTGTTTTCATTTAGCAGGACGCTCTACAGCCTCTATTTATCAACCGTCTCGACAACCTACAACCTCTATGATAGTATCAAAGCATTACCATTAGGTCCAACAGGAAGTATCAGATTCCAATAGTACGACGTAAATCCGATCAAATCCGATCTCCAGATTCAATGCATCGATGTCCGACTATGCAAGCGTGGTAGTGCAGTAGCGGTTGGTCGCGTCGCACAGTTTACGACAGCTTGTCTTATGGTTCACCACTGCTTGTCTTATGATATGATATGCGCAGTCACAGTCTACTAGTACAGCTTGTAGTTTTATACACAGTTCTTGACCACTGCTTGTCTGATGGGTAGAAGTTTTGAGTCATCTTCTCTAATGTTCGAGACTTAGGCCTTACAGACGCGCAGATTTTTTCGAGTCCAGATTTGGTGCCGGAGGTAAGAAATGGCACCCAAGTGCTAAAGACGCTACAAAGTTTGTCCGAATGCCTAGATCATAGATGGAATGGGCCAAGGATTGGTAGTGATGATTTTTACTGTAGCAGTAGTAGAGTGATGATTTTTACTGTAGCAGTACTAGCCGTAGTCGTAGCCGGAGTCGTAGTCGTAGTAGTTGCCGTAGCAGTAGTAGTAGTAGGATATGCGACAGACTCAGACTGCCACTGCCTGAGCTGAGTCCTGAGTCAACATCTAAATAATTTCTATTTTCCACAATTGACACAAAGGCAAACTGATACATATCTTCATCGCAGATTCCGAATTCCGTCAATCTTTCCGGTCTAGGACGAGTCCGACAAAACATGAATCTGACGACGAGAGCATACCTTCATTAAGGCAGGTAAGTATTGTATTGTGTTGTATTGTACTGTATCCATTGGGTTGATTGTATTTCCATTGCATGTCCTCAACATCAACATTCAATAACAATACAATCAACCCAATACAGTACAATACAAGACAATACTCAATACAATTTTTTTCAACAAGTCTCTCACAAAGATGAACTGCGTAGAGTGCCCTGGAGTGGCTCTTTTTCTACAGTTGGAAAAGAAGCCCCGCCGTCCTCCAAGGGTAATAGTATTATAGGAGCTTCTAATTCCTGACCCTGAGGATCGAGACACGAAGCGAAGCTCTATGCACTTCAGAGGTCGAGACAGCAACCGGAGAAGAAAACGGACTACAGCAGTTGTCAGTAGTTTTAAGGGAAGAAGTTGCACAGCGAGCTGTGAGTTTGAGTCTGTACAACTGTTGTAGTTTTGTCCTGCACTTATACAACGTAAGTACCTCTTCATGCATTTGCATCACTTTCTTACTTTGCTCCCAACAATTAAAACTTCTCCGCGTACTAAAGGTAAGGGAAGAGGCGGACAGGACACGGATGTCCAAAAAAGAAGATGATTTCCACCTTTGTGAAGTGAACAAGGTCAGAGTGATAAACTGATAGGTCGTCGTCAATCTGACTACGTCACATGAAGGGAACGACTGAAGGTGATTCTAATTGTTCGTCGTTTTCCATCTAACTAAGTGAAATGAGGAAGGTCAGAGTAATTTACTTAAACTGAAGATAGGCTGTAGTCGTCCTCGTCTAACATTTCGTCGTCCGAGCCAGAAGATGATGGAGACGATTTTCGATCCTTGTCGCCCAAAGCGGAAGGGACTAGTTCTCCCAGAGCACAACCCAGCGGACCTACGAGAGCGCAGCCTACTGTTAAGGGTTGGAAGCATGTGATCTATCGCTCTCTAGGAGCATATGATCTATGAACAAGTTTTCAAGTCGGAGCATATGATCTATGATCTATAATGAGCTCCCTTTCAAGTGGTAAGAAAGAGATAGATATGCGACCTAGATGTAGATCGGTCAAGAACTTTCGACCCCTAATGCTGGACCAAGTCCGATATCCAGTGCTCTCGTTTCGTCCAGTTGTACGTCCTCGAGTTCTTCTATCGCAGCAAGCTTGCAGAGTGTTCCTTCGTCTTTTTCACAGCAACGGCCTTCCAGGAGAGGAAAGACCATTATGGATGAATGGTGATTTCTCTGAAGAAGTAAAAACTTACCTATTATAGCTATACTTCTTCTTTGTTCTAGAAGAGAGACACAGATAGTTACTACCAGGAGCAGGACCACGAGGACACTATAAATATTCATACTGTACTTAGGATTATTGTGATTTCAACTGAACTGTTTTGGAATTATCTCGTCTCCTTGTTACCCACTTATTTAGTATTGTATTACACCGTTTTGGAACTATCTCGTCTCACCCGTACTAATACTATTGTATGACCACTAGAGACGAGCGTTGATGATGCGTTACGCCTTGCTGGCAGTATTATGCTATAAGAGGGCTATCTTTGTCTGAGACGCCACGGCGATGATGCGCCAATAGAAACCATATTTTCATCGGAGTACACCTGTTCCTGATCGAAATGAGATTTTAACGCTCTTTTTCCTTATCGGATCCATCGTCAATATTCGTATTCCATACCTTTAACTACGTACTGGTGCAACTGCCTATAAAGGTTATATGAAGGATGAGCTAAAACTTTAGGCCGCTTTTTGCCTGAACAAACTGAAAATAACCGAGATACTGACTGAAATAAGGGAGGCAGCTTTGACAGGGCTACTCTTCCTTGTTCAGTATCTCGCTTATTCTAAGTAGTTACTCGCTTATTTCAGTTTTTCGAATAAATGGAATTGAAATCTCAACCTCAATGATCATCGGTTAGGATGTGTTCTCTAAGTTTAGACGGGAGATTGGTAATGTGCAGAAGGTTTTCCGCCAAACCAAGGAGCAAATGGCAAAACAGCTAGCACAAATTCATGCAGAGCAAAAGCACGATGAAGAGGGTTATGATGAAACAAGGTATCTCTAGTATAGGTAATGGTTATTCGTCAGGGAAATCTTAGGCAGATTGCCGAGTAGATTCGAGTCATCAGTATAGGTAATGGGTATGATAGAAGAACTACAAGGCAATTTAGTGATACTACTAGAACAGGTGGATCAACAGGATGGGTACGATCTACATGAAGATCTAACAAGGTAATTGAAATTATTCAAGATGAACAGGATGCGGATGGTGAAAACTAAACAACGGGGCTACCAGGATAAGACATAAATGAACGATCCATATCATGCATATGGTGACTATAGTACATGCTGACGAAATCGAAACAGTTTCGACGAAACTTTATTTTTACTGAGAAACTTTATTACTGAGAAACTTTATTAAGATCATAATACTCTACGTTCTCAGAGAATTCCTGCTCAGCGAACTTCAGCACTTATCAGATTGTGAGAACATTCCGACTCTGTTTTAGAGAGTTCTAACAAAAAGAGCCCACCGAAGTAGACCGGGTCTCCTCTGCTGCTGTCCCCAATACGCATACCACGAAGGGGGCAGACTTCAGTGAGGAAGTGCTGCAGTATTCTTGCGAAGATTAAGACTTGCCGTAATTCATCTTCCAAGGCATCTCTGCTGACACGCTTCCAAGGCATCTCTACTGAAACTACTTAGCGGTGAAGGATGGCTTCCAAGATGAATTTACGTAAGCTCGAAGAAGAGGAGTACGAGGATGCAGAAGAAGGCGCCGACGTGGCGGCAATACTCGGGAAATGGGAGAGTGGTGGATCAGGATCGAAGCCGCATTCCAAGACTTCTAAGACCAGCAAGACCTCTAAGACCAGCAAGACTTCTAACAAAGATAATGAACTTGCTCAGCAGGTGCAGGACCGAGATGAACGTCAGTATCAGCAAGTAGACGACAATGACGCTGAAGGGGATGATGTCGAAGGAGCGGCGACTGGGTTGGAAGAGGAGGAGCAAGAGGTGCTGCTAGGCGGTGAACAAACTAGTGCGCCTCTGGCGAAAGATATCCAAGAAGATTTGCAACAAGCGAGAAGCAAAGCACAGGGATCCAAGGCGACGTCGGTGCCAGCATCAAATGGATTTGAAAAGCCATCTTCTGAAGAACAAGAGGACCATCTGCGTCCACCTACCTCGTCTACAGCATCATCTCAAGAGCCAGATGAGTCGTCAATAAACGTGAGACTTACAACTACAACAGCCCACACGAAGATCCAGGAAGTTGACCAGCAAGGAACAGAGGCTTCTCCCTCACCTTACAAAATGAAAATCAACCTTACAACCCACGAAGTTGAGCAAAAAGTTGACCAAACTCAAGCAGAGCCTTCTCCAGTTGATGAGACGCCTCCTGGAGTTGTATCTTTCAATATGGCGAGACCAAGACTCCCTACGATGGATGACACCTACTTTGGAGCTGTCGAGGACGCTGCGGCAACATCACCTGGACTTGCGGCAACAAGTGCAAACGGTGTTGATGTTATAGAAGCCCAAGATAGAAATCTTAATCTTACGGGCAAGTAGGTTTTTAGGTCTTTCTGTTGCCGCTTGTTACTAAATATGGCTCTTTTATAAGGGAAACGACCATAATAAAGGGGGAGCACAAGAAACACCAAAAGCCTACTTCTAATGATCGAGCAGATATCTCACCTGCAAGAATAGGAGCAGCTGAGAGAGGTGGTCGTGGTGAACCTCAAGCTGGTGAAGGTGAAGAGGATATAAAGCAAGGCCACTACACTGCTGATCTTTACAGTCCTTGCGTCGAAAGAGTTCTCGGGTTAGTAGGTGAAGATCTTTCTCCCAGTCCCACGCTAGTATCGCCCAAACGACGTCGCAGTAGGAGGGAAGAAAGACTAGGACTTGAAGATGCTCCTTTAGAAGGTGTAGGTGGACAAGCACAAGGAGAAGGACTCGATGAGGTAGATGGTCGTCCTGGAGCTTGTTCTTCAGTCGCATCCTCGTGTCCTCAGAGTCCGACTACACAAGTAGTTGCGCGTGAGATGAAAAAGATTATGGCAGGGATCTTTGATCAAGTGCATCAGGCGACGAGATCGCCGTCACCAGCACTAGCGACGGAGTCGTATTCTCCAGAAGGTGGAAATAAAAACGACCGTAGTATAACCAAGGTAGACGACCACAACGTTGATAAGGCGTTCTTACAGCGGCCATCGCATGCTGCGTCGTCTCCTGCTGCGCAAGAAGTCGAAAACCTCATGCGTGAACTATTTGATACAGCGGGAAAGCAGGCTGTTGTCCACTCTATTTACGGGAACTGCCACCCCATCTGTTGCAACATCTTTTGATGGCCGTTTTCTCCTTGAAAAGAGCCAAAAGAAGTTCAAAGAGATGGGCTCGCTGTGCCTCTAATCTATGGTCGGCAATCTGTTTGCGGGAGTTGCTGAAAGAGCTGGAGTTGCGGCAAATGCTGGAAACAACACACAAAAGGGCACTGCTCGTGCCACAACTAGTCCCTTAGTACGGCGTATTCTTTCACCGGATGCAACTAAGAATGCTGGAGCGCGTAGTCCATCACTGATCACAAGCGCTGTAGAGGATGAAGAAAAGGTCTCGGACGAGAAGACTGGGATGCTGGACGAGCCGACCATGAAGCAAGATCTTTTACTAGGACATCCAGATGATGAACGAGAACAGGAGCAGCAGAAAGAAGATCTACAAGGTGTAAGGGAACAACAGCAGCAGAGTGTTAGTGAACCTTCTTCAGCAACTCTTTTTGATGTGAATTCTTCATCAGGAGGCATAGTGGAGCAACACCAACAAGAAGCAGGTAAAGAAAATGGCGCACCTCTGGGGGAAACTAGAAGTACAACAGGTGAACTCCGAAATGAGAAAGAAGAGACAACAGCATCGGCAAACCAGGAAGCAACTACGGCAGGTGAAGTCCGAATCAAGGACGTGGAAGAGTCAATTAATATAGTTGAACCTCTTGCACTTGATCCTAGAACAAAGGAAAGCACCACAAAAGAGGATGAAGACCCAGACGACCACATCATGATTACAAATCCAATGTTGACCGACAACATCCTTGATGGGGTGAATCTAGATCTTGATGGTGGACAAGGACAAGGTAGTAATGGAGGTGCTGCTCCTAGAACACATGAAGCATCACATTCAGAAGCACAAGAACTGTCCTCGTCAGGAATACCAGTAATACAAGAACCTGTTGTAGGTCCAGGCTCACCTACTGCAACTTCAACTTCTTCACCATCCAAAAATCCCTTCGCCTTGCCTGCGGATATTAAGATACCTGGAGACACGGTTTCCGCGGATCTAGCCTTTCTAGACGAAACGGGAGACAGAAACACCAAAAACGTTGTACCAATCAAGGCGTACCTCCCGGACAAGGATATGAAGGTGTCCGCAGATCAGGTGTCTGCGAATAAGGTGTCCGCGGATAAGGTACCTGCAGACCACAAGGTTTCCGCGGATCTAGGCTTTCTAGACGACGTTTTGTCTGCTGCAAGTGCCGCAGCGGGAGGTGTGACCGCATCGTCCACAGCAGGTCATCTGGGGTTGGCTGGAACTACATCGAATGGTGGTCTCTATAGTACTGCTACCTCTAGCAAGATAAACTCCTCCCTGCCTCCCACGGCAGCTTCACTTTCACAAGGCCTTCAACAGCACGGAGCGTCTCTAGCGTCTGGAGCCTTCCCAGCTGGTGCACCTTCGACGTCTACTTCGCTAGTGGAAGGATGGCAGAAATTCGCAGCGAGGGCATCGAATAACCCGTTTAGCCCTAGTCCTAGGGTAATCAGCGAAGCAGCGGGTTTGGACATCAGGGATGGAAAAGCTGCCCTCTCTGCACACATCTTGCTGAAGCGCTCAATCAGTCCGTCTGTGTCGTCGGAGGGCGCTGGGAGTAACAAAAATTTATGCTGTTTACTCTGATTCTGATCCATCTTCCATTTGAGGTGGAGCACCATGGAGACATGGACATCCCTGCACACGGAAGAACTTTTTACTGCTTTTATGTATAATGAGAAAATGTATTATAGTACTAAAAAACACTACAGCAACTTATCCATGATGATGTTTCTCAACAACACAAGATCAAGATGCTAGAATGATTGACATAATATTATTAGTACTGAGCAGCAGCTCTAAAGAACAATGAAGTTGGCCACCGAAGGACTAGTACCATGGATACGGTGAATGCATCAGACCACGAGCACGACACGTCACTAACAGGAGGAGGTGCCCCGACTACTTCTGCCGGAGTGAATCTCGTCCACGGGAGAGCACCAGATCAACTACATCTTCATTTACGGCTCAAACAACTCATTTCATTCTACAAGCCATTTCTCCTTCTTTTCTTCTTATGATTGGGAGAAATGTACGCAAGAGATGAAAAAATGTTTTGCGCTCTAATTCATGTAGCTAACTACACTGCGACAGCAACATCGTCAAAGACTAGTAAAAAAGAAGGTCAAGATGATGATGATGATGATGATGATGAGTATATCGCTTTTTTGCGTAGTTTGAAACCGCCTTCTTCACTGCGATTCGACCCTGCGCCAGGTCAAACGCAGGAGGGTGCTTCGTCGACTGTCATCTCTTCGAGCGTCAATGTCGACCCGCCCGTAGTTGTACTTGCACAAGGCGGACGAGGCGAACATCGGAATAAAGACTCTACTTTGAAACCGTCTTCGTCACTTCGATTCGACCCTGCGCCGTCTCCTAGAATTGAAAACACAAAAGACCCTACTCCTGTGAAGAACGACGCTGATGCATTTCTAGATGAATTACTGTCGGCAGGAGCCCCAACGACCGGTGCCAGTGGTTCCCAAATGGTGGACAACTTAAATTCCATAAGCAACAAGATGAATAGCACGCTCACTGGGAAAAATTATAACGCTAGTGGTACTTCTAGTGTTAGGGATGTAGAAGTAGATAAGCTTTTTGACGATTTATTCGGTACAACTACAAGTATTGATGTTCAAGGAGCCAGCGTAAGAGACGAGAACGCCGCAAATGGAAATAATCTTCGAACAACAACATCGAGCTCAAGAAGTACTACTCCTAGTACGAGTAAGCCTGTTGCAACTAAGCCTGTTGCAACTGACCGTAGTCTTATTTTGTGATTGTACAACTTCATTAGTTGGAAACCATAACCAAGCAACATTTCTGCTTAAGCTTAATAGTGCTTAATGCCCAATGTCGATGAGAGGTAGTAACAGAGGTACCATATGTTCAGGCTCTTGGTGTAAATTTTTTGACAAATACTTTGCCGAATACTTTTCTGAAAAAATCGTAGTTTATAGAAATTTCGTTCGGCTGTGGCTGATTTCTGATTCATTTATAGACTCCCTTGAGATCGAGTTGGTGAAGGTACGCCTTATGTGGGTTTTGGTACAATTGATACTGGGTAAACTGCGAGAAAAGACGAGAAAATGAAGTTTGATACCGGGAAGAATAAGGCCTTCGCCTCCACTTGCTCGGAGCATCCAAAACAGGAAGGACGTCAGCGCAAGACAAGTACTTCTTCTGAAGACGTAGAGACGGCAAATGAGAACAAGCTAAGGCAAAGACATAGACAGAAGACTATAGGACAAGATGAGAGGTATAGGGAAGGTGAGAGATAAAAGTGGGCAGCACTGGAGCCCCTAGAATTCCTACCTGTGCAACCCGACAATTTTCCAATTCCACATCGACCGTAGTTGTTTTCCCTCAAGAACAGTAGTTTGTTAAGAGAACTCAAGAGTAGCGTTGAGGGGGCATGAAAAGTTCTATAAAAAGATGCTTCACCTCCGAGGACCGCCACAAAGTAGGCGGTTTCTTGGTGCCAACTATCATCTAGTAAGCGCAGCACCTGTTCTAAAAAGTGCGCGAAGATTTTTTGGCGGCACGAGGACGACGAATCCTGGGCCACATCAGGGACAGCATCAAGAACTACGAGCTCAAGGAGGGCAGAAAGTCAAAGTGTCCAGGACGCGAGTCGTACTAAAAGATCATCATCTACTATATCAGGAAGAACATGATGTCAAGGTCTTGCACCAAGAACATCAAGGCGGGCAACACGTCGTCCAAAGTGCTTCTGCCCTCAAGGATGTACTTGGAGTCAACGTCGACGGTCCAAGTAGTAGTCTAAGACTTTCTAAACCCACAGGCGCACCTCTAGAGGTCCAAGAACAGCTAATCCACAGCTGCACCAGAGTCCTAGCTCGAGTAGACCGACCAATAGCCCAGGGCTTAATTTCCCAGCTCGAACTTAACAATGTGTTGGGCACAGCAACTCCGATTAAGGTGAGACTTTTGCTGTCCCACTTGTAGTTACCTCTTTTGTGGAGTTTTGCGTCGTCTCTTCGTGTACAGGGGTGTAAGTGGCAACACAACTAAGTACTTATAACCAGAAGAATTAACAGGGTAAACTAAAACCATGACTAACACTAACTCTAACACCTCTAAGCTCTAAGTAGAGTAAAAGACACCATACATTCATAGTACCTCTAATCCGAAAACAGGCAGAGGCCTGTTGGCAGAATGTCTGAAGATAAAGCAAAAGATAATACAAGCAGACTTCTGCTTCCGGCATACAGGACAACATACGATAGTTTTCCTCTCTCGAGTAGGCGACTTCTACGAAGCATGGGGTTTCGATGCAGTGCTGTGTGTGCAGTTTTGTGTTATGCGGAGAAATTCGTGAGTAAATAAGTTTTAGTTTATGTTCGGAGTAGCAAAAATAGTGGTTTTATTTATAGACGTAGAGGTCTGAGCAGCTTGTTTTCGTTTTCTAGTACTTCTGTGTATAAGTTTTAAGGTTATCCTCCTTAAACCCTTGGAGTTACGTCGTACCCAAAACCAAAGGGGTGCTCATGATCTACGTTGTCATACTCCTTGTTCATCTATCTTGGTATTTATGTACGCTCTTTGTTTACGTCAATCCTCTCTGCCTACCTCGATCCAAATCCTACCCCAGACTCTAAGAGCAGGCTGAATCCTATGGGGGGCAAGCCACGTGCTGGCTGTCCTAAAGGATCCATCCAGCAGACTTGCGACGCCTTAACGGCTGAAGGCTTCAAGGTCGCGATTTACGAAGAAGCCAATGCGGTTAACTTGCGGAGGAATAAGTTTTTAAGGCTCGATAGTACACTTTATTTTTTGCAAGGGTCATAATTTTCTTCGGTTCTTTCCCGCTTTGGATCCCGAAGAAATGAAGGGAAGAAATGGACTGCAGCTTTGGCCTCTAAATAAGGGAAGAAATTTTGGTGGTGGTGTTGGGATCCGCGGCAGAAGTAGTGCAAGTTTTACCTCTTTGTCGTCTCCAGCAACAAGATCTGCATCTCCTTCGTCTCCTGCTGTTGGTGGTGGCCTGAAACAACGCTTCTTAGCTCAAATAGTGACAGCAGCGGAACCGACATATCGTCACGGTCCAGGCCCTTTGCAACTGTCCTTAAGGGTAGGTTCTTAGTAAAGGTGTTCTTCCTGTTGCCGTTTGTTTTGCCTCTCTCTGTCTCTTAAGGTTAAGGGACGAGAAAAGCATAAAAACAAAGGGGAAACTTCACGAACACAAAAACCCTGCTACCTCTAATGTCCAATCAAACGCCTAGACCTATCGTAGCACTGAATCCAACTTCTCATCATACGAACAGATTTGATCTCTGCGAAATTTACCTGGACACGAAAACAATCAGGAAGGGACGAAATTTGACTCGTGAGGCGGTGAAAAGTCAATTAGAAAGAATACCAGGAGGCTGTGCGGAGCTGTTAGTGTTAAGGGTTTCCGAATTACATCCCTCACGACCATCCTTGGCTCCTTTTCAAGGGGAAAATAGGTCAAGGATGTTCTGAAGCATGCAACTCGGCAGCCTCTAATAGTGTTTTCGTCTGGGGAAGCTGCGTGCTCTGGTGCAGAACACTTCTTGAACTCATCTTCTACAACTGGTGACTTGAGCTTTGCCTTTTTGCAGCAGTACACATCAACAGCGTCGATGATAATTTTGCCAAGCTGTATAGAGAATCGTCAGCTTCATGGCAGGAGCCACGCAGCTTCTCAAGCCTCCGCCAGCATGGACGGCATCGACTCGCTCACTTCCGAAACCTTCCGTGTCCTAAACATACAGAACAAAGATGACTTCCGTGAGCTTTCTAGTTCTCGAACCACTTCTAGTTCTCCTACCAGAGCTAGAGGACACAGAAGAAATTCCTTTGGAGGACTTCACAGCGAATACGAAGAAGATGAACAACAACGAGCGACGCCTTTAACTTCAAGTAATCTGTCCACCATGCGTCTTGCTCCGCTTGGGGTAGGGGTTGCCCGGTTTCTAGGATTGACTTTAGTGCCATCTAGTGGTGGAGGTTCTGGCGGTGGGACGAGAATGCTGACATCCGCGGGACGTGGTGATTATGCTGAAAGACTAGAACTGCTCTACTGTAAAAAGATTATGTAAAAAAATATCGAGTTCGAGACTTAGTTCCGTTTTAACTTCTTCAAGGAGAATTATGAATGGGATGTAATTGCCAAGTCAATGACCCATGACAATGCCTAAGGCCTTTGCTCTATCCTCGTACAAGCTGGATAGGAAGATGAATATACGTTATAAATATATTCTCACCGACTTCGACGAGGTTTCAACAGCAGATCAGATATATCTTCTTCGACATCTGATCTGCTGTTGAAACCTCGTCGACTGTTTGATGCGATGAAGATTCCCCCAAGTGTCCCTATCCCATAGCCAAAAGTGGAGATGCTATAATACATGTGACGAATCATTCGGAAACCTTCAATTTCAAAATCCTACGAGAAGCCAAAGTAGAAGCCACTTCAGCCAGGATCTTCACAACTCTTTCTCTCCATCGCTGGTGGAGAATCTGCTTCCACCACAAAGTCCAGCCTACGCGTATCGATGGCTCCAAGACTGGTTGCTCACTCCACCTCCTTTTTCGGTGAGGGCACACTTCGTCCAACTGGTTGAGGCTTTTCGCTCGTCGATGTGCTTATGATGCGATTTTGTACTTATTTGGAGGATCTTATTTTGGAGGATCTCGTAGTACTAGTAAGTTCTACTTGATTTAGGTCTATAGTGGTTTCTCGAATTTCGTACTTCTCGTTCACTCGGCTTTTAATTTCATGTTGTCAAACTCTCTTCGTCTTCCCTATACGACCTAGTTACTATCAATAGCTACATCTACATGTTTCCAAACGGCCTCTCATCTAATCCCCGCCCTACCAGAACTACAAGCTCTACGCCCTCTCCCGCCGCGCAAACTAGCAGATGTGGACGCTCTGAGTGGTTCAGCAGGTAACAACTTCCGACTGGTCCGTAATACTACTGAAGCCTTTACAGTTGTTTGTGGAAGTTTCGCACATAATTCTGGTGAAGACGGGGGAGGGGAACAACATGTGATACCAAGTGGAGGAGGAGGAGCGAAGGCGAACAATAACGACAAGAAGAACAGCGAACGCCTCCAGCATCTCAACAGCGCGCTCAGTGGCCTTGCGACTTACCATAGTGGTTTGAGTATGGACTGCCATGATGCGGAGCGGGTTTGTCAACACCTGACAAAAATCATAGATGAAGCCGTAGTAAGTCCTGATGAAAACCCAATAGGCTCTATGGATGATCACGATCAAACCTGTGCGGCTGAACATGAAGTTCTCGACCAGCAAGAGCAAATAATAACTCGAACTCCTGGTCGTTTCTATAAATATGACGACTACAACATCACGACTAGATTCTTGTTCGAAAAGAACAACGATTCCAAACCTTCTACGTCTTTCCCGACCTACTACCACGATCCTCTGTTGAAGAAAAGTATTCGTGCGATCACTGATTTTTGCCAACTGAAGGAGAGGTCGCTCAATGAACAGTGCATCCGCTTACCTCACAGTGGAACGAAGCTCAAAACTACAAAACAGCGACTAATACAGCAAGCCAGGAACTGGGCTGAGAGCGGTTTTTTTTTGGCTTTTCGGCCATCTCAACGAGCTGGGATGGCAGCGGCTGTTGCGGCACACCAGGCTGTTGCAGCGCAGGAGGAGAAAGAACAAAGGGGATCACAACTAGGGCAGACTTCCTCAGCGTCGATATCCTTGCTGTTCCAAGATGCGTTGTATCTGCAGAAACAGAGTGATCGGATGTTGTCTTCTACCAGGAGAGGTACAACTAGTATAACTAGGACAAGCGGAGGAAAAGGCGTTGATGTTCTTCCGCACGAATTCATCGAAGATGAAGAGCCACAGAAGATGAAAAACTCTACCAATGGCCGCAGATCCCCCACTAGCGGTACGAGAGCGACTCCTCACGATCTCGGCCCCAAACATAAGTACGGATACCGACCAGCTCTACTGCAGAAGCTCGAAAAAGAGTACCTTACAGCATTAGATGCCTGTGAAGCTGAATGTGACGAGGTCATAAACCAAGTCTCGACCGCCATTCAAACTGATTAAGGCTTCATCTAATTTATAGTATCCATCTAATTTACAGTATCCATCTTTGTTTAGATCATGTGCTGTCACAGGTTTTTTACTTAGTGTACTAGTGGCTGCAAAACCTCTTGAATTAGATTGCCAGGTTTTTTAGATGAAGCATCCTGACAACTACGTTTTCAAAGTAAGCGGGAAATAAGGCACCGTGTGACTGCGTTCTCAAAGGATGGATCATTTGGGTAAGCTCTAAACTGGGCTCCGGACTTTGATTTTCGTCTCCCACGCCTTGGCCAGTGTCGCAGTGGCATCGCTGCACGCGGAAGAAAGTCTCAGGCGAGGATGGCATAGTGTAGACTGGGAGGCACATCAGCAGGCACAGGAACTAGAACGACCAACGAAAAGGAGAAAGAAGTCTAGAAGTACTCTTTCTAGTAATTCCCCTACATGTACACTGCAGAAGAATAACCATCTACATTTAGAAAATCTGCGTCCCTACTGGCTCACTGCTGGCAATGCCGTACCCAACACTGTTGAGCTAGGCCGCATGGGAAAAACAGATGCGGAGCATGGAAGAGAGCATGACCATGGGCATGGAAGGAGCAAAAACATAGCTCTTTTGACTGCTCCAAATGCGTCGGGTAAATCCTGCTTATTGAGATCCCTTCTTATGAAAGCAAAAACAAAAAGTGTACTCGTCCGCGTCCTCAAAAAACTACCCCCCAGAAGATTCTACGTAGGAAAGAGCTGCCTCTTTTGTTGAGTACTATGAGTACGTTTTTTCTTCTCATACTTCTTGCTGCCATTCTACTCCAACACTGTGGCCTCCACGCGCCTTGTGGCCCAAAGTCAAAGATTCCGCATTTTGAGAACCTTCTCGCTTTTCAACCAACTGGCGACTGCCCCATAGAAAATCGATCTGCCTTTGAAAACGAAGTGGTGCAGATGTCGGCATTGCTGGAAGAGTGCCAAGTGGTTCAAGCTGGTGACGGAAGTCGAGGAGGGCGATCTTTTGTTTATGACGATCATGGTAGGGGGTATTTGATGGCTTAATTCTCGATTTCATCATCTAGTACAGAATGGAGTAGCGGCTGTGTCTGCAGCAAACAACTCAATATTTATGACGATCATGGTCATGTTAATGTTTACCTTCACTTATACAACCACGTCAATGGTTTCAGCAATGTCCTAATGATGTAAACGTACTACAGAAAAATCAGTTATAATTGTTATGATCGGATGAAAAATTCAAATTTCTCTGTTTTATTATCATCAATGTACATCGTCAACTTCATCTAGTACTACTGCAGCTACTATAACTATTTCCGCTTCATCCACCATCTAGCACTTCTACCGTCTCTTCTAAGCTCTCGTCATCGACGAATTTGGACGCGGTACGAGTGCACGTGAAGCATCTGCTCTGGCGGCAGCGGTGATGGAGCATTTGCGGGATCTGCAGTCTGTCACAGGCATCTTCGCTACACATTTACACGAACTTTTTCGTTTTCCTGCTTTTCAACAGAGTGGCGTTCATGATCTTCATAGTGCTGGAGTTTTTGAAAAAGCAGATGAAGTAGAAGGAAGCGATTGTCGTGCTAGTACTGGAGTACAAGAAGCAGATGAAGTAGAAGGAAGCGATTGTCGTGCTAGTACTGTGGCTTCTTCCAGTTCTTTCACATTCTGGCGAATGGCTAGTGGCTATCGCATGGAGCCTGGCGTATGTGTCGACAGTGAAGCCCTTCGTTGTAGCATTAGAGCAGGTCTGCCGGCATCGATTTGTCAAAGAGCTAATGAGTATTTGGAAATGACGGAGTTGGAGATGTTGACGGAGGCGTCTTCTCCTTCTCTTTTGACAACTGATGAATATCATGGAGGTTCCAGTACTAGCCGTCCTGCTTTCGATTCTGGAGATCATCTTCACTCATCTGCTACACTTCTAGTACCTAAGTCCCCCGACAACTCCGTTCAGCACCACGAATCAGTCTCAGAAATATCAGACATGCTTTTTCCATCCCCGGAAAAGGAAAACGTCGCTCTCTCCGGAAAGGAAAGCGCTTATAGAGGCAACGACGGCGTAGTACGCAAGTTCCTGAACTCGTTACTAATCAATGACACAGGCAAGACTATTCCATCTTCAACAACAGGCACGACTGCAACAACGCAGATTCACGACCTCTTACCGACGATGAGACCTCCTGCTATTCTAGGGGCCAGTCCTTGTTGCCTCTACGTGCTACGACTGCCGAATGACACATGGTACGTTGGCGAGACAGCGAGCTTGCGACAGCGACTGACGTATCATAAACGAGACTTATGATGTCACTGTCAGGCAGTGGCAGAAGAAAAGAACAGTATAACTTACTTTTTACCATATAGTTATTTAATACGCAACTCTCTATTTTCTAATCCTAGTAGGACAACCCTCTTGTCCATCCACTCTCTTGTCCATCCGACCTCGTTCATTTACTACACCTTTATTTTTCCCCTTCTTCTTTGTTCATATCACAAGCGTTGGGTTTTTGGCTACGTGGTTGGCGTAGGAGACAAGAGCCGTGCTCAGTTTCTGGAGACTAGCTTGATTCGAAGCCTCCAGGCAGCAAAGATTCCCTTACATTCAGCAAAAGACGGCCACAGGCGCAGTGCCCTTCATGCGAACTAATGGGAAACCGAACAAAAAAAAACCGTAAGGATGTTGACGTCGATGAAGCATGTTGACGTCGATGAAGCTGTATGTAAATGTACCTAAAGTGCAGATGAAGAAGCCGGATCTAATGAATGAATGCGGGAATCATTCCATTTACCTACTTTGTTCGTCTTATCATTTTTTTTTGAATTATGTCCACGTTGATGTTGAATGAATTATTCGAAAACTCAAAATAAGCGAGTTACTGATAGAAATAAGAGAGTCTTGACTACATTCCTCTTCTTTCAGTATTTCCCTTATTTTCCCTAGTTACTCGCATATTTCAGCTTTTCCAATAGAGATGTATCCACTTCATCTGCCTCTAATTATGTTGGATAATGTACAGAAATAAAGATATTAACAAGATCAAAAACACTCGTTATAGGTATTTTGATGAGCACCCTCTTTTTCTTAGAAAATCTATTGAGATGGGTGTACGTATATGAATTTGCACAGGAGTAGTTCATCACGTCTACAGATCCTCCATTTTTTTTTTGAGTTTGCACAGATCCTCCACGAGAACATAATGCTTACGCAAGAATGTTGACTCTACTAGTACTAGGCAGTCAGTAACAAGACAAACACAAAAAGAAGTACGAGTATTTTTTTAAGTAGGATTTCTTTGACGACGAGGTCTAGATGAACGCGTATTTTGATTGCTTTCTTACTTGTTTCGATAGTTTATCCGTGCCTGATCAGCATAATCCTTGAAAGTGTGCTGTCGGTGGTGTAGGGTCTATGGTTTGTTGTTGCTACTTTGCGGTGTGTTCACGTGTTAAAATCTGAGATCTGAGGTTTCGCCTTCACGTCCCTGGCGGCGTTTGAAAGACAGAGATGGACGACGTTATTTGAAATATGGTGCGCTTTTCATTTTCTTTGTCACATCAACCTCTATTAAGCCTGTCATCCTTTTCCATGTCTTGGTCTAGGTCGACGATTTTTTCATCTCTTATGGCACCCGTTTACCCTCAAAAAGTCCTTGTTTAAACTGCGAAATGCTAACAAGGCCTACGTGGTGGAGCTTATCTGATTTCGGGTTTGCTACTCGTAGTTGACTTTTTAACTTTCAAAACTTTCTGTAGGTGGTTCATCAGTATATCCACCATCAGTTGTTCGCCGTGTCGTACCCCCGCAGGTGTGCTGACTTGCTCTCGGGGCCCCGCTGCGTCGGGTTGCGCCTTAGTTGTTCTAAACGGGTCGAATGTGCGGCTCTTCCGATAGGTGTTGATTTGTGGCCGAATGTGCGCTCTTATGCGCCCCCAGTAGAGTATGTAGCTCGTTAATTTTATGCTATGCTAAACAGAAAGAGGGAACAACCAGAGTCCGACGAGCGCATTGAGTTGAATGATTTTTCCATCGAGAAGAAACTGAGCGACTTTCTACGGAACAATTATTTCCTGATCTACTGACAGGTGACCGTATCATCAACTCTACCACCCTTTATTTCCCGCTTGTTTTTACTTCTACCTGCTGGTTCTAACGCCCGCAACATCTAATTTATATTACATGGGTAATGGGTAAGTATCCCCCCTTTCCAACCCTTATAGTATTCTTATCGTTATTCAAAAAATGAATTCATCGAGTAGTCCTACTTTGTTCGTCTTTTTATCATTTTTTTTGAATTATGTCCACGTTGATGTTGAATGAATTTACTACATGATAATGCAACCGAGATAAGAAGATACAACATCGATCAATTCTTGAGAAGATGTGCTAACCCAAGCTCGTATCTTGTTTCCCATTCATCCAGAATCGGATGGCTTGCGCTGTATCTAGATCTACCGAGTGATGGGTTGCGCTGCATCTAACGAGCCACGCGAGGCTCCGATAAAACCGCCTAAGGAGACTCCTGCTATCTTTCACACAGGAGCAGTGGAGAGCTGCGATTACGCCATTCTGAGGTTTTATAAGGGCAGTCTCTACTCGAGCGAGATACCAGATCCGGTGCTGTACAAACTGGTGACGCAATGTGCGATGTCCACTGGGTCCATATGCCATGTGCTTACAACATGCAAAAGTTATGACAATTGCAGCTATACTCCGTCAAAACGTAGAGAAATTTGACTCCTCTGAGCTATGAAGTCGGACACAGTTCTGAGCTGCTTACCCTCATCTTCTTCTAAGCGACAGATCTGGATCTTCTTTCTTGACGATGATGGTTCTAGCGTTTTCATCTTCTCCGGTGCGTGTTCTCTGTGCAGCGTGATGGTGAGATCCAGTCTTCTTTTACAGAGATGTAAGTGAGTACATACAATTAGTAAACAACTTATGCAAGTACAGGATGTAAGTACATATAATGAGTACTAAACAAGAAGTTTTTGTTCTAAGGACAATTAGGCTGGCAACTACGCGGACATTCGACTACAGCCGGAGGCGGCGCTCCTGTAGACGAACACGAAACGTTTGTACTGGAAAGAACGCAATAGGGAAACGAGAACAACTAGCACCAGATGATACAAGAAGAAGAACTAGATTGTCTGTACTATTATTTTCCGATGAACTTGAACATGAGATCATATACCGGATTAATATAGACCTTCACTTACTCCTACGCTTCGTGCGCGGCTTTGGTCTTGGTTATAACGCCAATTTTATTTGTAGACACGTCATCGAGATCGACATGGACATGCATCCTTCACTTGTTGTCTAAATTTTTGTCAAACTTCTAGTCGCGAGGCCAATTCATTGCACTGCAATCTGTTGATGCATAGGTTTGTGCCCACGCATCAGGGACGCAATGTACTGGAATGGGATATCCTCAAATTGTACAACTTCTTGTGAGGGTTGTTTTCTTTCCCCTGAGCCACTCCCCTTACAGCTATCTGTTCCCTCTACAACATGTAGTTGTACCACTACTTCTTGATAGTGCATCTTCATATTCTTCTGCAAAATTAGAATTACTGACATCGCCCTGGTGGTGGTGGGGATGTCTTCATCCTGCAATAGATACCGGACTCGCAGGAGTCACAAGACTCGACTACTTAGATTGTAGTTGGTGAGTGTGTCCAACTTGTTCAACTACAAATTTGATCTTGAACACTTTCACTCAACAAACTCAGAGGCTGTTTCTGTTCGGGAAGCGACATGCCTGTATCTATCTTCTATCGATCGCCGTAAGGTTTGCTTCTGATTTCATTTTCCCCTGAGCCAATCTTCATCTACATACTAGGAGTAGAATGAACGCAAGGCGATCGAGATCCTGCCGAAAAAAATGATTTCTTTCGTTTCATTATACAACAGATTACACACATTATAGCAGTCGTCTTCCTCTTAACTCAAACTCCAACTATCTACAACCAAGATTCACAACTTCTGTTTCACCAAAAAACAATGTCGTTCCATGGCCAAGTCGGTGACACAGTTTCACTCGTTGGGCTGCAACGACGACCAGAGCTGAACGGGACTCGAGCTCGCATTGTTGCTGTTGTTAAGGCTACCGCTGAAGCATGGTCACCACCATCCGACGTCGCGTCTTTTTTCAAGTACTAGAAAAAGGACACTACAGGGTTGGTCTCAAGGATGTTGCGACTGCGGTAGCTCTAATGAGGAGAGCAGTGCTGCTGCTGCCAGTGATAGTACTGCTTGTTCTCCATCCGAGGACACCGCCTCGGCATCGCCGTCCAATGTAACATCAAACAAGCTGATGTATACTGTAGAATCGTTGCCGTCTGCTTCATCAAGAAGTTGCTCCACTGCGGGTGGAGCTGCTGGGAGTCGTGGGAAGTTGCTCAAAGTCAAGCCTGAAAATCTTAGGGAGGTGGTGATCGTGGATCGCAATCGAGCTGCACCTTTGAACTCTACAAGAACTGCTAGCTTTACTTCGAGGTCGACTGCTACTACTACGTCCGGATACAATAGCACCAATAACAGAGGAGCCAACTTCTTCACGAACAATGAAAACAACGGCAACTACAACGATAGCAGTTTACCAGCTCGTGACAATGTTGGAGCAGGATTTCCGTTTCCGTTTGGTCTACTTCTCCATCAATCGCCTTTTCTCTTGCCATTCCTAGCTTTTGCGGCATTCAACGTTTTCGATATGTTCTCCGTCATGTCAAGACCATCTTCGAGTGCGCTGGATGCTCGTAGGACCAGTGCTCGTAGAAACAGTAATATGGCAGCCTCTACTAGTACTCGCAGATTCGGCGTAGGAGACTCGTGGGGAGAGGAAAAACATCGTGAAACGGATCCAGTCGACTTCCCAGCACCAGAGGAGCCTGACGAGGTCGAGGAGACCGCATCCGCAATCGACGATGAGGAAGCACAACTCGCTGTCGATGTTGAGTTTGAGAAGAATATTGCCAATGATGATGATGATGATGATGATGATCACAAGGTCGAAACTGACAATTCTAATGCAATGAAATCGAATAATTTGCTGTGGAATTATACCTGGCCCTCTTGGAGTCCTATCTCGTCCCAGATGACTCAGTACTATCACGACTTGGCCCTCAACACAATTCATACTTACTCCCAGCATTTGCAGACACAAATCCCGCAACCTTTACGTACTTTCTTCTCTTCTCTGACACACTACTTTTCTAGAGTCTCTTCCTCTTGTTCTTCCTGTTTAAGAAAATTCATTCCGATATCCTCGATTTGCAACCACTTTGGCCCTGAACATCTCCTCGCTATCTCTCTAGGCTTTTGGCTATGCTACAAAGCGAGGCTACATGAGCAACTGCATCGTCTCAGCCCTTGGCAGCTTCTCTTTTTGGTCCAAATTGTGATCCAATTCTTCTGTCGGAGACGCTTCTTACCAGCAGGGATGAACCTTTTAGGAGGCGGCTTTCCGTCCTTTCATTGGCGAGGGAACTTAGGAGGTGGATATCATAGAGTACAGTTTTTCTTTTTCAGATTCTGCCGAAGAGATGGCCCTCCACCAGGTACCACTGCCTTCTCTATTCAAGGAGGGACCATCAGCGAACGAGTCCTTCATGCTGGTCGTGGTACTCTAGTAGAAGATGAATGTGTTCCTAACCACGACTCCGCTTTGTCCGACGATTTCTCCGACAAAGGATGTGGAACTAAGTGGCACAAGAAGAAGAAAAACTGAAGGGAGAAGCGCGAAACCCCCGTTACAAGATCATCTTATAATGCTTGATGTGTAGGGACGTTCCGTAAAAAAGTTTTTAACCGAAAACGATGGATGAGATTTATTCCTTCTCCTTACTCTTTATTGCTTTCCGAATACATCATCATAAGATTGAGGTTGAGGTAAGGGAACATAATCATACGATCAATGCGATAGATCATAGAAGTAGACGTGTCTCCCAACCTTGGACCAAAATGCACAACTTCTACCACAAGCACGAAATAGATACTTAACCATAGATACTAAACCACATCAAAGATACGTCCCATGCTTTCATCTCCTATAATTACCTATTCTTCTTCTTCACATATTAAGTATTCTGATTATAGCACATTAGATAACCATCAAAAAGATGAGTTCCATGCTGTCATCTGGTTCTTCGGAGAACCGTCTAGGCTTCGAGGAGCGACGTCGCGAGTTCAAGAAAGGGCAAGATGAGGGTGAAATTCGCAGAAAGCGTGAAGATGACGAAGTTCAACTCCGAAAGTCAGAGAAGTTATGATACATAGGTATGTTGACGAATCGCAATAGAGTCTATTCAATAAACCTGTTTGGGAGTTGATTGGAACAACCTTGTTACTCCTATCCTTCCTTTTCATCTACCAGAGGTAGAAGAGTGGTAGATGACAGCTAGAACTGGAACTAGAACGACTCCGAAAGAAGTCAGAGAACAGGTTGACTACAGTCCTAGTTCTTAAAGGATGTATAGTCATTTTTCACAGGATTTCTAGAAGGCCGTAGAGGTTTCGAGTGCGTTTTCTGAAAATCCATGATGATGCTGCATCTTCTTGCCCATGTCTGTTTTCTGAAGAAGGCTGAACGACCTCCAATCTCCTTGACCATGTAGTTGTATCCGAGGTAACATGACATGGCATCTTCTAATCACTGCAGACTTGCTGGCCAAGAAACGCCAACACTTGGTTACCGGGAATGAAGCAGACTCAACGACGTCCGGCGCGGGCGCGACTTCCATTATGGCTTTGATGATATGAGACTCTAGTATATGAGACTCAGAGTCAGAAGTCAAGCAGACGCTACAGTATCTGCCATCGACTGCACTAGTCTTGGTACTATTCCACTGAGCAACCTACTTAGATCTAGAAGTCCTACATCAGGAAGGTAGTTTCTTCTAGTGAGGTAAAAGTACAATCATTGTCACAGTCTTCGTGCTACTTCTTCGTACAGACACAACAAAGACAGCAGTACACCTGCCTCCAGAAGATTCTACTTTTACCCGTCTATCGTGTTTCTAGTTTGTCTAGCAAGGTCGTACAAGGTCCATCATCGTCACAGTGATCAATCTATGCACCATCAAGATGTTTTTAGTTTATGTAGAAGCTCTAATTCTCCCGGTGACGTGATGGGTCTGCCCACGCCATCCTCGTCTAGCTCCTCCTCTAGCATCCGAGATATCTCGAAGGACACACCAATAAGCGAACTGGCGGAGATCGTTATGAAAGGAAATAAAAATGTACTCTCATCTACATAGTTTCCTCAAGAAAAGAGGCAGTTTCCAACTGACGAGTACTAGTCTACTATTTTTACTAGTTGTACTTATAGCAGGACCACTTTCCAAGTTCTTTCTTACGTATGGGCAACTTGTTCCTGCTACGTGGAACGTGCTTAGTTTCTTAAGTGTAAGCACTACGTTCTCGTTCTATCCTTTCATGATCTTCTTGTCGGACAAGGTATCGGATGAGGGTCTGCTGGCACCAGTTACGGAGATACGGAAACGGTTGAGTCGAACCGACAATCCACCGATCAATGGAGTCATTCAGTGCGGTAATCATATTGAGCTCGGTGACTAAAAAATGCTTTCTACTCCGTCTGACCACCTAGACCATCAGATGAGTCGGTGTCGTCGTGCAACTACTAAAAAAAAACCATCTTCAAGAAAACTGGCCATACCCCCTGAAGTTGTTGTTGCAGTCAATGAAGATGAGACAGAAAAAGGACACATGATTTTTAAATCGTGTCGTCGCTATGACTACATCGACCCCTTCAACATCAGGTATAGTCCCTCGCATGATTTCGATCATGGCATCGACGACGAGTCACAGCCTGAAATTCGAACTCGCATGGGCCTTGACCAACGTCGCGAGCGGAAACTGTGATCAAACAAGAGCAGTGGTGGATGCAGGAGGACTACAGGCTTTTCTTACGGCTGCGCAGTTCGGAAAGTCCTTCAGCATCCTGAATTACTGCACCTTCGGCTCGTGCTTTAAAATAAATGGACCTTCAAAGCTAGCTTTAAAGGGCGTTCATGACCAAAACGGCGAACGATAAGACATCTTTATCCTGTTTTGGATGGTTTTATGGGCCGCGAGTGAAAAGACCCAATACAAAGCTTCGCATTTTCTGTTGTAATGTCTCGGCCTCTGTAGGCGCGAGACGGCTTCTGTTTTTCTTTTTAAGACATACAGCACATAGAAGATAGCATTCCCGATACCTCTAACATAACCATAGATATAAGTATAAAGTAACTTACTTATGCTGTACTTCTCACATGAAATAGAAACAGTTGCATCACATCAAGCAAGAGGATAATTTGTTACCTTATAATATGTGCGGACATCAAGCAGTGGTGGATGCAGGAGGACTTATTTGTACTACTTCTTCAAAGCCTTGATTTATCGCACGTTGGAAGACATACAGCACATAGAAGATAGCATTCCCAATTAACTTTAAAAATTGGAAGACATACAGCACATAGATAGCATTCCCAATTAACTTTAATATTAATAATACCATTTACCATAATTATGCTTATGGGTCGTGTACTAGGGTATTCATCAAACAAGAGCAGTGGTGGATGCAGGAGGACATAGAAACAATTGCATCACATCAAACAAGAGGATTTGTTACCTTATATGTGCGGACATCGTTCCGCCGCCCATAAAGTTAGACATCACGGGGAGGTTTTGATTTATCGGAACTCGCTCGCACTACAAGAAAAAGCTTGTGTGGGAAATCTGAATTGAACCCCCTTTGGTGAATCGTCGATGATGAATATTGTTCTCATAACTTAGTAGTTCCTCCTCAGCGCCGTTCTCCGCACTCTTCCTCCACTTTCTACTTGTATTTTCTTCCTCTAACCTCTTCGGAATCCTGAATAGTCGTTCAGCCTTGAAAGCACAGTTGTGTGAGCAGTGCGTTTGGGCCTTAGGAAACATAGCTGGCGATGGACCGGAACTCAGAGACGTCTTATTGCGGGAGAATGTTTATGGCACCTCAGAGAACACCGAGGTTGCTTACGTAGGGTTAGCAAGGACAATGCAATGGGTAGATGTCCTCTTTGAGGTTGTAGTCCACTTTGAAGTTGTAGTGATGTCAGTGTGGATGTCCTTCTGGAGAATGACAAGCAATAACAGTAATGATTATTAGCTCTGGAGCACTGGAGCAGTTGCAGTCTGGAGATGTTTCATTAATTTAGTAGTAGTAGTACAACAGAGATGTCTTATTGCGGGAGAATGTTTAATATGGCACCTGTTGCATAAGTTTAATTTTCGCCTTTCTAGACGTAAGTTTGTTACTGGCTCTTCAGCAGCCACTCATGTCTGCCAGTTTCCTGGTAGGCCCACACCTAACCTACCCTACCCTAACCTAAGGCAGACCATGACCGCTGTATGATCTTTTGTCCTCTAACCCTCCATGCGCATCCTTCAGAACATCTGCACAGCGGTAACCTCACTCCCTTGGTCATCAAAAGAAGCGGCTGACGTGCTGCGGAACGTTATGTGGTTGATGAGCAACCTCTGTCGGGGCAGGGTATTTTTAATACAAAATATGAGGCATTCCCTCTGCGTTTTCTATCCAATCAGCGTTTTCTAGATGTCATCTTTTTTCATGAAGAAAATTTACCTAATTCCTAAGAACCATCTCGTCCTAGTTCAAGTTCATTCGAAATGAAATTGAAGTCGATTATGGAGGTAATATTTGTAACTTAACCCATCCCATCCCACTTTCGTCCAGCCTCCAGCTCCTTTCGAGGTTGTAAAGCCAGCGTTTGAGGTTTTCGCGGAGGTGGTCGGACGAAATATGGATAAAGACATGACTGTAGACTCCATGTGGGGTCTGTCGTACCTGACTAATACCGGCAACGCCGAAGACGATAACCGTCGATGTCTGCAAATGCTTCTTTTAAGGACGATTGCCAGTCGTGTAAGAGTAATTGATGACCTACTTATTTATTCTTATTTAGATTTAGCAGGATATGCATCGGTACCGGTCGCCATGCCATGTATGACCGGGAGGTCGTCAGGGGAAACTGATTGGTATCTAAAAGGATGTTTATCGGGACCCGGCGTGTAGTATGACCAGGAGGTCGTCGTCAAGTTGGATCCCCTAACTCTTGTAAGCCAAAACTCCACGATAGAGATAGACGAACACTCACCAAACTTGTTGGTGAAATGTCTGCTGAACATCCTCCGCTATGGTGCAGCTGCTGGTACGGCGACCGACGATGGGCCTGTGAAGTCATTGGATGACCAGGAGTTGCATAAAGACGATAATTTAATGCAAACACCAGCATTGAGGATATTGGGTAGATTAACTATTATGTTTATGTATCCTGGATTCCATGATATGCATATAATATTATTGCATGGAGTTCTACAATGTATGCCCATTTTTATCTGCTTTCGTCTTCAAAGCCTTGATTTATCGCACGTCAAGAACATCACTCATCTTAAAAATATGTCCACAAAATACGTCCTCTACTGTGTTGAACATGCTTCAATTTCCCTTCGCCCGTGCCATCTTGTCATCTTCTACTACGTCCCAATGGTGTCCATCTTCCATGCAAAAAATGCAACCAAATGATCCAAAGGCAACATCGTCTCGGCTTCCGACTCGCAGCTCACTTCCGTCTGCATAGCTTCAGGCATCATTGGAGGCCTCGTTTTCGTCATCACCAAACTTCCTCCAGCACGCACTGCAGCTAAGCTTCGGAAGGAAGCAGTGTGGATTCTGAGCAACATTGCAGCAGGAACGAAAGAGCAAATCCGGAGACTCTTTGATCCGGTCGAAGACGTCCTGTCACCAGCACGACCAGCAACCAGTAGTGGGGATTTAGACATAGAGGCGGGCGGAATGATGGTTATGACAACCTTTCTCAAACTCGATGAATGAACGCGATTCCTTTTGTCACGGACGTGCTGGACAAAGGCCGCCTTTTAAATGAAGATCTGCAACTGAATTACTGATAACAACGGTTGTACCTGTTGAGCACCAGCTTCAGAGGCTCGTGGTCTCCTACTTGTTTTTACGTCTCCTTTTGTCGTGTTTCTTCCCTTCCGATTTAGTTTTAGGCTCTAACCCCCTGAACGGCGGAGATGACGAGGAGAGCAGTGTCCCAGTTAAACCGAGGACAAGAGACACCTTCGACGTCTTGATGAAAGAGTTAAGGACTGCGACAACTCGGCCAATCAAAGCGGAGTGCGCTTGGGCATTTGCGAATGCGGTACCTAGTGCTGTAATTGTTGTGAAGGTCTGCTCTTCTCTTACATTCATGTAAGACTCCTTCATCCACTTTTATTCTCGTTCTCCACCCTTCATTTTCCTCTACTTGGAAACGTTCTCCCTTCATCTTCCCTCCACTTAGGAATTGAAATAACCTCCATAAGACAATCATCCACACAGATTTCGGTCCATGGGGAGTTCATCGACTATTTGGTCGTCAAGAAACGAGTTTTCGAAGCTTTTGCGGAACGCATTCAGGAAGAGAATGATGTCAAACTCATCAACATCTTGCTTGATGCCATTATCAATGCCTTAAAGTATAGCGATAGCACAAACCGCAACTACCTTACACTTGCGGAAGAGACGGGGTTACATAAAGTTAAGTAGACACACTTAGTTGCAGATGCAGATGAAGAAAGTGCGGTAAGTAGTGCTTGTCAACACAATGAATTTTCATAGACACTATTCGAAGTAGATGAAGTTAGCCACCTCAACTCGAATGATCCCTCTAATAGTCCCTCTACTCCTCACACCCTCTCACTCTTCTAACTCCCCTCTCCATCGCGTTGTGAACGATTTCAGTGCTGCACAAGGAGATGCGGGTGCGGTGTGTAAGAAAGCCTCTGACATCCTAGATCGATGGTGGTCCGCAGAAGATGATTTGAAACTTGTTATGAAAGATATTCATAATATCCCTAACCCTTACTAGATGACATCCTCAACGTCGAGATGCTTTTTTGTCTACATCATAGCATAAATAGCATATTAGTCATAGTGGAAAAATGACAACAAGTAGTATTTCTGTTGCTCTATTCAAGAGAACAATATTAAACCAGATTATTCTTGCTTAGTTCTCTCAGAATCTCCTTGTCACCGTACTAGTTCGTCGTTCAATATTTATGGATACGTTGGTTCCCCTTTCATACCCCAAGGCGAAGTAACGAAAGCAGCCAGCTTCCGTGTAGATGGTGTAGAGGACGACGATCTCGGAAGCTTCGGGTCAAACTGCAGAGCACATTTTTCTTTTGGGGCTTGAATTACTCTATCAAATCGAGAACTCAATATTGAAGCTTTTCATGATTGATTGAGATTGTCCTGATAGTCCTAAAAATTCTATTTATTTAAAAATCGATTACTATGTATTGATAGCATATTCAAGCACTGACTTATCTGCTTCAGAGCTCAGTTACTATTCGGACTGATTTTACATTTACTTACTATAGAGAAGCCCCAACGGCTCTTGCTGTAGAAGTTGACTTTTGCCTCAAATTATATTATAACGAATACTGTAACACCTCCTGACAGTCAGTGCGTACCCATAACATACTTACACAAATTAATAGGAGTAAGGCAAATTCAGCGTGGTCCATGACTTCGATCGCTTATAATTTGGTTTTCCGTGAAAATTTTGCATAAGTACGTATGAGTATGAAGATGAAGGTTTTCAGCGTGATCTCAGCATCGGTTTTTGCTGTGAGTGAACCATGACCATGCTTTTGTGTTGGAGCTACGAAACGAGTGAGCAAAGCCAAGGACGGCTAAGACCAAAAGGAACCCTGGTTCTCGTTGTACAACCAGCCAAACGCTGACCCCGCTGGAAGCTCCGAGTCAGGGACGCATGATGCTCTCTCCTAAAGACCTTCAACTCGCGAGGAAGGAAGGCGCACACCATTATGGTCACATCACTTTAGATTCATCTATGATCTCAGAATCCTCAAACCCTTTCCCCATGAAGTGAATCCGAGGGAAACAGCCCTTTCCCTTGACTAGAAGTTGAACACTGCTCCTAAATTTTGGGGAGGCTGGAAGTATGCCTATCATGCGCAAGTACATAAAAATATACCAGAGACCGAAAAAAAGCCGCGCTCTGCTCGTCTAATACTAAGGGTTTCCGAATTACATCCCTCACTGCCATCCTTGGCTCCCTTTCAAGGCGAGAATAGGCCAATGGTGTTCTGAAGAATGCAACTCCGCAGCCTCTACTCGTATTCTTGTCCAGTCCCAGAGGATTTCCCCATGGAGCAGACGTGCAGAAATACCATGTGCGTCGCCTGTTGCTGTACGGTTCTGCACGCTTGCGCTTTTTGCATCTGTGAGCGGTGCTCACGCTGCAAGAAACCTTTGTAAGAAACCTGTTATCTAGACCACGATCCAGAGGCATCTTGGCGTTGGCATGACATAACCGACAAAGTTTGACTCGTTCACTATATTCTGTAAAAGTTGTTGACTCGTCACTTGGAATTTTACTATTTCTATTACTGTTCATCGCATTCGGATGAGCACGTGTACGATCATAGCAATGACTATGAAGCAGGACTATCGTCATGGTTTTATTGCGATGAGCATAGAGGACAATCATGATCACGGTTCGTCTGGCCTTGTTCGCCTTGGTTCTTGTTTGTAGAAGAGATCCACTCGTGATGATGAAATGAGCGACACGAGAGAGAGCAGGGCTTTTGACGAGAATAAGAAAGTGGACGAGGGAATGAGTTGTCAGTTGTAACTGCTGTTAAGATCAAGTACTAAAAATGTTGAATAGTTAAAAACTGGAATAGTAATTCATCCTCATCCTGAAAGTACCGAAAGAATGATGGAAGACGCAGGTCCTTTATTAGCTGACCACGAAGACGGTCACGACTATGCTAATGAGCAAGGGGTCTACCCTCTCACACCCGACGCGAAACGCACATCGACTACAACAACCACCTGCTCATTCTCACCGCCTGACGATCATGACAAGGACATCAATGACCACAAGGGAGCGCGAGGACATTATGCGAGAACCACTACAAGGTCGTCGACAAGTGCAGCTTCTGCTTCGTTTAGTGGAGGGAAACTATCATCAGAAGGTGGCGATTTGACAGATGACGATTTGGGCACTAGCTCCAAAGGGGGTCGTCTCAATGCTAGAGGCCATTATAACGGAGACGAACAAGAAGGATCTTTGTCTTCGAAAAATTCATTTAGAACCACGACTACAGGAGGACGAGAGGTGGACACGACCTGTTCACTTGATATAGAAGGTGAAGCAGGCAGTAACATTTGGGCAAGCGACTGGCATGGTAAGCGGTTTGAACGAGAGAGAAGACAAGCAGCCTCAGCACAGAAAAAGACCTTGACGTGCTTGGAGCTGCTTTCACCGGACAATTTTATGGGCATCCACATATTACATTCCCCAGTAACTACATCCTTGACAACTTTTCAAGTAGAAGTAAAGAAGCCACAGTCCTCTAAGAATTACAAGCGCACACTCACATTCTGTGCGGTACTGTTTGGAGGGTATTTCGCAGCCCGAAACTTTGGCGGACCAGATTGCCAAGCAGCGAAACGGAAGGGGTTGTTTGTACTAAGTACTCAAAATGTAGGTTTGGTCTATTTGCTCCATAGAAAGATGTTTCATCCTCGTGGATACAGACTCAACTCAGACGCAGAAGAGGTAGCAAAGAAATTTACCCGAACTACTAGCCATATTCGAGATCCTGGCAATGCCTTGCTCATTCATAACACAAAAATTTCCGATTTACTCAAAATTCCGTCACCGATTTACGCAAGAAAAGAGAAATACTTAAGAGCACTCAACACTTCAGCATACGCTTTCCGATTTGCGTCAATTGACGTTCATATCGTTTTTGATAGCGCACTTCGTCCACATTCCCGGTGCCCAAGCACGGTTCGACTACCTCTTCCGCTTTTCACGCGGTAAACCAAGAGGCGTCGTTTTCGTTACTATCATGCTTTTCTTTAGCCTCGATGTGCCGCAGGTGTTGGACTCTCTACTTGCCTATCTTCCCTTTTGGAATTCCTGTGGACTGGATCAGCTTGCAGCAGGAGTCCTCCAAATAGTCTTCGGTCTCCTCGTTCTCTGGCACCTGATGTGGGTTGCTAGGGAGACCTCATCTTCTTCAACTTCATCTTTATCCTCCATATTAAGCTTAAGCACCACCACAGACACAGAGACGGCAGCATCATCTGCAGATGAGATGAGTGCATTGGCGAGGACAAGGTCATCGCCTTTTCGAAATCATTCTCCCGGAGGTGACCACGACAGGGAAGACCAACAGCCGATGTTGGCATTAGTATCAACAACAAACAACATGGCAGTAGATGTTGACAAGATGGACTTCATACGAACATCTCCTTCATCGCGGCCTAATGGTACAACATCAACACCTTCTTCACAAGCAAGTAATAGATGTAGGTCAAGAAATACCACTAGCAGTACATCCAACTACATCAGTACCTTGCCGATCGACGTCCCAACCACTTTCCTCGCATACTTGAGTTGGAAGGTGTTGTTCGTGCTGTTGGTTTTGTTACCGTATACGAATTGGCGAGAGGGGCTGGGATTTTTGCTTGCCATATTTAAGGCTAGTTTATCACTATGACTATCCCATGTCTGTCTCTCTGTGGACATCTATGCTGAGAAGTGTGGGTGGAGCCTCATCCTCTGATTTCCTAAACTACCTTTAACCTATTCGGCGAGTTCAATCATCCAGTGAGTGTTCTGACGCTGGCAACCGGGTCAGGTCTTCTCACACGAGGATTGGCGTGCGAGGTGGGTGGACATTTGCTGTACTGAGATTAGGTGAGCAGAAAATGTATCATTCCGCCGATGCTCGAGTGCGGTCGTTAGGGGTGCGAAAACCCACTAGGTAGGTGAGAGCAGGTCAAAGAGCATTTATTACCTCCATTCGCAACCTCTTGCGCAAGAACGTTGCCATGGTAAAGCGATTACGAAGACGAGTCATAGAGATGCTTTCAGGGACATTGTTCAGCCTGAAGGTCCAAGCGCTTCTTTCTAAGTATTTTTAGGGGGGTGGAACTAGGCAACAACAGAGCTGCGAGGCACAGAGACTGAGACTGGTCAGCACTCGCTGGAAAAATGATATGAATAAGGCTACTGGAAAATGATTGGGTCCACAGGTATTGACAACAACCCTCACGCACCAACGCCAACATAGTGGAATCAAATATCAAGAACAAGAGGTCAACATTTTTATATACTTATTAGGTTATTTAGACGAGCGTGTCAACCACGTCAAGCAAATTCAAGGAATATTGTCACGACTCGCGAGAGAAAGTGTAGAGTCGAAAACATCAGAAACAGCATGGCCGCTTCTTGGCGCCTTCCGATCGATCCAGCCATGCGAGAGATCCGTACTGGCTCGCGAGATACCACACGCAGAGCAGGAAAACTAGTTCTCATCTGCGCTGCGCTCTCCGATTTTGCTTTTAAGACGCTATTTATAAAGACCTCACTTGTGGAAACTAAAGATTTTTTAACTAAGGTTTTTAGGCTCCACTGAAAACTAAAGATGAAGCACAAGGAAGCAGTACTTAGATGTCTTTCATCTACGTCTACGTCTACCATTGTTGTTCTACCTGAAAATTGGCTACAGTCGTGGGAGTGCAAATACTTAATCATCTCTAAAGCAAGTAAAATCTTCTCTAACACCTCTTTCCTGCATTCTCAACATCAACGTGGCTTTGCTGGAGTATGGGCACAGAAGCAGAGCAAGGCAGAAATGGACTTTCCACAGGGTGGCACCAGTCGGAAGCACATCTTCGCCTCAGCTCCCCTCCGAGAAGCATCAGTATTGAACCAGACGATGTACGTGGAGCTACTGGGCAGACACAAGAGCGTGTCGTACGATTTGAATTCACTTATGGACGAGAAGTTTGAATCTGATTCTCTACTAAGCCGTAAGGTTGGCAAGAAGATTACAACATTTTTAGATGCTCGCTCTATTCTAACTTACAGTGGAAAACGATGGAGCAGGGATTTCTGAACTCGTACCCCTATCATGGAAACACGAGAACGCGACTGAACAAAGACGCAAGGGGTGTCAATCTGTGCGTCTACCTGAGTCTCGAACATCACTGCAAGCTTCCTCCAAATTATGGCAGCGCTACTCCCTGACGTCTTCGCTTTGTCATGGATGGACTTCGATTACTCGTAAACTCAAGATAACCGAGTAAAACGTTGGTGTTGGCAGTGCTCAAGCTGGAGGCTTGTTCAAGCGGATTACTTAGTCAGGTGTGACAGCTTGAATAATGGGTGTCGTGACTTGTGTTCGTGAGACTTCAACTTCTTTTAAAAATAGTAATTGGAGGCTAGTTGTCGTTGTTGGGTATAAATTTTCTACCTATAAACATGTTAGTCCACGGATGCGTGCCTAACGTCTTCGCCTTGTCTTTGATGGACCCCCCCTTGAGGAAAAGGTTGAAGACATGAAACTCCTCCTCCTCCTTCATACAAAGGATCCAAGCGAGGTCTTATTTGTGGCACCAGATACGCTACAGCTTTTTTCGTACATGAATAGACCTGTGCTGCAATTCACTGGGCGTCTGAGGGCAATTTTTTCCGTCTTAGACGCCTTTTTTGGAGTGGATGGCTCCTTCTCGGTCGTCGAATTGGGAAGCGCGAAAGGGTAAATAGTACCTCTAGGTTACGTAAGGTGATATCAGGGGACCACACACAACTACAAGATTCTCTGTCCCAGCAGCACTGCTCTCGATGTAAGGGTAGCCCACTTCCACATTCGTAGGTAGAAGTGATTGCGATTCTGAATAAAGTCACGTAATTATAAACAAGCAAGGTATTTCGCTCTGGAGATGGCGAATCGGTATCGATCAAGTAGGATATATGCGATAGAAGGAGCAGCTGGGTTGGGTACAACGACAGCAGGTGAGAACGCAGCGAGTTTTTCTGATGGCGCAACCTTGGTATTGAGGGAGGAAAAGTTAGGACAGATAGACGAGTTGCGGACGACATCCAGGCAACAAAATACACCCTTGATGCTCTTCTAGTACTAATTCTGGTAGGGCAAGAACAGCAAGTACTTTTGCAAGGATGAAGTATGGAAAAAGATTATAGTATGTCTGGCAACGATAGAAGATACATGCAGCTGTCTGCCTCTAACACTCGCCACGCGTATGCAAGCAATGTGGGTGGCACTTTTGAGGATGGAAGACCGTCTCAGAATCGTACCTGAGACGTGGCACAGCATCGGAGTATCAAAAACAGCACGGAAAACGCAACGCTTCTACATTATGGCGAATTGTAGTGGTCAACTTTATTTAGTTTTGCCCTCGGCATTTGGGGTAGTCGGAACGTCACTTAGTTATAGGTGGCAGTGTCCTTGTCCGCTTAGTATGATTGCGAGAAGCTAACGCTCAGGTCTTTCATCACGTTTACGTTTTCAATTTAATCTTCCTTCATGAGCATCTGCAGTTAATAGCACTAAGCGCTACCACCTTCCTCATGATTATCACGAAAGTTAAGATAAATTGACTACACTCACCATCTTCTAAACAAAAAGAAGCAATGTCAGAAATGATTGGGAAAAGGGTGCACAATAGTCTTCTTCCGATTTGCGCAAACTTCACGTGCAACAGCAAAGCAGAGGACCAGGCAGGTGATTATGATAGAGTTAGAGAGAGGAGCCAGATTGTGATCATAGAGATTGAATGAAGAGACTGAGACAGCAGCAGGAATAGCCTTATAATAGAAGCTATGGGTGGAGCCGAGGGCAAGCAGTAGGTGATCGGGTAAGGATCGCAACACAAAGCGCACACATGACATGGCAGGGAGTCATCTTCATCCGTACGTAGTAGAGTCTGCGCCTGTGGCTGGGTTTGTAGTCAGTATGATTTGGTTGGACTGAACATCGATCAAAGAAACAGAATCTTCTAAGAAATCGAAAACAGTGGCTTCGCTGCGCAACACTTCAATGGGGGCCTTGGCATGCATTATTCAGACTGGACAGACGCAAATGGGTTCCTCAACAAAGAAGCACTAGAGGACGCGATATTTGCGAATCATAACGACGCGTTATGGAATGGAAATTCTCATAATGAAGTTTTTCGCAATAGGAATCTGGTAAATGGTAACTTTAGAAGGATTCGAAACCTAACGTGCATCTGGTCAGTCTTGACCACAGAAGTAGCAATTATAATTGTTACAACTGTGTCATGTGTCGCTGTAGTACGTGTTGATGTAGTCGCCATTTTTTTCATCAGAATATGTACCATCAGTACTTCTATGGTGAGGTGTGTCGAGAATGACAGTGAATCTATCGTAGTTCACGTTACACATCCTTATTCTACAGGAGATGAGGAGTCTGGATTTCGAATTTCGAGTTGCTCGAGTGCCCTCTTTCATGACCAACAGCAGGCGTAGTGAACACGACAAGCGCTGCGTATCTCTCGCCATTTAACACCGAGAAAGAGCTAAAAGCCTTCCGACCACCAGATGTGCTTTTGTCTTTATGGCAAGAACAACAAGGTGTAAAACTAGAACTACTTCTTACTTAATAGAGTTAGAACGACAAGATGAACCACGATCAGGAGTAAGTGCTTATATGCTAGCAATACCAAAGGAAAAGACGAGAGAAGATCGTCAAGGTGGTGGTTTGAAGAAGTTGAAGGTTGTAGCGGTCCTTGTCGTAGTATCTTCACGTGCACTTCTACGTTCTAATATGCCTCTCCGTTTTCCACCATTTGCATTCGCATTCGGTGAAGTTGAAATTCGTAGACGCAGAAAGCAGGGAGAACCTCGTAGACCTTGGTGCGAGCGTTTTACAAACGTTATGAAAAAGAACAACACTAGCGTGAGTTTGCAACTGATGTAGCAGGAAATGAAATAGTAAGCACAAGGAGAAGAATAATAATAAAGCAAGGCAGCGAAAGTGAAAGACTTAGAAGGTGATGGATTTGGAAACGACTATGCACAGTACTGCATAGCTCCTGTCTACGGCTGGATGAAAGGCTTCTGAGCATTAAATTTGAGAGACTTCTTCGCGACTTTTGCTGTCTCAGCATCAGCTAAAAAGCATTTGAGAGACTTCTTCGCGACTTTCGCTTTCGGATCTAAGCTAAGCTCCGGTCCATTTCTTCGAGCTTCCTGCAGAAAATTTGCTCCGAACGATGTGGACCTTTTTTCCAGACGCGGAGAGCTTCCTGCTGGAAGCGTGTGAACGTTATGACACTGACTTCTATTCGAAAACTCAAAATAACCGAGTTACTGACCTAAACCCTAAACCCTAAACCCTACCCTAAACCCTAGAAAGCCAATTTTTGATAGTTCTCTCTGATGTTGATCCAGACCACGTCGTATGTGATCAGAGGCACTAGCTTATAGCATCAAGGCTACTCTTCCTTCTCTACAGTATCTCGGTTATTCTCGTCTGTTACTCGCTTATTTTAGTTTTTCGAGTAGGTAAAACAACAACTGTGATGTAAGTAGGCATTTTTTCGTAAGAAGACACACCATGGTCTTCAGCATGGGATGAATATATATGATGGCTCTTCGCTCTTCAAGAGCGGAAAAGTATGTCTGCCTGTGCCTTCGATGGATCCCGACCTAATCTAGGTTAACGAATCTAGGTTATCTGACCCCGACCTAATCTAGGTTAACGAATCTAGGTTATCTGACGCCGACCTAATGCTAATCTAGGTGAACGAATCTAGGTTATCTGACCCCGACCTAATCTAGTTAAGGGTAGGTTAAAGGTGCTTTTCTTACCGCTTTTTATGCCTCCCCTAAGGGAGAAAGGCATAGCAAGCGGGGTAAGCGAGCACCAAAAGCCTACCTCTGATCTAGGTGAACGAATCAAGGTCATCTGCTTCTTCTAACAGCCGGCTTTTGGGCCACAATATCCCTCAGATCCAGCAAAGGCGGCAAAAACCCAACCTGTGACGGAAGAACTATACGACGAAATGATGAGACACCGGAAAGGCTTATGGCTTCACTTTAGTCATGGTGAACGTGAAGGTCGAGAAACATGAAAGTGCAATTGCAAACTTCCTACCAGGATTGAATAGATTGCTTATCCCCTTACCAGGCTTTCCACTTCCACGTCCGTTTCCATTCTTGGAGGCACACTGCTGGAATTGATTTGTCCCCTCATTAGGCTTGGAGTACTAAATGGGACACCATGAATGAACTTCCTACGATATTAAATACGTGTAGATGAAATAAAAGCTTTTTGATCTACTTCCTGCAGCTGCTGCCTTCGCAACGCAACCCCCTCTCCAGTTTATTCTCCTTCTTCATACTCCGGCCCCAAACCTTCCTCGTATTCGTCTGTGGCACCGCGAGCATGGGACATGTACGGGCCGATGTTCCAAAACGAATGGTGGGGATGGAGATACACCTTTGCGATCGTGAATCATCGGGCATTGACCTTATGAAAACTTTTCATCAGGAGTAGACAATGGACATGAAGATGCATGATGAAATAGGTTGTCACTATGTCATATGTTCTTGTCCTCGGTTTTTTCGTTCTCCACCCTATTAGATAGAGTTGAGCGAGAAGAACATGTACATGAACAAGCATTTTTGATTTGGCTGACAAGGACAACAAATAAGTAGCTGTAATACGTAGATCAAAACGAACAAAAATTGAAATTCGTGAAAAACATGTTCTTCTCTAACCGAAGTGCACCAAGCAACGGCGCAAGCAAAAACGGCATCGGTAGGCCAAGAAGAGATCATAGCTGGAAAATCGTTCCATCATCCGGATAATAGTTTTTTCAGCTACGTCGTTAAGGTGGACCCTGAGAATGGTGAACTGCCATGGGAGCGGAAAGGCGGTGTCGCGGTTAATACCAAGGCCCATCCTTACGGTTGGTCCAAAATCAGCACTTGATCTTGATGTTGAAATGAGTACTATCAGATAGTGGTTGGTCCGAAATCAGCACTTGATCTTGATGTTGAAATGATTAAGGGTACAAGAAATCCATCTTCACTGTCATCTTGGTCCCGTTTTTAAAGGGAAAAGGAGACCCAAGACGCTGCTGAGGATGGATCTCCATTAGTTCTAAAATGAGCACTATCTCAAAGTAAGTTACCGACTCCGGTCCAGGTAGTCAAGGAGTCCTACTCGGGATATCAATCAATCAATCAATCAATCAGTCCAGTCCTTCGTCATATGGAGTATTTCTCCTTCATTTTTGTTCCTCCTTCCCTTCATGACAACAAGGCGAGCGAAGTTGGTGCAGGCGCACGTCAAGCATCGAAAAAGGTGGAAGAGAAGCCGCAGAAGGCTACCTTCGATCCGTGGGCTTCCAAGCTACTGGAGGAAATTGAGAAGCAGAAGAGGAAGGTCCATGGGGAAGACGAGCGTAAAAAGGAGTTGTAGAGGGGGCAAGACGGTCAGCAGTCTGAATTTTTCTATGCTTAAGGCTCAATATATTTCATTTCTACATTCTACAAGTCATTTCTCCCTATTTGTTTCCTTCTTAGGATTGGCACAGGAAATAAGAGCCAGAGTACCTCGAACAACAGCACCAGCAAACCTGAACTTTTGTACACTTTTGCATCTTCAACAAAGTAAGTAACATGTTCTGGTTATGGTTAGAAACAGTAACAAGAAGAGAATCAATATAAAGGGAATGTAAGATCTGAATATCAGTTATAGCTTATTTCCAAGAACTAGTATTGGACCACGAGCACTTCTACATTGATTTGTCCAGCTCAGGCTTATACACGAAGTGCTTCATCATGCCACTTAGACTTACACCAAAAAAACGACGAGTAGTTGTCCAAAACGACTGAGGACAGGTCAACATCAAGTCGAAGTTTACTCTGCTGTTCGTTTGTTCCACACCTCATCGACTTCGACTTTTCCGTTTTCACAAACGAGATCGAGAAACTTCTAGACCGAATCAAAACTGTACAAAGCAACAAGAAGAAGGAAATCCGCATAGATGCTGTGGGCACACAACGACTACTACCACAAAAAAGAAGAAACAAATTGTAGATCATCTAGAACTGCAGGTACTACTAGAAGTAGTTCTATAGTAGTTTTTTCCTTCACTTTTTGATGAGGTAGACTAGCAGGTATAATAATTTCAACAAGTACAACATCAACCTTGTAGTTGTATCAGAAAAAGCTCGGCAGGATGCCACCAGGAGGTTCAAGACCGCTCATCTGCGATAGAGGTCCAGAGCCCCCTGGTTCGACCTCGTCAGCACAGGTGAGCAATTACAATGGCCGCGCAGTTGGGATTTCGATTCTTCCAGCACGTGCGCCAGGAGGTCCAGAAGGTCCAGGTGCACGTGCGCCAGAAGGTCCAGGACAACCTGGAGCGTCTTCTTTCTCATCCCAAGGAGCGCTACAAAAACCTTATCGTCGTGTCATTCTCATCACGCTCGCGATGTTTTCCGGTTACGCCAGCACCGTTGTGATGCAGCACGAGTTGCAGGTCCACCTGAAGATTCCCAGCGATCCCAGTTCAGTAGAAAAACGTCTCTTCACAGCTGCGGTCACGTGTCAATATCTCGGAAACCTGATTTTCCGACTTGGACACAACGTTTTCGTCTGTCTCGGACCTAGCTCGCGCGTCATCTTGTCACAACTTGCAATGATGTTGGCCATGGGCATCATTCTTTTGCTGTTTTACTACCCGATAGATGTGCACTACATCGCCGAAGAAGGATCTCCATCGACCTTTTCCGAACAGCTTCTGGCAGCATCAACGCTATCATCTTCGTCCTCTTCAGTTTCTTCTACAAGGAGTAATCGACTCATTAGTAGTGCCGAACCCGATTCTAGTGGTCGTGGTCCTCCTACAACAACTTCTTCCATCACTATTTTTGGCGGTTTATTCACACTGAACCCTGTCGTCCTAGTCGTAACCGCTTACCTCTTTTCCGGACTAGCTGTTGGGACGTTTGAGTCCAACGCTATTTAAGGCCAGTTTTTCACTACCCGTTGTAAGCAAGCGATCCTGAATCGAGTCCCCCAAGATTCAAACGGGAAACTACTAGACCTAGGGTGGCACGCGACTGCGGATAGTGAAAATAAACTAGCGCTAAGCTGTGGCCTCTCTAGCCCCTCTAGGACCCGAGACTAAGCTATGGGCTGTCATAGGCCTGCCACTAGGCTTCAACGTGATTAGTGTAGGTGGCATGGCGGCACTGTCCCTAGGATTTCCACGCTATGGGCTATACGTCTTCGTGCTCGTCAGTAACCTGATAGCGCTGTTCCTGTACCGCTTTACATTGCCATCAGTGGTGAGACAAAAGGGGGGATCTTCGAGGTCTTGTTGCTTTTGGCGCAGCAGTGAACGTGCTGGAGAAGCTACGATTAAGGCTCAACTTTCAATGGTCATTGGGGTTGGTCACTTGAGACAACAGGGGAAAACGAAGGGAAAGGGGAGAGCTTTGAAGGGGGTCTCTTCCGTTCAGCATCAGTGACCATTGAATGCTGAGCTTTAATACGAGCACTCAGAGATTTGTCTCCCATTCATTGGGCAATGAAGTGCAAGACGAAGAGCACTTTGCAGAAGCAGGACAAAGGGTAAGGGTGCAAGAAGATCATTATGAAAAGAGCAGACTCATTTTTCATTTTTTGTCTAGAACTAGATCGGATCTGCGCCCACAACCCGCACACACATAGTTGATAACTCAGAATCACAAGAACTTCTTCCAATATTATATATAAGTTTAAGCTCACTTCTGGTTCTGACTAAAGTCCCTTCATTCTTCTAACCAAAATCTTTCGGAGTAACAGAACTCTCGTCGACCAGCCGCGGAATGAAATCGTCGTTATTGAGGGTGCTTCCGCACAGTCTGGGCCTGATGATCGCCATGTTTGGTGTCGCAAGCTGTACGGGCATCAGCACGAACATTTTCAGCGCATCCAAAGTTCCTCTGTTTTTATGAGAGAACAAAAATTATTCATGCCAGGAGGTCTAGGTTCTCCACATACTCGTGTTTTTTCTGGTTTCTTGATTTCACTACTCTACCCTCCCTGCCCGATTTTTTCTGATAGTACATGATGGACGACTTCCGCTCAGGTTTTCTACCTCCAGATGTTTACTCTTACCTTCCAGCACTGTTCTCTCTGCTTCAAAGCTTATTCATGCCAGGAGGTCGAGGCTCTCCACATGCTCTTGATGCTCTAATCCAAGCAGACGATCCGAACTCCAGATTTCTTATCGATCAGCACGTTTACCTGGCCATACAGAATGCTTTTGTGTTTGTCGGCGACAGTGTCAGCAGGAAAATCGTCTACCATCAACTCAAAGAGCAAAGCCATTTTCGGTTATGAAGATGTAGCTTGTTTGGGTAAGAATTTTCTATTTCACCTAGTTCTTGCTGTTTCAAAGGTCTGGAATCTTCTACTACTTGTTCGTTTCCTGTTGTTTGCGGTGTACTCATCTCTTCAAGGTTCTGATCTACTTCTACTTACTTGCTGGACCTAGTAGATCTACTACGGAGCAATGGGAATAGTCCTTTAAAAATGAAAGGTTAACTATCTTCACGTTGTTGTCTATTATCGAGTATAGTTTGTGTTGCAATCGCCCACACATCTTTGGGAGCATCTTTCTCTAACTTTCGGGAGCATTTTTCTTCAGATCCGCCTGCTCCTTGCCTTTGTTTGCTTCACCGTTGCCGGCCTGTACCTGTTGAGCCTCAGAATGGGCGCAACGGCGATCCTCGGCAGCTTCCTAATTTTCTACGCTAATGGAAGTACCTATGCTACGACCACGCGTTGGGTCGATCTTCGGTTGGACGCCAATTTTCACGTGAGTTTATGCCACTGGTGACTGAGAGTATGAGTAAAAATGCGTTTCTTGTGAAAGTGTTGAGTGTGTGTTTGTACGAGTGAGCGAGTGATTGTCGTGATACGGACTCTGTCGGGTTATTTACCAAAGAACGTATTAGTAGTGGTGGTAGTAGTCGAACAAGCGGAAATACTACTTCCAACTACGTACACCAACCCATTGACAGCATGTTGAACAATTGAAGATCGTCTCTAATATCCGCTCTATCCTTCTGGCTTTTCGTCGGCGACATCGGGTCGGTTGCAGGTAGCAGCCTGACGGATGTCTATCACCGCTTTTTGTGTCCCGAGGGGGTGAAGTTCTATAACGTGTGTCAATAAGCAAAAGCACTTCTGAGGAATTGACGTTGATAACTGAAGAAACGAGTCATCATGATGGATAGTCATATTTTTGCTTGAAAAAAAAAAGTTGCTCTTCTTGCTATGATGCTCAACTACATTTCTTGCGCCATATTGAGGTTACCGTGTAGGTATACTTTTTTCAGTGAACAACTACTACGCCTTTCTTTTGGGATTCACGACAAGCAGAAACTTGCAACATTCAGTTGATTTTTCCGGTTTGGCGACTTTTGATGTCCCTCTTTGTATCCATCGGTCATGTTCGACTGGTGAGGGCTGCGGTCTTATAGCTTCACGAGAAGTAGCTCTCGTGGGAACCAAAGCTAAAAAAGAGAACGACATTCATGATCATCTTCAGTGAATATTCGAGTGACTGACATCAAGCCTCGAGTGAAACCGCGAGTTGGAATTGTACAGTAGAGAGAGAGTGGATTTTTCTATTTCCTTCTCTAGTTAGAAAACAGGAACTAGTAAAATGTCTCTCCTCCGAATGTCAGAATGAAGCGGACTGCTCTGATGCTGCACCTGCTGCAGCTGCAGCTCTTCTTACATGCTCTTGTCCTTTATGGCTGCTTTTTAACACGTGAAATTAGTCCAGAGAAATGGAATAAGCTGCAATTGACCGATTGAGTTTGATTTTGACCTGATATTTAAACTACGGTGGTCCGTTTCAAGTGGTTCAACTGAATTGCGCAACCTACACTCCCACCTTTCGTCTTCTACCTACGTTCGACGTCCATTCACTTCTAAATTCGATTATCCTTGTCAAGCAATTCAGCTTTCGCGCGACTATGGGTAGCAAGAAACCTACATCAACCCCTATCTTGTACGAGGCGAACCAACGTGGACCAGGACCTAAAATGGATAGAATCGAGAAGAGTTATCGAAGAGTTTCTCTTATGCTACAGCTACAACCTACCTGTATTAAATTAAGTCAAAATTTACAATTTCGCTTATGTATGATCCCATTTTCAACAAACTGTAGTTAAAGGGATCGAATTTGAAGAACTTGCACAAGAATTCGTTGGTGGTCGTGAGTACGATCTGATTGATTTTGGTTCCATCGAATAGATCATGGAAAAGAAGTAGTTCCTGTAATATGCATGGCATACGCCATACAAATGACGCCTTCTTCTAATCCCCCACGCCCCCGTCACTCAGGAGCGTGTCTCGCAACTCAAAGGGAAACAGTGGGAGTTATCACGCTGCGACTGCATGTGCGGCGATTGTTACGAGGATTTGCGTGAGTGTCCAATTGGTCACTTCATGAACGTGCTGTATCTGGCCATGCTGTGTACGACGGACGTGGCAAGGGAGAGTTTGCTGTTGGGGATACCTTTATGAATGTTTTGCCTTACAAATACGACTTCTACTTACATTTTCACATCATCATATGCATATTGGAGCATTTTTTAGTAACATTGAAGAAGGGAAAAGAGTTGCTTTCTTGGCGTGGGTAAAAAGCTTTCTTGTCATGAAGGGAAAAGAGTAGAAAAGAGTTTCTTTATACTAACGACATACTGACCATTTCGTCCGAATCACATCTAATCTCACCTCACGGCGACATGGGCAGAACGTTTTTACGACTTACTCGTGCTCTCGGAGGTTTGAGGAGCATCGTGCATTCAGGCTGGCCATTATTTGAGATTTGGCACTCAGTGGCTGTCTACAGCACACCAATACGAGAACGACGCGCCCACCAAGTGCGGATGCAGTGGCTCCATGACGAAGTAGATCCTGTCTTGGTAGCCCTTAGCGACAACGTTTGCGAGCGCGACAAGTTCTGTGAAATCGATGAAAAAGTGTGGGATTTTAGGAGAGATAGTAGTTTCTTTGATCATACGCTGCCTACGAGTTGTAGTTTTGATTTGCGAGAAGTTAACTTGCTCCAACCACTTCCTACAACAAGGATACCACATGAAGCACAGCAAGAAGATCATGGTCTGCCAATCCTCGACCACTGGCGAGATCCCGATGGAAAAATGAAAGGAGAAACAGATGAGGTGCACAATCTAGCCGCCAGGTGTCAGATAGACGACCATTCTCTAGCGAAAAGGGTAGTGTTGCAAATGACTGCAACGAGGAATGTTCGAGAATCAGTAGCTTCTTCTGGTAGAACAACATCTTCTACTTCTCCACGATACCTGGTCTCCACGGGCAGAAGCATTGTAGGCTTACCAGACGACCTCGTTAGACTGGAGGATGATGCACGAGACGCTAGAGCAGCCTTGTCCAAGGAAAATGAAGAGATCTTACGCGCATTGGAGCAGAAGTTTGGACTCCTGCTGCTTGATGACGGCCAAGAAGGATTAAGGGTAGGTTAAAGGTGCTTTTCTTACCGCTTTTGATGCCTCTCCTAAGGGAGAAAGGCATAACAAGCGGGGTAAGCGAGCACCAAAAGCCTACCTCTAAAAGGAGGAGACGAGAACCGTTCTGAAAGTGGAAGTAGTTGCAGCCTCCCAGCAGATCGACCTGGAGGCACAGCTCCAACAGCGGGTGAGGAAGGTCGCGAGCGTTTCGAACAAAACGGAAACGACCAGAACGTTCTTTATGAACCTTTACTCCTTAGATTCCGTCATTCGTGGGTGTCCGGTGCTAATCTTGCAATGTCCGACAGATTTATACCTCCAGTTGGCCTAGCCGCAGAAGACTTCGTTGACCCACAGCATATCAGACGTGAATTCTTCAATCAGAATAGCGTAACTCTGCATGTCTGCGCCCCTCTAGAGGCCTACGTGGACGAAACTATGACCATATTTCGTAACCGCTGGATGCTTCAGGGGTTTATTGGGTTGCTGTTTAGAGATCCGGTTGTGGAGGCTGTGTATCCGAGTCCAACTGCCGGAGTCGTAGAGAAACGAACGACCACCTCCGCTTCGCAAGACTTAGTTTCCTTAGGGGTAGGTTAAAGGTGCTTTTGTTACCGTTTGTTATGGCGTTCCTAAGGGGGACAGCTATAACAAGCGGGATAAACAAACACCAAAAACCTACCTCTAATTTCCCTAGCCAAGACACTCGCAAGTCCAAGCCACTCTCCCGACGATTATGCCTTCAAAGGTCCGCATAAAGCGGAGTATCTACTGGGGCTCTTACCAGAGCAGCAAGGAAGTTTTAGGTTTTTGGTTGAAGGAGACGGGGTGGGAGAAGGCCGTGATGGTGATGTTGGATTTATTGCAGCAAGAGACGACGGTCAACAAGATGAAGAAGAACAAGTACATGCACAAAGCCACTTGCCAGTACACGGGCATGATAAGATCGACATGGATCACCAAGACCTATTCCATGCTTTGCACCGTTTACAGAGTAAAAAACTCCCAGGGAGGTTTGCTGCGTTGCCGCCTAGGTGGAGCTACTTCCTAGAACATCCTGTAGAACAGACTTTGGAAGAGATCGCGAACCGCAAGTCTAAGCCTTTGCTCCAAACACTGCGTCAACGGGTTCGAGAAGCCTCTCTGGGATTGAGTGCCACTTGCAGTCTCTTTTATGCTGCGAAGGAGAGCTAGAGGTAATGCTAGTAGCTAACTCCTAGTTACCAGAAAAGGAGAAGACGTAACAACTAGTATCTAGATCATGATAGGAGGTACTGCTACTGGTAAGTACTGATATTACAAAACCCACTAAACAGACTGCTTTGAAGATGTCCTCGTCATTCATCTATTATTCTTATACCCGCATTTTTATTTTTTATTACTATTAATAGCATTACCCCTTCATAGTTCATACACCTCAAGCAGCAGCCGCCGCCGAACAAGTTGTGACGGTAGCTTTAGGCGTCGAGGCTGACACCATATTCGAGGCAGACAACGTCGCACGTGACACTGTCGATGAGTATGTGCCTGCTCTCTCCAGTCGTACCTTTGTCTTAGTGACGCAATACGTACTAGGAAAGAACAAGGAGCTGCGGGATTACGTTAATGGATTGGAGTTAAGGATGAAAGGAGGTGCGTGATAATTCATTGTTAGAAGTCGCGAAGTCTTCTTAGTTGTATCGAAGTAAGAGTACATCAGTGCAATTCAATCTTTTCGAAATGGAAATTTTGTATTTATGAGTATAAAGACTTTATAGGGGTATAATGGCTTATACTTAAGTTTTTGCTCGAAAGGATAACTCAGCTTACGCTTCGACAATGTTGTTGTTGATTGAAGAAGCCAACACCGAAGCATTCTCTAATCAACTCCTCTGGAGCACCGGAAGGCAAACAACTGAAGCGTGACTTCTTTGATTTCTATCGGACACGGCTGACCGAATACGTGGAGTCATGGGTCGACGAGATATACTACCTGCTTCACTCTTATGGCAGAACTAGTAGTTGTAGAGCTATTGCTATTTCTATTATCCACAGCCGAGCACTTCTCCGAGACACGCCCAGGCTTCGGCCGCCTTTGATGCGAAGACTTTAAATAAGTCTAGTGGTAACTACAAGTAGAAAGAACGGCTACGTAATGGCATGTTGAACGCAACAACTTTGCCTCCTTTTTTTTCTCTCACGATCACGTCCAGCGCTTATTACACCTGCTGTGTTGGTTAATACCCCCACATCTAATCCTTCTGGTCCAGCGTGCAAGGCCGTTTCAACTGGTTCGCTACCTTAATCCAATTCGAGGAAGGGCGACGATTAGTCCGTGCCATGTCCCTCCTCCAGAGAAGCCTCAACAAGGAGTTTTTCTGTAAGAGATTAGAGCATACGGCAGTGGGATTCCAGGGCGAGTGGACTCAGGTGGAATTGCCACAAGTTAATATGCTGTATTGGGCTATTTTTGGCCCTGACCAACAGATGCAAGAAATGGGGGAAAGAACCCGAAGAAGCCGAAGCTCTACTACAGATAACAAGGAACTAGAAGGAGTCTCTGCTACTTTGAGAAGCTCTACAGACGAAAACTACAAGGAAGCGCCACAAGTTCAAGTAGGCGTCGCTGCTTTGGTCGACCAACTTCTTTACGGTGCAGAAAGAAAAACGAATCCGTTCTTCCACAAAGTCAGAAGGGAGCTGGCGGATTTTGAGACGAGAGTAGTAGGAGGAGGAGAGAATGAACAAAACTACGAAAAGTTTGCTTTCTTAACGGTTCTATGGGAAAACTCACCAAAAATCTACATCGATGCTGTACGGACGTTAGCTCATTCCTGCTATCGTTTGCATAAAGGTCGATACCGATTCTTGGTGATCGTGCCTGCGGAGACTGTAGTAAAGACTCCTGCTGATGATAGGGGAGGGGGAGCAGAAGAAGAGGAAGTAGATCATGCTGGAAGTGAAAGGCAAACCAGAAGCAGCTCGTCTACATCTACAACGAGGATCAACCTAGAACTCGTCGATTACCTTCTCCGCGAACCCAGAATGAACTTAGAAGTCTACCCAGTAACCGCAGAGCAAGTCGCGCCTCCCAACTGGGGTCAAAAGTCCCAGGCTTCCTGGGATTGGTTTACTGAGCGGAAGGTTGCGAGGTCTGCAATCGGGTTCTTTCAGTTCGCCATGACCGAATTCGAGAAGTTGGTGTACTTGGATGCCGATACACTACTCATAGAACCGATAGACGAGCTCTTTACCATGCCCAAGCAGACGCCTTTTGCCGTAGCAGTGAATCTGATGGCAAGATTCAGCTTTGGAGGATTGGTCAGAGGGAAGAACCCAGGACAGATTCGCCCAAGGTGGTTTCCCTTTATCATTATGAATGGAGTTTGGTACTAATATTTAATATAATTGGTTCGTTTCGTCCTTCCGTTTCAGTATCCATTTCCCTATGCAGCAGCACTTATATCATGAACTCTGTAGTTCCTGTTCAGAGAGAGATAACTATCTAATCGTCACATAGCCTGCATGGTGATCCAACCGGATCGCGGCTTCTTCGACCATATGATGGAGATCATGGCCTCGCAGGAGTTGGACACCGACGAACTCAGCAATTTTTTTGAGAAGGGCATTCACCAACCTTGGCTGGACCATTACTTGATGAAATATAGCGTCCGAGCAGGGTTTGCGTTGTGGAGGAATGAAGAGGAAGAAGAGAAGCTTGTTATAGAGGGAGGACGTGGAGAAGTAGAAGGTGTGGGAGGACTGGGAGATGTAGGACTCCTGGGAGATGTTGTTCGAGGTCAAGAAGATGATGTTGATGGTCGAGGTCAAAAATATGATGGTGTTGCCGAACATCAGGTTCTACTTGAAGGCCAAGATCATGGTGTTGTAGGTGTGAACGCAGGAGGTGACACCACGACCTTTGAACCGATCTCCGGTCTCTCCTTTGCTGGCTGCGAGTTAGACTTCCATGCAGATTTCCACTTATCAGAATTCTTAAAGAGTAACCGTACAACAGCGGAGGGGCCGCAGAAGGAACGCTTTTTGAGGGGATTTCCTCGGTCTTTGCCAGGTTGGGAAACGTTTGCGAGAAAAGACCAGTTGGAGGAGAAGAAGATTATGGACTCTTGTGTAAGTAGACATGCTCCTTTGGTAGCAGCTCTGATATTGGTTATAGTAGAAGGTGCTTCAGTGGGGAGAATTCGTCAGGGAAATCTTAGGCAGCTTGCCGAGTAGATTCGAGTCATCAGATGCAGACTCGACGTTCGTAGTATAGTTGGAAGTGCAATCCTGCTGCCTACCTCTAAGACTCCAGTCAACCGGTGGGTGGAATACGAATGGAGGGACGCAGGCACAACAACTAGCAGCCAAGACCTACCCAAGAATCGTCCCAAAGACTACTCCCACTCAGACGACAATCAGCCAGCAGCATTAGCAACCAACAACCGCATGCGAAAAGTCCATCATCACTGCCTTCTAGACCACTCTTACAACTTTCAAGTGGAGGTCAAAACGGCTATGCAGGTCTTGGACCAAGCTGTGGAGCCATGGGTTCATCTATTAAGGCTTCCCCTAATCCATCTTGCGAAGCACCTTAGAGACGTTTCGAACGAGGAAACAGTCTCGGGATGGACTCGGAGATGCATTGGCGTGCGTTCTAAATCTAGGTGCATGGGCGAGGAGACATGAAGGTGGAGAGGCAGGAGCTGATGTGGCAAGCGCGGCTACTAGTGGTGGGAATGATGAAGAACAAGAATCGCGGGAGCCGACAGTTGGCGCTGGTGTCGAGGTGGAGGACACTGTGAGTGAGAGTGCGGGTGAAGGAGTAAGTAAAAACCCATCCACTAGCACATCTAGTGCGTCCTCCTTCGACTTTGAAGATGCAGAATTCGAACAGCCTATTGATGTAGCAGCCGATAACGATAAGCAAGTCCGAGAACTACAGCTAGCCCAAGATTTATTCTTCCGACGAAAACGAGGACGAAGACGGCTTTTCTTTGGGGATAGGAAGAGTAGTAGTGATAGGGTTGCGATGGCACGTGATTTTCTTGGTGAGGATCTGAAGAAAGACTATTGGGAGGCAAAGACTTACGGCACTTTTAGCTACTTATATATGCAAAATAGGTGTCTGTACGGGTGCTACGAGAAGCATCATCAGATACTAATACATCGCAACGGATTCGACATGCTAATGTTTTATGTACCTCGAAAGCAAAAAAGATCATCATGTGTTCCCGAAACTACATCAAGGAATATAAGCAACGAACTTTGCTCTAACGCGTTCCACGCGAACGCCTCTCCAGTATGCTGCAACTCTCCCAAATAGAGCAACTCCAGGACTGGGCAGCCCGACAAGCGGATCTAGGACCTGCGTTTGAAGAACGCTTACTAGAGCGAGTGAGGCAGCTCTACAGACTCCAGCGGATCAACGTGAGGATACGAGGTGGCACAAGTATTAGCACTGGAAGCAGAGAACAAGTGACCTCCACGTCATCCAGGAGTACGAGAAAAACATCAATATCAATGACTCCGAAGGTAGTTAATGGCACCACCAGAAACATCCGTCCCAAGATCCTGCACTGGGCTGGAGAGAACCGCAAGCCGTGGGAACGGATACATCCAGGCTCTAGAACTGAATTCGATAGACTCTGGTGGCTGGAGTACGAGTCGATGATGCGCAAGTCAGGCTTAGCGCCTGTGACTTGTGAGGATCCTATTTAGGGTTGTACTTGTACTTGTAACTGTTATTTTTTAGGAGTTGGGTACGTACTAGGCGCATTTTGATGAAGCCAGTATGTGGGGACAACAAGGATTCACTTTCACGGGCACATGATGGATAATAGTTGGTCTTATTCTACATTTAGCAAACAAAGGACATTTAATCCGAATAGAGCAACGAGCACGAGTTGAAGACATTTCTCGTTAGTCTTAGTGGTGACATACCGCAGAACATGAAAAGCATCCGGCAGAAGATGAAATGACTATTCTTCGAAAGATTGAGCGCACCAGGTTTGTGTGCTTTTAGTTTACATGTGTGCTTACTCAAACGAGTCATCGAGGGCTTCTGCTCGGCAAGTTCATTCATTTTCAATGTGTTCAGCCATCGTATGGCGGGACGAAACCAACCGAGCTTATCGGCGCCTCGTTGATTTCTAGCGAAACTAGGGAACTGCGAGATACGCAAGACTGTGGAGTGTGGTCCACTCCCTAATAGCCGCCGCCAGAAGATGATGTATTGACAGATCTCCACAAAAATGACTGACGCGATCCTTGTGGAAGAGAGAATTGATTTTCTCTTCTTGAGGATCCTCTACCATCACTAGGGTTTGATTAGAAGCACTTTTAGCTAGTAATGCGTGCCTTTATGATTGTAATTTCTCTCTCTTGGTATTTAGTTGACCGTCCGGACGTGGAAGATCTCTACTAGCTACTGTAGGTCGTATGCTTTATATTCTCCACCCAGTTGAAGTTGACCCACGATTACTATCACTACTGCTGTTAATTATTGAACATTGATCCGGGCAATCTAATGGAATTAGCGTGGTAACGACGATATTGATCTCGCCTCATCTCCGACTTCCGTCCCATTTGTTTTCTAGGAAAGAAGATTTTTTTGAAGATCTTCTTGCTAGAAGAAGCAACATAGAAGGAGAAGCTGCTTACTAAGCATAAGAGCTTGCTTCGTTCCCAAACAAAAACATTGTTCACAAAGAACAAGAACATCCGAAAAAACATCACACAAATAAAATGGCGGAATCTAAGGTTGCAGATATGTCCTTGGCCGACTTCGGTCGCAAGGAACTTAACCTTGCTGAGCATGAGATGCCTGGTCTCATCAATTGCCGTAAGGAGTATGGCGCCCAAAAGCCGTTTGCCGGTGTCAAAATCGCCGGGTCGTTGCACATGACTATTCTTATGATGAAAATCGGAATAAGTATAAGGAATACGTATAAGTAGAAGCGTTGTAAGTATGTTGGCAATTCATTGTATATTCGTGTAGCGATGTGTGAGACAGGAGGGCTTTGTGCTTTATTCTGATACAGGACATACTGTGTAGCAAAAGGAGCGCTTGCTCCTAACCAAATTCTTAGAAACTCCGATCCCTGATATTGGATGTTCCTTCTCGAGTAACCCTTGAATGTGTTGTAGTAACGGATTCGAGTTGATGATATCCATATCTCTGACGACCCCTATCAATGACTTCCACTTTGCATACAATTGCTATCTTCCCTATCGCATTGCCATAACATCCGTTCTCACTCTCTAATCTCGAAACCGCAGTCCTGATTGAAACGCTGGCAGAGATGGGTGCTGACGTGCGTTGGTGCAGCTGTAACATTTTTTCCACCCAGGATCATGCTGCTGCCGCAGTCGCTAAGGCTGGCACCGCGGTGGTGTTTGCTTGGAAAGGTAGCTTTTGCTATTATTACCTACTAGAAGAACGCTGTTGGAGATTGAGAAAATTGTTTATCAATTAAGTAGTTCGTGACCTTTACTTTCGTCAGACAAAAATACTTACTAGTACTACGCTATTTATCTCTTCCCCTTTCACCCCACTACCAAAATAATATCATTTCCACAATAAACACAAGGTGAAACCCTCGAGGAGTACTGGGACTGCACTGAGAAGACCTTGGTCTGGCCTGACGGTTCTGGTCCGGACCTCATTGTCGACGATGGCGGTGACGCGACGATGTTGATCCATAAGGGTATATTTTTTTTGCCACTTTGAGTACTGTTTTTTTTTGTTCTGGTGTTATGAATACTTTTTTGCTACTTTTTGTTCTAGATACTACTACTAGAGTAGGGCTAGAGGACCATGATGTTTCTAAACTTCCACAGTGCCCTCATTTCAACACTTCATGTCTGTAACAATCTCGAACTTTCGACTCAGCAAACCTTTTTACTTACTCCCCCATAGAGGTTGGTAAACAACATGTTGTAGTTGTATCTTCACCAAAACTACTTCACCAACGACTCACCAAGAACTCACCAAGCCTCCTTTTCACTCTTTCAGCTTCCCCCTACAATCGAAAACCAGGTAAAGAATGGGAGGAAAAGTTTGCTGCTGACGGCTCACTTCCGGACCCAAATTCTTCCAGTAACCCAGAATTCAAATGTGTATTAGCGGTCCTTCGTCGTTCTATCCAAGAAAACCCCAAAAAGTGGACCAAGATCGCTGAGGCTTGCAAGGGTATCAAACTTTTTCTTTCACACAGTCATACTCAGGAGCTTGTTTTCTTCTGTAGTTTCTTTCACACACTTAGTTAATATGTTAAGGTGGTCGCGTCGTCCCTTCTCATCGCCAGGTGTCTCCGAAGAGACCACGACTGGTGTTCATCGCCTCAAGGAAATGGCGCAGAAGAGCGAGCTTTTGTTCCCAGCTATCAACGTGAACGACTGCGTTACCAAGTCCAAGTTTGACAACGTCTACGGTTGCCGACACTCGCTGCCGGATGGTACTTTCTTATCATTCATTGCTATGCTATTGTATTTGTTTACACGGTGATCTTCGTAGGTGTGGAATGCATTTGGAGGTGGCAGAGAATCGATGACCCAGAGGAGATTCTGGTAGAATACTTGATATTAGGCGAACAATGGCTACTAGAAGTTGCTTCAACCATGGAAAAGTCTTTCGCAACGTTCTCGAAACCGTTCATACTACTATACGCCGCCTGGTTCTCCTTTAACAAATATCTGCTCAAACCTCCTCCCCAACCCGACAGGTGTCATGCGTGCAACTGATGTGATGATTGGCGGAAAGCGTGTGTTGGTGTGCGGTTACGGTGATGTTGGTAAGGGATCCGCCATGGCCATGAAGGGAGCCGGTGCCCGAGTCATGATCGCCGAGTGTGACCCGATCTGTGCCCTGCAGGCGTGCATGGAGGGATATGAGGTACTGCTAAAGGTAAGCTCTCATGCCGATGTCGTAGAGGCTGGATGAATAGAATACAGGGTAGCAGAAACTTCCTAAATCTCATGGAGGACATGTGGTTGTGAAGTGTATGAGAAGTCGTAAACTCTAGATTGTTCATCCCTTTCTCTAATCCGCTTTCTCACTCACCGAAATAGAAGTAGGGGCACTCTACACAATCACATGAAAACATACTCACCCAAAATAACAACAGGTCACCACCATGGAAGATGTGATCGACCAGGTGGACATTTTCATTACCACGACCGGCAACTTCAACATTATCACCAAGGAGCACATGGCCAAGATGAAGAACAATGCCATCGTCGGAAACATTGGACACTTCGATAACGAAATTGACATTTACGGATTCCTTTTGAGAATAACTCTATATATAAAATCTTATAAATCTTCATCTTCCTCTAAAATCCGGCTGGTCTCGAGAGCTACCCAGGCATCAAGTGCGAGAACATCAAGCCGCAAGTTGACCGCTTCGTCTTCCCGGATGGCCACGGCGTGATCGTGTTGGCCAGTGGCCGCTTGTTGAACTTGGGATGCGCTACCGGACATCCGTCCTTCGTCATGTCCTGCTCGTTCACGAATCTTATGAATGGAAGTCTATCGGCATCGTAAGTCTATAATCGGCATCGTAGTATCTATTCTGTTTCTATTCTTGCAATCCAAAATTAAGAGTACCTCAAAGTACTCGCTGATTTCCTCGTTATGTAATATTAGACTAACACCATCCCGAGCTTGTTCGCATGAAAAGTGATATCCCTTAGTACTCCGGGCGTCCCTTTTTTCCTCTGCTTAACTCTTTGTTTTTCCGCCCATTCTTCATAGACTAAACACAAGATTCTTCATAGTTTGTGACAAGATTCTTCATAGACTAAACACACACCTTCTTCATACTCCAGACCATCGCTCAACTGGATCTGCTCGACAACTGGAAGGGAAGCAACATCCTGAAGCGACAGAACCGCAAGCCCTATGGAACAGACCAGGTGTACCGATTGCCCAAGGAGCTGGATGAGAAGGTTGCGCGTCTCCATCTCCCTGCTCTGGGTGCCAAGCTGACGAAGCTGACCAAGGAGCAGGCGGAGTACATCAACGTCCCGCAGGACGGTCCGTACAAGCCGGAGGAATACAGATACTAAAGAACCCTAAAAAACGTAAAAAACCATCTTTTAGAAGAGAAGGAGAAGGTCCGTAGGAGCAGCTAGACTTCCTTTGTCTATCACGAACGATGACAACTGCGGAGATGACCAGAAGACATGCAGATCTTCATTCCTCCAACACGACGATGTGAAGAAAGTGAATCTATTGATTTTGATATTGATTTTCCTAATCTAATGACTTTCGTCACTCATCTCGTCTATTATCGACGACTATAGATTTTTTGTACGTTGTCCAAGTCATTGATGACGGGCTAAGCCGATTTTTGGCCTTCTGGACGAAGGGGGCTTGCAATTGGTTGCGCATTCAGTCTCGGATCTGCGTACTAAGAGATTTTTCTAAGAAACACCCACTCAGTCAATTTGATCATTCTCTATGCGGGCATTGTTCCATTCTAAGCTTTTTTGAGTTCCTTTGTATTAAAGGGTGCGCAACAGTGAATCAGAGGGTCGAATCCTGTATCAGATGAAGGTCAATTCCGTAGTACCTCCTTATTTTAGGGGACTCATAATTGATGATTTCTTTGTTACGAGTGGTTACCGTTACGTGGAATATAAAGTCGAAGTCCCTCGGAGGCTCTTGTAGTTATCAATTTCAATAGAGTGTTAATAGTACAGTTGTTCTTTAAAGACCGCAATGGTGGGTAGATGTGGTCTGCGTCGTGCACTACGACGCCACACGACTAAGATGATGATGTGTCCATATCGTACCAAAAAACCCACTTTTATTAGGTGGGGAGTATCATGAGACATGTTGTCCAGAACCGCATGCTCTCAAGAACGCTGTGGTTGTGGTTCTATCTCAACCTTGCCCTTCCTTGTTTATGAAGGCCTCGCATGAGGAACAAAGGAGCAAGCTGGTACAAACCAATAGTATCAACTGCAGGAACGTGTCGTCGGACTCGGAGGACTGTACCATTCCGGAAAGTACGGATCTAGTTCGGTCTTGCGTGCGACTGATGTGGAGGAGCGACGACAGGTTCTGATTAGAATTGTGTCGGAGAGACACACTGAGTGCCTGTCTCAAAGAGAGAGAGAGAGAGAGAAACCCGCTGGCAACATTGTTCGACATGATAGATGGCGATCGTGTTCTGGATCCCTTTTCTTGCACAAGGCTTTAGTGGAACTTTAAAGATAAAAAAGTTAGTACAACAACTGCAACAAGAAAAATTCTAGGATTGTGACACAGCAAAGAAATACAAGTGATCACTTTTACACTGATGCTATTTGCGAAGCGCGTCACAGCCATCTACTACGTTTTTCACCGCGACAAACGAGATGCGTCCTTCTTCGCGAATTCCGGTCTGCCGCATCTTCTTCTACTTGTCTCGGCATCTCTCGTTAGGGATATGGAGCGCTGCTCGCGCTGCTGCTACCTCCACCTTCCCGAAATGGCCTACCAGAGGCGTAAGAACCATAGACGAGTGGGAGTTCTGGTTTGATGATGAGGATGGTAAAGGAGCAGTGGCACGAGCCGAGAAAATCTACACTGTGACCGTACCTGACGCATTCGATTTACCCTCAGTATCAGCTACGGGAAAGTGCAAGCCTGAATGCTGTGAGCGAGCTCTAGGCGCACACGGAGACGAGACCTGCTATACGTTAAAGAGTGGGGATATTCTAGGTGGAGAAGGCGGTGGAAATCTGTTTGGGGACGATGAGGATGAGGAAGGAGCAGCAAATGAAGCAGGTGCAGGGATGGTGGAGTATCAAAATACTGGCGCTATTGAATCGAGTGCCACCAGTCATTCCCCGTCATTGTTCTCATCCAGTAACCCTCGACAAACGTTCGACTCCTGTTGTTCTCACGCCACACCTTTCACACACAAACGAGGCGTCGGCGTCTATCGCGCCAGCGTTGGCGGTCACATCACGAAGCTACGCTTTCATGCTTGTCTACTAAGATGTCAAGTCTTTGTGGACGGTTTTTTAGTGGCGGCGTTTGTCTCAGGCTACGCGCCGTATGACGTGGATATTGGCAGCTTTGGAGCTCAACCAAAGAAAATCGTAGTCAAAGCCGATAACCGATTCGACCCGGAGAAAGTGCCTATGCTTAAGGCCCAAGAATAGAGGAATAGAGCTCATGTCCTTGCTGTGCAAGTCATTTCTATTTCTCCCCTGTGCCTTCTCAGTTGTACCTGTTGGGAGAAATTATTAGGTAGAAGACAAGTAGCAGTTGTGAATTGCTTTGCTCTCCAATATGCATCAGCAGAAATACGACTGGTACCAAGCTGGAGGTCTGGTTAGGCCGGTAGAAGCCCACACAGGGAATTTCTTGCTGCTCACGAACGCAGTGGTGTCGATTGGAGAGTTGAGGAGAACTGGAAAGCGGACGGCTTCTTCTGGTACAACCTCTTTGAAGCCATCTACTGCAGTTGGGCAAGGGCAAGAAGACAGTGTAGACCCATCATCATCCTCAAGCACAACTACAGATAAGGCTCAACTTTCAGTGGAAGAGGAGGCCCCTTGACAAGATCGAAGAGGGGAAAACGAAGGGAAAAGGGGACGAGAGCTGTGTGAAGGTTGCCTCTTCCGTTCTGCATCAGTGGCCACTTTTTAGTGTCGACCTTTAATACAGATAGCCAGGGTGTCCGATGGCACTCCTCTCTTTCCGACGCCTTACAACTCCCCATTCTGGCGAAAACCGAAGAAGCCATCTCTGTGGAAACCGTGGACGTGACAGTTTTTCTTGATGAAGCGAAGCTAGTAGCGAATGCGGGTTTGCTGAGTAGAGACGCCTTGGATCTGCGGTTGAAATGGGCCGATCGCTGTGGCAGTACGGGTGGAAAGGACATCCGCTTGGAGAAGGTCTATGGAAGAGCATGGAGTCTCAGTATCTAGAACAAGGAGGTCAGTTTTATTGCAACATCAGAGAAATTCGTAGAACTCAAAGAAGATTCACCAGGGAAGTCGTACGGGGTCCAATCCGAATCGACTAACGTCATCGTTGCTACTACTACAGCCTAAAATCAAAAATCTTGAGATCTACTTTGAGTTGTCGACGAATGTGCTGGACGAGCCACCTCGAGGAGGAGCGTGGTCCCCGTCCTCCTCGAACACCATTCCATTTCTAATCTCCCTCACAGAACATCGTCGTCCCTGGACAAGATAGCGAAAGCCTGAGAAAACTCACCTTTACCAAGATTGCGGCACCTGGAAATGGCGAAATGTGGGATCTGGACTCGCCTCAGCTGCACTTCCTAGCCATATCAATCCACAGTCGAGCGGACAAAGGTGGGGACCTATTGGACTGCATCGTTAGCCGGTTTGGATTGCGGACGTTTTTATGCATGATGGAATATTCATGGTGTTGAATGGGTATGGGACTGCGAATTGTGTAGATGGACATCACAATGAGAAGAATTGCTATGAGCGATTTCCGTAGTCCGACAAGTCGTATCTTTCACTGGTATTTTCTTGGGTACAACATCATTCATGTAATTTTTCCCTATTTCCGCCCCCTCAAGAACGTCATCTCTAATCCCCGAGGCTCGCGACGGTCGCTTTTACCTCAACGGCAAACATACTAAGCTTAAAGGCTACAATCGCCATGATGCGGAACCCTCATTATGATCAGCTTTCATCCACCTTTCTTGGGAGCATCTTGGTGCTACTGCTACCCTCTTTTTACCATTACCCTTGTTGATTCTCATATATAACATTTAAAATACAAGGGAAAAGGAGCCGAGACGTATGAGGAGACCGAGATGAATAAGCGCCGACGGGTCTAACTCCAGGAACCGGACCCGCGATGTCTTATGCGACACTGTATCGAGATGCCAGAATGTTAAAATCTGTAGGCGCAAACTTCATACGTGGCGCGCACTATCTTAAGGCTTGGGAGTTGACATCTCTATGCGCGTCTCTATGTCTTCTCCAAGTAGTAGGAAAGCCACACAGATTATGAAGAGGTTAACTAAGCAATTTCCATAAAAGTAAAAAATAGAACTATAGCCCGAACCCTAGCTACTTTAATTAGCTAGTTAACAAGCGTCTGAGGCAGCCCTGCTGGCAGCCTCCACCTCCAGCGCGATCTCGGAGCCCTGCAGCTGGCGACTGTGGGCTAGCCACAAGGGAGACGCTGGCCTGCGGGTGCAGCTGAAAAGGAGCTGCTCTACCCTGGAAAAAGGGCTCGCTTTCGCCTGACCTCGTGTCGGAACGTGCAGAACCATGGGATCTCGGCGCGATGGTGTTAAGGTCTATAGATTGGAGCAATCTGCACTAATTTCTTGATGGTTGTGGCTACTTTTGATGTTGATGAAGTAAAAAGGAGAAGACTAACTGCGCGCTGTGACGAAGATTGTGAAAGTCGGCGCTTCTTGAGTGTTGAAGTTGTGCTATCGCGATCCTTGTGGTGTTTGTGAAGTGGTAGTCAACCTCTGTTCTCTGAGTGTCAGCCTGTGATGATACACGATGATCCAAAGCCGAAAAATGATCCACGATGAAGCAACTTCCCTCGTCTGGTCGCTCTATCTGCTTGCTGTTGCTTATCTCCTTGCTTCTTTCTCACGCTGAATCATCCCCATCAATTTCACTGCTCACACCGTAGGACTCTGAGGCATCAACTCG